CGATATTCTTTGTCCTCTTTTCATACCTTCTCTTTTTCTGTTTTTTCAAGTAAACATGCAATCCATCACCATAATTTCGCTCACGACGTCGTATGCGCTCATAATTTTGCAGTACAAATACGTCAGCTCTTAACCGTCTTTTCCAGGGAAGTCTTCCTGTTTGAGATTTCGCATAGCTCCTTCTATATAGCCTTCAGTCTTAGCGTTTGCCGATGTGAACGACAAAAACCTACAAGAGCTACTTTCTTGAATTCCTCCGTTCTCCCCGTAGCGTGTCATATCTCCTAATAAAACACCAGACCACAATGCCATCTCACTCAAATACTTTGTAATGAAGCAGAGAAATTTGGGACAGTAGGAACGATTCTCATTTCCTGGTGATTCGCAGGAATTTTCTGAATCCTTCTCAACACATCTTTTAACTTTCCCAACGATGGTAGAAAAGAAATCGACAAAGGGTTGGAAGATGGGATCACTACACTATTCTCACAGTCGCTGTAATCCAAACTGGTGTAATTGCTTTCCTTCTGAAATTCGGAAATGTTTACAGAACATAATTTGTCCATGTTTTGGATGCGTGCATTAACTCTTGCATATGCGTTCCTTAACACCGTTGTTTGCTTCTTGCTGCATAAGCATGTAATAATGTCTTCTAAAGTCGTTTGAAATTCGTGTAGAGTCCTGGCATTCACAAGCAAGGACATGGCGTACATGTTGAAACGATACCAATTTTCTTCTTTCTCCTTAAGTTCGTCTCCAGGCCGTACAAATTTTTCGGCAGAATCCAATTTTTTGAGATACCTGTGAACAATGTGCATGAAGTGACTACATCCAACATGAGGTATTGTAAGAGATAAATCATTGTCAAGACTTCTTCCATTGACTATCCTGAAAGCTCTCTTGAAGAATGCAGCCATTGATTCGTTATTGAATTCCTGCAAAACTGCCATTAACAAAGCCCTTGAATAGTCTGTGTTTACCTGCCTTGGAGATGATAGATGCCCTCTATATAACTTTGATTCATCTCGCCGAAATCTTTCTAAAAATGAGCGAATATTTCCCGTTGTATGATCCGAAGTAATCATTTCTGCTACTGGAAACGATGGTTCATTTTCTACTGGATGGCGTATTACTAATGCATAATAAAGGACGCGCTTCCCGTTGTGATCAGCAACCAATGTTCCTGTTGCGTCAAGATAAGAAATATCATCCTTGCACCTATCGTGCCACAAACGCACTTGATTCTCTATCCACATGTGAACGATGAGAGGATACATTGCAATAGTATGTACGAAACCATCGTGGGCTTTTGATGGTGGAAATTCGCGTGCAGTTTCCTTTTCAACAAGCGTTCTTCTTATTTTTTCCAGAGAGCATGAAAGGTCTTTATCTTGTTGCAACAACTGTTTTCCTTCACTTGAAATTTTTCTCATTGTTTCAAGTTTATTGCCACAGCCTGTTCTATTTCCAGATGCCATTGCATCAGGGAAAACATCCAGTTTTCTCTTCTGATACATAACGGATGGCTTAGAAGGCCACTGCAGAATTCTTCCCTGAGTTGAGCGCGTTCTTCTCCTTTAATGGGACGAGATTTTCTTTCACCATTTGTATGTTTGATGCTACCAGTGTATTTCACATGAACAATTTTTTGATGAAAATCATCTTTGCTCATTGCGAGAGTAAAGCGGCACGAACAGTCTTCAAATATACATCGACCATTAGCTTTGAAATAGATTTTGTAACGTCGCTTACGTGAGTTTTGTTTCTGAACATAATGCCTGTCGAAGATGAAACTGCAAAATGGATTAGATAGTTGCAGGTGTCCGGCAATTATCTTAGTCCAATTTTTGAAGGCGATTTGGTGATACATACGTGGGTACCATCTGCGACCATTCATCCTGACTTAGTGTAAACGATGCTTCTGATGGACATTCCGCAGTGAAGAATGAATCAAATGTTAGTTTTGGACAATCCATCATGCGACCTAAGGTGTCATGAGGAATTGGCAAAATGTTGACAGTTGGTGGTCTTACATGAACAGCTTCTTTTGCATCAAATGGTTTTTGTCACTCCGTTCTCATTCCCAATGGCTTTTTTGTCTTTGGAAACATACGTCAAATCACTCCTTTTTAAGCTGTTGATGTTATAATTCTGTATTAGATCGTCGTCTCTTATTTCTCTGAGCGTTATTGATGCGTCATCTGGCATACCATCATGCTTCACATCGTCTGCCATGTCCTCGTAATTAACGTCATCTGGCATGTCATCGTAATTCACGTCATCTGATGAATAAGAGCAAACTATATTTTCTTCTTTCCAAGCACCTTCAATCTCAGTATCTTGATTCTCCGCAGTAAATACTTCGTCATTTGTTGGCACATTTGGGCTGTTGAGTCTGCTAACTTCTTGTATGACCGCACATTCATTTTCTTCAGTGAACAAATGTGTATTGGCTCGGTTTGTTTGTTTCGAACTATTTTGCTCATGTGTTACACTCTTGTCTTTCATCCAGCCACTTGTTTCCTCTTCCGTTTTCTTTATGCATACAGGACACATGAATGAAACACCATCTACACAGTTACTAAAACATTCTCCATCTTCTTTATTTTTCAAGTGCTCCAAACCAACGCATCTAGGATGATAGTACTTCATGCATCCTGCCTTCTCAAAATTACACACTAAATACCAGCCAATGTCTTCTCGTTGGCAAAAGCAATAAACAGCTTGTTCGTTGCAGTTCGGAGTGTACACTTTGGGGGCACGACGCTGCCTAGTAGAAACACGAATATGACTAGAGGGTGTTGCACATGCTGACTTTTTATCTTGGAGAACAGTTTCCAACGTCTTCACTTCTACTTGCATATTTTCGTCTTTCTTAACTTGTATTCTTGCAGACTTATCATTCTCCCCTAAACATGTCAATGGTGTAAAGTCATTTATGTCAATAAATACGTTCTTATCACCTGATATAGGAGCTTTTGTCTGCATCTCCTTTTCCCGTTTCTCATGTGATTGCATACGACTTCCCGGAATGCTAGAGCCAACAACCTACAAATATATAAAGATTATGACAGGAGTTTTACAATTGACCTGCGTTCTTTATTTTCATGCCTTGCTTGTAAATTAGCTTTGACAATAATAGAAGAAAAAAATCTGCTCACTTTATTGCTGCATAGGACTTTTTTCTTGTCTCGATTCTGTAATGTTTCACTGAATGGGGGTGTCTACATAATAGCAAAGGACCGCGCATTAGCTGTAAGAAGGCTTTTGTCAATAAATTTTGTCAATTAAATAATGCGGTTAAACATATTTGTTAGCCTCATTCACACGGCTTTGTTACGGAAGTCAAGATTTTAGACGTTTTCTCGTTTCATTATCGCAAAACGTTTTTTTTTATTCAAATGAAGTGTTAGCTATGTCATTCAAACAATCACTCATGCATGAAATAAATTAAGTTGAAAATGTTTCCTTGATGAAGATAAAACAGACTAGTAAAATGAAATCAACTGAGGTCAAATTAAAGTCCGAAAAAATACAAATTATTTATGAACGCGCGAGAAACACGAAGATTTTTTGGCTTCAATTTTTTCTTTCAGACATCATGCCAGTTGTTTAAATATTGAGTTCACTGTTTGCATGCGCAATCGAGATTGCATCGTCATTGTAAAATAAGGGTTAATTACACAAACAATGTATTAATGTCTTATTCACAATAATTTACCTCCATTTTAGCGATGTTTGTTTGCCCTTGCTGTTCGCTCTCGTATGCATTCTGAAACCCTCCCCAATTTCGTTGCCACATCATATAAAGGTATTTGCGTGAATTTACTAGGTTTGGTTGTCCAAGCTCCTCCAACACTTTAGCCCAAAAACCATCAATTTTCCTCCACTTACATTCATGTATGTTGGCACAATTCAACGATACCATTATGGATGCAATTTCTTTAATGTTCTCCTTTAGAGCAAAACATCCTGCGACTTTTGCTTTTTGAAATCGTGTCTATAAATAGATAAGAAAGTGTCCTTAACAATTCATTCAAATAAACGCAAATTACGCAGAAAAGAGAAATTGGTACATACCGACATTTTTATAAACGCAATGCAGTTAAAAAATTCTGTAGTGTGTGAATGCTACATCAGGAAATGCAAATTGAAATAAAGTGAGTAAATCATAACGGTTTGGTTAATTCGGTGCCAAAAAATCAAAAAAGGCCCACTGCTTACCTGTTCAAAAAAGTATGTTTATCAGCAATGTAATTTTCAAAAGTTAACTATAACCGATGAAATGCTTTTGAATATACTTCAATTAATGAGAATATGGAGCTGTTATTGTTCTATTGAGATATGCAAATCATCCAAAAATAGCAGTGCCGTCATTGGCTATGTTGTTGTCATCTCGTCTCAAATCCTAACAACAAAGCATCCTAGAACATAACATCCTATCACTGTTCACAGCTTACAGACCAGCCAGACGTTGAAATCTGAACAGTTGAGTTAAAGTTCAAAAAAAATATGTCTTCGCCAATGGGTAATATTTTTGAATAGAAGAAAGAAAAGTTCATCAATATTTTTATATTTTCTTCTAACAACAAGACTTATTTTTTATTATAGATGCTGAAAAAAATGAGGAGGCAATGCAAGGAGTAGCTACCCCAAACAGTGGGGGAAAATGGAGCTGTTATTGTTCTATTGAGATATGCAAATCATCCAAAATAGCAGTGCCGTCATTGGCTATGTTGTTGTCATCTCGTCTCAAATCCTAATAACAAAGCATCCTAGAACATAACATCCTATCACTGTTCACAGCTTACAGACCAGCCAGACGTTGAAATCTGAACAGTTGAGTTAAAGTTCAAAAAATATGTCTTCGCCAATGGGTAATATTTTGAATAGAAGAAAGAAAAGTTCATCAATATTTTTATATTTTCTTCTAACAACAAGACTTATTTTTATTATAGATGCTGAAAAATCGAGGAGGCAATGCAAGGAGTAGCTACCCCAAACAGTGGGGAAAACGATAACATTGGACGAAGAAATGCTCCAAAGATTTCGCTGTAAATAAAAATATCCTTTCAAGTCATCTAATGAGCTTTATAAAATAGTTATATATTATAATTTTACAGTGTTTGAAGAATATTTGCGGAAAAATGGTGAGGTTCCACCCAGCGAACAACAAGCTCCACGTACCCAAGGTGCAGTTTTATATTGAAAATAAATGTTGGAAAAACCTCATTTTTCTTAGCTGATAAAGAATTCTCTTCCATTTTAATTTTAGCTCCATCTATTGAGCATCAGGAGAAAACGGATCGACCCATGCACCAGGCGTCGACTCAGCCTCCATTTTTAAAAGGTAATTCATCTTTTATAGAAAGTAACGCTAGAACTATACAAGTAAAATGAGTGCGAACACTTTTTACAGATGTGAGATGCTTTATTTGTGGGCAGCTTGGCCACAAAAATGGAGATGCACAACAAAACAACAGGGAAGAAGAGGGGGGCAAAAAGTTATTAACATATATTAATGTATATGACTTAAAATAAATAAAACTTTAAATACTGTTGTCATCCAAATACGCATGTCGTTTGATTTACAAGTTAGACGCCTTTGTTTCCAATAAAACCGGAACCGCTACTTACTTACATATTACGGACATCTGTAACCATACATCAACGATGATTTTCGATAATGCTATAGACAGATTTTCGATATGTTATAGACAATATAATTATCTATATTCTGGCCAAGTTTAAAAATTCTACCGTGTAGTTTTTAGCTATAGAGCTGTTTGTCGAATGTGGTGCCAACTTCACAGTTAATACCAGAGTACATTCTCAACGAATATTATTTCTTTTATTTTTTTGTGCCACCTCCAGATTTTGGATATGTTATAGGCAATACAAATATCTATAATACGGCCAAGTTTAAAAAAATTCTACCGTGTAGTTTTTTATTTATAAGGCTTTGTTTGTTAAAGAACCGGAATTCTTAACTTAAATATATAAGATTATATTACGCGCATTCGTGTCATCCGACTTTGTCGATGATTTTCTATCATTTATTTTTGTGCCACCTCCAGATTTTGGATATGTTATAGACAATAAGAATATCTACATTACGGCCAAGTTTAAAAAAATTCTACCGTGTAGTTTTTTGTTTATAAGGCTTTGTTTGTTTAAGAACCGGAATTCTAAACGTAATTATATAAGATCATATTACATGCATTCGTGTCATCCGACTTTGTCGATGATTTTCTACAACTTATTTTTTTGTGCCACCTCCAGATTTTGGATATATTTTAGACAATATAATTATCTATATTCTGGCCAAGTTTAAAAAATTTCTACCGTGTAGTTTTTTAGCTATAGAGCTGTTTGTCGAATGTGGTGCCAACTTCACGGTTTATACCAGAGTACATTCTCAAGGAATATTATTTCTTTTATTTTTGTGCCACCTCCAGATTTTGGATATATTATAGACAATAAGAATATCTATATATGGCCAAGTTTAAAAATTTCTACCGTGTAGTTTTTATTTATAAGGCTTTGTTTGTTAAAGAACCGGAATTCTTAACTTAAATATATAAGATTATATTACGCGCATTCGTGTCATCCGACTTTGTCGATGATTTTCTATCATTTATTTTTTTGTGCCACCTCCAGATTTTGGATATGTTATAGACAATAAGAATATCTACATTAAGGCCAAGTTTAAAAATTCTACCGTGTAGTTTTTAGCTATAGAGCTGTTTGTCGAATGTGGTGCCAACTTCACGGTTTATACCAGAGTACATTCTCAAGGAATATTATTTCTTTTATTTTTTTGTGCCACCTCCAGATTTTGGATATATTATAGACAAAAAGAATATCTACAATATGGCCAAATTTAAAAAATTTCTACCGTGTAGTTTTTTATTTATAAGGCTTTGTTTGTTAAAGAACCGGAATTCTTAACTTACATATATAAGATTATATTACGCGCATTCGTGTCATCCGACTTTGTCGATGATTTTCTATCATTTATTTTTTTGTGCCACCTCCAGATTTTGGATATATTTTAGACAATAGAATATCTACAATATGGCCAAGTTTAAAAATTTCTACCGTGTAGTTTTTATTTATAAGGCTTTGTTTGTTAAAGAACTGAATTCTTAACTTAAATATATAAGATTATATTACGCGGATTCGTGTCATCCGACTTTGTCGATGATTTTCTATCATTTATTTTTGTGCCACCTCCAGATTTTGGATATGTTATAGACAATAAGAATATCTACATTACGGCCAAGTTTAAAAAATTCTACCGTGTAGTTTTTGTTTATAAGGCTTTGTTTGTTAAGAACCGGAATTCTAAACGTAATTATATAAGATCATATTACATGCATTCGTGTCATCCGACTTTGTCGATGATTTTCTACATTTATTTTTGTGCCACCTCCAGATTTTGGATATATTTTAGACAATATAATTATCTATATTCTGGCCAAGTTTAAAAATTTCTACCGTGTAGTTTTTAGCTATAGAGCTGTTTGTCGAATGTGGTGCCAACTTCACGGTTTATACCAGAGTACATTCTCAAGGAATATTATTTCTTTTATTTTTGTGCCACCTCCAGATTTTGGATATATTATAGACAATAAGAATATCTACAATATGGCCAAGTTTAAAAATTTCTACCGTGTAGTTTTTATTTATAAGGCTTTGTTTGTTAAAGAACCGGAATTCTTAACTTAAATATATAAGATTATATTACGCGCATTCGTGTCATCCGACTTTGTCGATGATTTTCTATCATTTATTTTTGTGCCACCTCCAGATTTTGGATATATTTTAGACAATATAATTATCTATATTCTGGCCAAGTTTAAAAATTCTACCGTGTAGTTTTTATTTATAGGCCTTTGTTTGAAAAATTACATGGATATAGGAAGTTAATTATATAAGATTATATTACGCGCATTCGTGTCATCCGACTTTGTCGATGATTTTCTATCATTTATTTTTGTGCCACCTCCAGATTTTGGATATGTTATAGACAATAAGAATATCTACATTACGGCCAAGTTTAAAAAAATTCTACCGTGTAGTTTTTTAGCTATAGAGCTGTTTGTCGAATGTGGTGCCAACTTCACGGTTTATACCAGAGTACATTCTCAAGGAATATTATTTCTTTTATTTTTTGTGCCACCTCCAGATTTTGGATATATTATAGACAATAAGAATATCTACAATATGGCCAAGTTTAAAAAATTTCTACCGTGTAGTTTTTTATTTATAAGGCTTTGTTTGTTAAAGAACCGGAATTCTTAACTTAAATATATAAGATTATATTACGCGCATTCGTGTCATCCGACTTTGTCGATGATTTTCTATCATTTATTTTTTTGTGCCACCTCCAGATTTTGGATATATTTTAGACAATATAATTATCTATATTCTGGCCAAGTTTAAAAAAATTCTACCGTGTAGTTTTTTATTTATAGGCCTTTGTTTGAAAAATTACATGGATATAGGAAGTTAATTATATAAGATTATATTACGCGCATTCGTGTCATCCGACTTTGTCGATGATTTTCTATCATTTATTTTTGTGCCACCTCCAGATTTTGGATATGTTATAGACAATAAGAATATCTACATACGGCCAAGTTTAAAAAATTCTACCGTGTAGTTTTTAGCTATAGAGCTGTTTGTCGAATGTGGTGCCAACTTCACGGTTTATACCAGAGTACATTCTCAAGGAATATTATTTCTTTTATTTTTTGTGCCACCTCCAGATTTTGGATATATTATAGACAATAAGAATATCTACAATATGGCCAAGTTTAAAAATTTCTACCGTGTAGTTTTTATTTATAAGGCTTTGTTTGTTAAAGAACCGGAATTTTAACTTAAATATATAAGATTATATTACGCGCATTCGTGTCATCCGACTTTGTCGATGATTTTCTATCATTTATTTTTTGTGCCACCTCCAGATTTTGGATATATTTAGACAATATAATTATCTATATTCTGGCCAAGTTTAAAAAATTCTACCGTGTAGTTTTTATTTATAGGCCTTTGTTTGAAAAATTACATGGATATAGGAAGTTAATTATATAAGATTATATTACGCGCATTCGTGTCATCCGACTTTGTCGATGATTTTCTATCATTTATTTTTTTGTGCCACCTCCAGATTTTGGATATGTTATAGACAATAGAATATCTACATTACGGCCAAGTTTAAAAAATTCTACCGTGTAGTTTTTAGCTATAGAGCTGTTTGTCGAATGTGGTGCCAACTTCACGGTTTATACCAGAGTACATTCTCAAGGAATATTATTTCTTTTATTTTTTGTGCCACCTCCAGATTTTGGATATATTATAGACAATAAGAATATCTACAATATGGCCAAGTTTAAAAAATTTCTACCGTGTAGTTTTTATTTATAAGGCTTTGTTTGTTAAAGAACCGGAATTTTAACTTAAATATATAAGATTATATTACGCGCATTCGTGTCATCCGACTTTGTCGATGATTTTCTATCATTTATTTTTGTGCCACCTCCAGATTTTGGATATATTTTAGACAATATAATTATCTATATTCTGGCCAAGTTTAAAAATTCTACCGTGTAGTTTTTATTTATAGGCCTTTGTTTGAAAAATTACATGGATATAGGAAGTTAATTATATAAGATTATATTACGCGCATTCGTGTCATCCGACTTTGTCGATGATTTTCTATCATTTATTTTTGTGCCACCTCCAGATTTTGGATATATTTTAGACAATATAATTATCTATATTCTGGCCAAGTTTGAAAAATTCTACCGTGTAGTTTTTATTTATAGGCCTTTGTTTGAAAATTACATGGATATAGGAAGTTAATTATATAAGATTATATTACGCGCATTCGTGTCATCCGACTTTGTCGATGATTTTCTATCATTTATTTTTGTGCCACCTCCAGATTTTGGATATGTTATAGACAATAAGAATATCTACATTACGGCCAAGTTTAAAAAATTCTACCGTGTAGTTTTTAGCTATAGAGCTGTTTGTCGAATGTGGTGCCAACTTCACGGTTTATACCAGAGTACATTCTCAAGGAATATTATTTCTTTTATTTTTTGTGCCACCTCCAGATTTTGGATATATTATAGACAATAAGAATATCTACATATGGCCAAGTTTAAAAATTTCTACCGTGTAGTTTTTATTTATAAGGCTTTGTTTGTTAAAGAACCGGAATTTTAACTTAAATATATAAGATTATATTACGCGCATTCGTGTCATCCGACTTTGTCGATGATTTTCTATCATTTATTTTTTGTGCCACCTCCAGATTTTGGATATATTTTAGACAATATAATTATCTATATTCTGGCCAAGTTTAAAAAATTCTACCGTGTAGTTTTTATTTATAGGCCTTTGTTTGAATAATTACATGGATATAGGAAGTTAATTATATAAGATTATATTACGCGCATTCGTGTCATCCGACTTTGTCGATGATTTTCTATCATTTATTTTTGTGCCACCTCCAGATTTTGGATATATTTTAGACAATATAATTATCTATATTCTGGCCAAGTTTAAAAATTCTACCGTGTAGTTTTTATTTATAGCCTTTGTTTGAAAAATTACATGGATATAGGAAGTTAATTATATAAGATTATATTACGCGCATTCGTGTCATCCGACTTTGTCGATGATTTTCTATCATTTATTTTTGTGCCACCTCCAGATTTTGGATATATTTTAGACAATATAATTATCTATATTCTGGCCAAGTTTGAAAAAATTCTACCGTGTAGTTTTTATTTATAGCCCTTTGTTTGAAAAATTACATGGATATAGGAAGTTAATTATATAAGATTATATTACGCGCATTCGTGTCATCCGACTTTGTCGATGATTTTCTATCATTTATTTTTTGTGCCACCTCCAGATTTTGGATATGTTATAGACAATAAGAATATCTACATTACGGCCAAGTTTAAAAATTCTACCGTGTAGTTTTTATTTATAGGCCTTTGTTTGAAAATTACATGGATATAGGAAGTTAATTATATAAGATTATATTACGCGCATTCGTGTCATCCGACTTTGTCGATGATTTTCTATCATTTATTTTTTTTGTGCCACCTCCAGATTTTGGATATATTTTAGACAATATAATTATCTATATTCTGGCCAAGTTTAAAAAAATTCTACCGTGTAGTTTTTAAATTATAGGCTATTTAAGAGAAATGGAAAGTACACTGTAATATAAATCTTAGTGTTTTCTTCAATTTCTTGACTTTTATACATTTTTTGTGATGTTTAAGGACTCTAAAATAGTAATAAACAGTTAAGAATTATTTTTTACTGTTGTATTTGATGGAAAACGTGTTTTAAAGACGATTTTTTGATTTATCATTTTGAATGATAAATTTTAGTTGAATGTGGTGTTGAATGTTGTGATGAATGTTGTGTTGAATGTTGTGCCCAATGTGGTGCCAATTTCACGGTAGTCATTTTATGTTGCTTCGAAATTATGGCTTTTTTTTACTTCATTGTCTGACATTGATCTTCTTTCTCTTTGAACAGGTAATAGCATTTATATTCATACTCGTACATTCGCTACTGTGAAGAAAATTTTAGCAAGACGATGATTTCGAAACGAGAGTTTGACTTTGTAAACACTATTGTTCCAGGGTCACGGTGGTGAATACGCTATTCTACGAGCCTCGACAACGTCACAGTCAAAGGATTTTTGCGTTGCGTATTCTCCTTTATGGCGTGAGTTACCAACGAAATTATCAGATACTGTACGTATTTGCGTATTTCTATTGCAAGCTATTCTTGCTGTGAAGTTCGTTGTTGTTCTGTCAAAGATTGTGGTTTTAACTTTTAAATTTGGCTCTAGTGTTCTCGTTGAGAAATAGATTTCAGTTTTTATTGGATTTAAGCGATTTTTTTTCGTAGACTTTTCAATTACAATAACTGTGTTACCGGGAAATTACAAAACGCTATCTTTCCTTAATATATTGTTTCAGTCATAATGATGACAATTGAAGAGTCTATGATTAAGCAGATAGTTAATTTTTTTAAAAAAATTTGTTTGCTCGCCGTTTGTTTGTTTTAAAATAATTATTCCTTTCATGAATGAAAAACATTAAAAGTTTTTCAAAAACCAGATTGCATTTGACCACATACCACATCACTGTTTATCACATGGCGCTATCTATCATCTAGCATTATTTATTTATTTCCAGCCAAAATATGAGTATGTTGTCGTGTCTGTTGAAGAATTGTGTTCACGAAAGTCGATGAAATACTACAACAATAAAGCTGTATTTGTTGAAACAAAGGGTTACAACTGTACATACACAGAAGGGCCCAAGGCTGTCCAATCTCGAAATGGAACGGAACTAATACTTGTGAATGAAGTTTTGGTAATTTTACCTCATTTCTGTGCCGGTGGTTGTTTCAACTTTTCGAGATTAATGTTCTTCTAACACAATTTATTATTATCATTTTGTGTACTTTTCCATTGTTCAGTTTACTGCCCAACCTTCAACAGACCACATTAACTCCACAATTTCTGTTGCTGTGATGAAGACCTCGGATTTTGGTACCATGAAGGTATGATGTGATTTTGAACAACAAAAAACCCATGGGACAAGGGCAATATCTTGTGTCTCCACCTAATTACACACATTATTGCTATAGAAACTTGGTAAGAAAGTCAGAGTTCAACTCTATGAACCACCACTTGCTGCTGTAGATACAAACCTTGCTGTCATTTGGTTCCTGGCAGTTGGTACAGTTGTCATTGGTGCTTACTGGAGTGGTAATACTGCAAACGAATTGAGGTTAAGTGTTTCACATTTATTGACAAACTTCTATTTATTGCTAGAAGGCAATACCTTTCATGTTGTTCATGGTATGTTTTTGTTGATTTCAGGCTAAAGCAAGAGATTTCATTATCATCCAACGACTCAGAAGATGAAGAGGCCGCCATGAAAATCACCCCCTTGATGGTGGTCATATTTGTGTTATTGATATGTCTCTTTCTTGTGATGGTCTATTATCTCTATTCCTACGTTGTATATGCAATCATTGGTGTGTTTGCATTTGCATCGGCATCTGGCATGTACGAATGCCTAGATGCGATGGCTCATCTACTGCCCTTCTGTAAGTGTTGAAAATGAATTATGTGCTGTTGTTTTATAATGCCACTGAACTATGTCATTATTGTTTTGGTGATATTTGAAGGTGCATGTAGAATCACATTGCCATGTTATAAGAAGACAAGCTTCACAATGAAGTCAGTTATCGTGCTAGCAATTTCCCTTGGAGTCAGTACTTGGTGGGTGATTGTACGAAATAGAAGGTAAAAATATCACTGGTCAAGATGATAAAAAACCACACCAATTAATGGAATAGAAATTTCATTTTTGAGGTCAAACTACGTCGTGTTGACTTTAGTGAAAATTGGTTTTACTTTATCACTTTATCAGGATTTTCATTTCTCTTACAGTTATGGTTGGATTTTACAAGACACGCTTGGTGTATCATTTTGCATTTCACTGTTAAAGAATCTTCGCTTACCCAGCATGAAAATCTGTACTTTGCTGCTTCTCTTACTTCTTGTTTATGATGTATTCTTTGTGTTCATCACACCTCTCTTCTCAGCCAGTCACAACAGTGTAATGGTTGATGTTGCAACAGGTAAAGCAGCAACACACTTTATCATGTGGAAATTTTTTGTGGGATCCCTACAATACAAAGATACTACACTGAAATATCTAAGGACTGAACTTGAACACCTGATGAAGATACTAGACTAGACTACACAAGAACTCAAATTTCAATATCAGATCACTCTTGATAAAGACACTAGACTGTAGTACATAAGGACTTAAGTTTCAATATCACATCACTCTTGATGAAGACACTAGATTGGAGTATATAAGAACTCAAGTTTCAACATCAGATCACTCCTGATGAAAACACTAGACTGGAGTTTATAAGGACTCAATTTCAATATTAAATCACTCCTGACGAAGATATTACATTTAAGTACATATAGACTGAAGTTTACACACGAGACACTACTGAAGAATGCCCTTAACCGACATCTGTAAGAAAATAAATTTCTATTAAATATTCACGTAGGCGAAGGTCATAAAGAACAGCTACCGATGGTTCTGAAAGTTCCACGAATTATCCGTTCACCATTGTTGATTTGTCAGAGAAGGGATTATTCGCTGCTAGGATTTGGGGATATCTTAGTTCCAGGTACATAATTCAGTCTTACGACTGGATCATCCACAAGATAAACGCTCTCTAGTTAATAAATCTCCGTCTTTCTTTAAGGTCTATTTGTGTCATTCTGTCATTCATTCGACCGAATGGCCAATACTCCGTTACGAATATATTATGTTGCCAGTTCAATAGGTAAGTCATGGTTTGACTGACATGCTTTTTGGAGTTGTTTCAATAAGAAAAAAAGTGAAATTAAACCTAAACGATTGAAAGAAAATAACCTCAAAGGCGATTTTGAAATCGAACTTTGAAAAACATAGAAGACCTTCGAATAACGTTATGTAATGTATGTTTGAGCCTGGCTTAAATTATATCACAAACAAACGAAAGGAATAGATTAGCGCCTCTTATTATAGCTCTCTCCCCCTTCTATTTTGTTTTGGCAGTTAATCAAAGAACGATGAACTAACTGCGAAAGTAAAATGGGCGAGTTTAAAATAACATCTACCGATCCTGTGTAATCAGCTCTTAAACCGTAGATTATGCGAGGAGGGCCATCACAGTGAAAGGCGCATGAGTGAAGAGTTGGGTCACATTGGAAATTGAGTGATGAGTGAAGAGTTGGGTCACATGAGAAGTTGAGTGACAAGTGAAGAGTTGGGTCACATGGGAAGTTAAGTCATATGAGTGAAGAGTTGGGTCACGTGGGAAGTTAAGTAACATGAGTGAAGAGTTGGGTCACATGGGAAGTTAAGTAATGAGTGAAGAGTTGGGTCACAGGGAAGTTGAGTGACAGTGAAGAGTTGGGTCACATGGGAAGTTAAGTCATATGAGTGAAGGGTTGAGTCACATGGGAAGTTGAGTGACGAGTGAAGAGTTGGGTCACATGGGAAGTTAAGTCACATGAGTGAAGAGTTGTGTCACATGGGAAGTTAAGTCATATGAGTGAAGAGTTGGGTCACATGGGAAGTTGTGTCACATGGGAAGTTAAGTCGCTTGAGTGAAGAGTTAGGTCACGTGGGAAGTTAAAGTCATATGAGTGAAGTGTTCTGTCACATGAGGAGTTACATTCTATGAGTCAAGAGTTACGTCACATGGTACATGTATAATTTCATTATTTAGCGTATGCCGTTGGTCTAGTCGTGACGTTTGCCGCGCTGTTTTGATGGAAGAAGGTCAACCGGCTTTGGTGTATCTCGTGCCGTGTACCTTGCTCACGGTCATCGTCATCAGTCTCATTCGAGGAGAATTTTGTGATCTTTGGCATGGGACTTACGTAAGCAATAACTTTTTAAAACATAGAAAAAATACACGACTAACGTTCACAAACTTTTAAGTCCTGTACTGCAATAATTGAAATTTCCGGAATTTCAGAATTAGTTTTTGATTATTAATTGTGTAACATTATTGAAATTGGTTCTGAGAAATATAGACACTTTTAATTTGTATAACGGACTAAAACTACTCCAACTAGTTAAGGCTTCTAAAAAATACCCTGCTAGAGCTCAAAAACATTATATTTTCACAAACCTTTAAGTATCTTTTCCCATTTAGGATTTGAACAACCCAAGCGTTGAACCGCTGGTACAAAGCGACGATGAAGAAGACTGTATTTTTGACAGGACAGCGGGCGCAGAAGGCCGCAACCTCAGCAACAATAAGCACGTTAAGGAGGAAGATGAAGTGATCAATTAATGGGAACTGTGCAATCGATTTAAATATAAAGCTGTGGGTCTATGTCCATAGAAGGTCATTTCCAAATTACATAGTACCGCGCGGTGTATAGACACTTTATAGATAATATATAGCAACTATATTTCTATACAGCTGAGTGAAGAAATCAAACTCCAGCAACTATAATAGCATTTGTATACTTACATAAATTATATTTGTAATTGTGTATGTTAAGAGGTTATTTGCACAAAAATATCGGTGGAAGTTTTAAACCATCGCATTTTACTTTAAAAGTTTTAGTAAGTCAAAGTCACATCGTAAGAGTATTCGTGTAGTTTATAGATATTCTTTTCAATTTATTTTTGATAAATCATGATGAATCACCAGTACAAAAACCGACACTAAAGTAGACAGAAAAAAGGAGAAATTGCTTTTGGTTTGTAGTAACTCGTTGGTAGCTCGTTCATTCGTCGAGTATTCGTCAACGAGTACAAAAACCGACACTAAAGTAGACAGAAAAGGAGGAAATGCTTTTGGTGTGTAGTAACTCGTTGGTAGCTCGTTCATTCGTCGAGTATTCGTCAACGAGTACAAAAACCGACACTAAAGTAGACAGAAAAAGGAGGAAATGCTTTTGGTTTGTAGTAACTCGTTGGTAGCTCGTTCATTCGTCGAGTATTCGTCAACGAGTACAAAAACCGACACTAAAGTAGACAGAAAAAGGAGGAAATGCTTTGGTGTGTAGTAACTCGTTGGTAGCTCGTTCATTCGTCGAGTATTCGTCAACGAGTACAAAAACCGACACTAAAGTAGACAAAAAAAGGAGGTAGCGCTTTTGGTGTGTAGTAACTCGTTGGTAGCTCGTTCATTCGTCGAGTATTCGTCAAAATGCATAAGATAAAAGAAGAGATCCAAAACTAACAAAATGTTGACACAAAGAGAACATAAATGAAGAAGTAAAGGACACAAATATTTGTAGGCTGACATAACCGGTTGGTAACTCGTTTGTACTACTGATAAAACAGAAAAGTTTTCACTTTCATGACGCAAAGACGAAGAAGAAATGAAAATGAAAGCGAAATAAACCAAAACAAAACAATGAGCAAAAAGAAATTCAAAAACAGAAACAAACCTACGAAACATATGAATTGGTGAGTGAAGGTAAAAATCGTCGATACCTCTTCCGGAAATTCGCCAGTAAGGACATAGAGGAAACACTAAAGAGAATTAAAAGTAAACATAAATTAGACAAAAAAAAAAATACAGAAAAAAATGATCGATAAAAAAATACATAAATTTTGTGCTAAAGCGTTGGAAGCCGCTAAGACGTCGGTATTAGTCATTGAACTAAAATACATCTGGAACGCTACCTGTAATAGAAAAGCCAAATAATTTTTAAAGCCAAATATTACACCCTACACGCGAGATTACACCTAGACACGCGTGTAGTTCAATCAATTTTCACTCCGCGAGAGAATCTCGAAACACTACACACTACAAACTACATCAAAAAGTAACTATACAAACGCAGATGCAAACGTTCATGGATGCGTTGACACAAATGTTGGTAGGTTGTGGTAACTCGTTGTGAACTTGACCATAAATCGTCCATGTACTACTATTAATAAAATACTAGACCCTTTAAAAATACGGTGTATACACAAAAAAGACATAAAACACAAAGCAAAAGTAGAGATTATTTACACCCGAAAGTAGACAAAAGCAAACAAAAAACGAGGGAAAACGTTTACTGTTTAAGGTAACTCGTTGGGTACTATTTCAAAATCTTAGATAAAACAAAAGAACCTGTTCTAATGCGATTCAAAACAAATAACAAACAAAAAAGAAGCGATAGATAAGATTAAGTGGACACAAAGGTGAATAGAAAAGCAGATAAACTAGTAGAAAAATAATGGGTAAAAATCTTTTGTAGTTTATGGTAAGCGGTTGATAACTCGTCGATTGTTCTTTAAAACATCAGATACAACAGGGATCGTGACTAAAACACCACACGAGTACATACGAGTACATACGAATACATACGAGTACATACAAGTACATACGACTGACATACGAGTACATACGAGTGACATACGACTATATAGGGTTAGGGTTAGGGTTAGATATATATATATATACTGGTCACAAGTATATATATATATATATATATATATATATATAGGAAGTTTATAATTTATGATTTTCCGTATAAAACAGTGCTCGATGCCCGAGAGCAGAGCGTAAATATTGATAAGAAGAAGAAAATACACAAAAACTACAATTTCATCCCGACAAGCCTGTTTCGTGATTGCTCACTCTTCAGGGGATTTTAATTCGAAGTTGTCGCGTTGTCGCGCGTTGTGATTGGCTGAAAGGCTTCTTTCGGGGGGAAGTTCTTGAGTTGTTTGTCAATACTGAATAATGAATATCCAATTACTAACACAAGATGGCAGCAGCAATGGAAGGGTTCGAAGAAAAATTAGCAGAAGTCCGAAAATATGGTCATCTTTACGATTCTTCGAGACGAGATTATAAAGATACTCAGAAAACCAATAATTCTTGGAATGAAATAGCGAGAAACCTTAACACAAATGAACAAATTTGTCGACAGAAATGGAAAAATTTGAGAAATCGTTACACCAAAGCCAAGAAACGAATGAAGTCTAGAAGTGGAGATGCTGGTGGCAAATCTATCCCACCGATATTCCTCAGTCTGTCTTGTCTGATCATATAAAGCATAGGGACACAGAAACTAATTTTCGGGAGGTAGTTATAATCGCTATTAAAAAAATTTGATGCAATATGGGACAGGCTGACTGATTGAGTAGATTATTATGTTACATCTGTTGTTGCTGTGATTGTAGGAGAACACTGAAGAACCTATAACAACATCAGAATCCCTTCCACTAGGAGAAATTTTGTGACGATAAATATGGAGGAGTTTGACCTAACCGCATGGTCTCCCTCAACAAGTAGAAGCGATTCAAATGTCAGTGAAAATTCGTGTACAACACCTACATTACCTACCAAACCTACCACACCAGTAAGTAGTGACCCATCTGCCCCTTCCACAATTGCTTGAGTAGAGCTGTGGTAAACCCGACCAAGGGCTATAGAAAGAGATCTGCACATTTAGAGACATTAGTTTGTGAAAGACTTGATTCTTTGAAAAGATTAGAGAAGAAAGAGAAACAAAACATATGAAAATTGATGAAGAAAGTCGCTTTTCAGATACAGTGGCTGACACTCCAAAGCTTCCAGGCAAGTTGAAATCTGAAGCTAAATTTTCCATTCATAAAATATTGTTTGAAATGGTAATTTTCAATTACCCTTCTAGCTCTGGAATGGCGGTAGTTATAAATTTTCTTGGGATTGTCAAGGTTATTACCTTAAGCGTAAATAGAACAAAAATGGCATTAACATCAACTGTTTTAGCAATTTACTGAGTCTTGGGAAACTCTGCCAACAAGCAGCCAGGAAATTTTTTTTGATCACAATTCTTGTGGGGAATGAAAAAAACATTTTGAATGAGTCTTACACAGACATAAATTGAATAAATTTATTTCATTTTTGAAGTCACAAACAGTTAATATAAATTTTTAAAAATATATGAAATAACTATGTTTTGATTAAACATAAGAAAATTATTTTCATTGAAAACGGAAAATATATATAAAAGTGCATGGAGTTAACAAAAGAAAATGTACCTGGGTAAGGTCTCATCATATTAACATGAAGAGGAAAAGCAGCATCGCCAACAAATACATAAGGTATGTAAGTTTACTACCAGGTAGATCCTCTGGCAAGGGCAAACCAAGTTGTCCATTTAATAGCTGCTCCCCAAATTTGCTTTCTTGGAAATCCCCCCATCACTTTGCCTTCCATATGCACCTACATCTACCATTAGAAAGCGATAGCAAGCATCACATACAGCCATTAGTACAACAGAATGAGTTCCTTTATAATTAAAGAAATCACTTCCAGAAAGAGGAGGTGCTTTGAGTTGCACATGCTTTCCATCTATAGAGCCCAGACAATTTGGAAAGTTCCAAAGCCTCCAAAACTCACGCGAAATTTCTGCCCATTGTGAACCAGAAGGAAAGGCAACAAACTCTTCATTCAATGCCAACCAGATAGCTACACACACCTCCAACAAAATTAGGGAAACTGTAGTTGATCCTAATCGGTAACTTGAAGCCACAGTTTGTTGTGAGGCGCCAGACGATAGAATTCTTAACGTAACTGCTAGCCTTTCTTTTACACTAACAGGACTTAAATGCGTAGATGCATGCTTTACATGAGGCATAATTCGATGTGCCAAGTCGTCGAAACGGGCAGAAGACATACGAAAATACTTAAAATGCATTTCTTCGTCTATGCCTCTCATTTGTTGAACAAGAACGTATTCACCCTCACTTTTTCTAGAAGCGTGAAGTGGTCGAACTGACCATCTTCTTCATTTTCGTTTTTTCTGTTGTAGCAACAAAAGTAAATAGCACAACATTTCCTCCTCCTCCAGATCGAGAAGGTCATCCATTTCTCCTCGAACTCGAGTTGCCATGTTTGATCGTGAGAATACCGCATTACTTCATGTTATCCGATTTTGTTGAATACGCGTCGGTAAGCGCGTTAACTATAAACACAGCTTAGAGCGCGCGCACCTGTCTCGCGCAAATCGAAAGTACGCGCGACGCTTGTCGCGCGCAGCATAAATCGGCCTTTAGTGACGACAACCGACATTAAATGAAAATAGCAACTTTTCCAAAAGTTAATGTTGACAATCTCCGCTATTCGTATTTACCTAACAACACGAACACCGAAGCAGAGAGAACGCTGACTTTTTCATTGCTCTATCAATTTATTGGGTGAAATTCAGCCTCTTGCAAAAAGAGAATGGCATCGCAGTTTTCTGCCTTACCTATTACCCTCCTCCCCTCCCCACACACCTAATTCTTGGGTTGCAAGTACGTCATTGTCGCCATGTTGGATGAATTTAACAAAAGATTTTCCTTATGTGCAATGCAAATTTCATCCAACATGGCGAGCATTCCATTATTCGTTTACTCTCAGGGGGATGGTTGCTACCCACCAATATGAACAAACGGGTTTCCAAATAGGGTGAATCAGACAAAAGTGATGAACACAAACTATTCGCTCTTTAGTTTTAACACATTCATAGTGTTTTGTAGCTCATTGCACATACAGACCAAGTCTCACGCTTTTGGCGTGAGACTCACGCTTTTCGACGCAATCTCACGCAACCACGCCATTCAGACAAAATATCACTCTTTTTTAAATATTACAACCAGCCCATGTTTTTGAACCACCAAAGTCTATGCTAAAGAAAGCCAAAACTGCAACATGGGATTATAACAAGCTCCATGCTAAGAAGTGATGTTTTGCTTCACAAAACTTCTACTGTTGAGAAAACAAAACATGTTGATTGAACCCTTATTTCAATTACGTTGATGAAAACCAAAGTAGGTCGATGAATTTTTATTCATATTTTAGTCTAGAAGTTCGGCCATCCGGGCCTCACTATTGCCCCTTCGGGGTGATTACATTTCACTCCATACAAACCAAAACCTTGGCATCTATGAATTTGCACTTCGAACGAATCAAAAACCCTGATCATTTAGGTAGATACCACGATATCACCGACCCTTTTTCCCATTGCTGTTTACATTCTAACCTTCGCAGTCAAAAAATTCGGGAATATCGCGTTTGCGCAGATGGTCAACATGAATTGGGAAAAAGGAACGCTTCCGTCTCAGAAATTTGCAAATGACAACAAGATACAAAACCGCATTTTATGTTGCTTCGAAATTATGGCTTTTTTACTTTATTGTCTGACATTGATCTTCTTTCTCTTTGAACAGGTAATAGCATTTATATTCATACTCGTACATTCGCTACTGTGAAGAAAATTTTAGCAAGACGATGATTTCGAAACGAGAATTTGACTTTGTCAACACTATTGTTTCAGGGTCAAGGTGGTGAATACGCTATTCTACGAGCCTCGACAACGTCACAGTCAAAGGATTTTTGCGTTGCGTATTCTCCTTTATGGCGTGAGTTACCAACGAAATTATCAGATACTGTACGTATTTGCGTATTTCTATTGCAAGCTATTCTTGCTGTGAAGTTCGTTGTTGGTCTGTCAAAGATTGTGGTTTTAACTTTTAAATTTGGCTCTAGTGTTCTCGTTGAGAAATAGATTTCAGTTTTTATTGGATATAGCGATTTTTTTCGTAGACTTTTCAATTACAATAACTGTGTTACCGGGAAATTACAAAACGCTGCTATCTTTCCTTAATATATTTTTTCAGTCATAATGATGGCAATTAAATGCAACGTATTGAAGAGCCTATGATTAAGCAGATGGTTATTTTTTTTAAAAGATTTGTTTGTTCGCCGTTTGTTTGTTTTAAAATTATTATTCCTTTCATGAATGAAAAAACATTAAAAAGTTTATTCAAAAAAAATAAATAATACTGTTACAATGCAAACACATGCATTTCCAAGTTCTTAGATATCATTGAAGAAAATAGTTCCAAAAAAAAACAGATTGTATTTGATCACATTACTGTTTATCACATGGCGCTATCTATCATCTAGCATTATTTATTTATTTCCAGCCAAAATATGAGTATGTTGTCGCGTCTGTTGAAGAATTGTGTTCAAGAAAGTCGACGAAATACTACAACAATAAAGCTGTATTTGTTGAAACAAAGGGTTACAACTGTATATACATAGAAGGGCCCAAGGCTGTCCAATCTCGAAATGGAACGGAACTAATACTTGTGAATGAAGTTTTGGTAATTTTACCTCATTTCTGTGCCGGTGGTTGTTTCAACTTTTCAAGATTAATGTTCTTCTAACACAATTTATTATTATCATTTTGTGTACTTTCCCATTGTTCAGTTTATTGCCCAACCTTCAACAGACCACATTAACTCCACAATTTCTGTTGCTGTGATGAAGACCTCGGATTTTGGTACCATGAAGGTACGATGTGGTTTTGAACAACAAAAAACCCATGGGACAAGGGCAATACCTTGTGTCTCAACCTAATTACACTCATTATTGCTATAGAAACTTGGTAAGAAAGTCAGAGTTCAACTCTATGAACCACCACTTGCTGCTGTAAATACAAACCTTGCTGTCATTTGGTTCCTGGCAGTTGGTACAGTTGTCATTGGTGCTTACTGGAGTGGTAATACTGCAAACGAATTGAGGTTAAGTGTTTCACATTTATTGACAAACTTCTATTTATTGCTAGAAGGCAATACCTTTCATGTTGTTGATGGTATGTTTTTGTTGATTTCAGGCTAAAGCGAGAGATTTTATCATCATCCAACGACTCAGAAGATGAAGAGGCCGCCATGAAAATCACCCCCTTGATGGTGGTCATATTTGTGTTAATCATATGTCTCTTTCTTGTGATGGTCTATCTCTATTTCTATGTTGTATATGCAATCATCGGTGTGTTTGCAATTGCATCGGCATCTGGCATGTACGATTGCTTAAATGCAATGGCTCATCTACTACCCTTCTGTAAGTGTGGAAAGTGAATTATGTGCTGTTGTTTTGTAATGCAACTGAACTATGTCACTATTGTTTTGGTGATTTTTGAAGGTGCATGTAGAATCACATTGCCATGTTATAAGAAGACAAGCTTCACAATGAAGTCAGTTATCGTGCTAGCAATTTCCCTTGGAGTCAGTACTTGGTGGGTGATTGTACGAAATAGAAGGTAAAAATATCTCTCGTCAAGATGATTAACCAAACCAATTAAAAAAATAATGGACGTTGTCTTGACTTTAGTGAAAATTGGTTTTACTTTATCAATTCATCAGGATTTTCATTTCTCTTACAGTTATGGTTGGATTTTACAAGACACGCTTGGTGTATCGTTTTGCATTTCACTGTTAAAGAATCTTCGCTTACCCAGCATGAAAATCTTTACTTTGCTGCTTCTCTTACTTCTTGTTTATGATGTAATCTTTGTGTTCATCACCTCTCTTCTCAGCCAGTCACAACAGTGTAATGGTTGATGTTGCAACAGGTAAAGCAGCAACACACTTTATAATGTGGAAATTTTTTGTGGGATCCCTACAATACAAAGATACTACACTGAAATATCTAAGGACTGAACTTGAACACCTGATGAAGATACTAGACTGGACTACACAAGAACTCAAATTTCAATATCAGATCACTCTTGATAAAGACACTAGACTGTAGTAAATAAGGACTTAAGTTTCAATATCACATCACTCCTGATGAAGACACTAGATTGGAGTATATAAGAACTCAAGTTTCAACATCAGATCACTCCTGATGAAGACACTAGACTGGAGTATATAAGAACTCAAGTTTCAACATCAGATCAACCCTAATGAAGACACTAGACTGGAGTATATAAGAACTCAAGTTTCAACATCAGATCACTCCTGATGAAGACACTAGACTGGAGTTTATAAGGACTCAAGTTTCAATATTAGATCACTCCTGACGAAGACACTAGACTGGAGTATATAAGAACTCAAGTTTCAACATCAGATCACTCCTGATGAAGACACTAGACTGGAGTATATAAGAACTCAAGTTTCAACATCAGATCAACCCTAATGAAGACACTAGACTGGAGTATATAAGAACTCAAGTTTCAACATCAGATCACTCCTGATGAAGACACTAGACTGGAGTATATAAGAACTCAAGTTTCAACATCAGATCAACCCTAATGAAGACACTAGACTGTAGTATATAAGAACTCAAGTTTCAACATCAGATCACTCCTGACGAAGACACTAGACTGGAGTTTATAAGGACTCAAGTTTCAATATTAGATCACTCCTGACGAAGACACTAGACTGGAGTATATAAGAACTCAAGTTTCAACATCAGATCACTCCTGATGAAGACACTAGACTGGAGTATATAAGAACTCAAGTTTCAACATCAGATCAACCCTAATGAAGACACTAGACTGGAGTATATAAGAACTCAAGTTTCAACATCAGATCACTCCTGATGAAGACACTAGACTGGAGTATATAAGAACTCAAGTTTCAACATCAGATCAACCCTAATGAAGACACTAGACTGGAGTATATAAGAACTCAAGTTTCAACATCAGATCACTCCTGACGAAGACACTAGACTGGAGTTTATAAGGACTCAAGTTTCAATATCATATCACTCCTGACGAAGATATTACATTTAAGTACATATAGACTTACGTTTACACACGAGACACTACTGAAGAATACCCTTAACCGACATCTGTAAAAAAATAAATTTCCATGAAATATTCACGTAGGCGAAGGTCATAAAGAGCAGATACCGATGGTTCTGAAAGTTCCACCAATTATCCGTTCACCATTGTTGATTTGTCAGAGAAGGGATTATTCGCTGTTAGGATTTGGGAATATCTTAGTTCCAGGTACATAATTCAATCTTACGACTGGATCATCCACAAGATAAACGCTCTCTAGTTAATAAATCTCCGTCTTTCTTTAAGGTCTATTTGTGTCATTCTGTCATTCATTCGACCGAATGGCCAATACTCCGTTACGAATATATTATGTTGCCAGTTCAATAGGTAAGTCATGGTTTGACTGACGAGCTTTTTGGAGTTGTTTCAATTAAAAAAAATGAAATTAACCCTAAACGATTGAAGGAAAATAACCTCAAAGGCGATTTTGAAATCAAACTTTGAAAAACATGGAAGATCTTCGAATAACGTTATGTAATGTATGTTTGAGCCTGGCTTAAATTATGTCACAAACAAACGAAAAGAATATATTAGCGCCTCTTATTATAGCTCTCTCCCCCCTTCCCCCCCCCGCTATTTTGTTTTGGCAATTAATCAAAGAACGATGAACTAACTGCGAAAGTAAAATGGGCGAGTTTAAAATAACATCTACCGATCCTGTGTAATCAGCTCTTAAACTGTAGATCATGCGAGGAGGGCCATCACTGTGAAAGGCGCATGAGTGAAGAGTTGGGTCACATGGGAAGTTAAGTAATGAGTGAAGGGTTGGGTCACATGGGAAGTTAAGTCAAGTGAGTGAAGAGTTGGGTCACATGGGAAGTTAAGTCACATGAGTGAAGAGTTGGGTCACATGGGAAGTTAAGTCACATGAGTGAAGAGTTGGGTCACATGGGAAGTTAAGTCTTATGAGTGAAGAGTTGGCTCACATGGGAAGTTAAGTCTTATGAGTGAAGAGTTGGCTCACATGGGAAGGTGAGTCACATGGGAAGTTAAGTAACATGAGTGAAGAGTTGGGTCACATGGGAAGTTAAGTAATGAGTGAAGAGTTGGGTCACATGGGAAGTTAAGTCATATGAGTGAAGAGTTGGGTCACATGGGAAGTTAAGTCTTATGAGTGAAGAGTAGGGTCACATGGAAGGTGAGTCACATGGGAAGTTAAGTAACATGAGTGAAGAGTTGGGTCACATGGGAAGTTAAGTCACACGAGTGAAGAGTTGGGTCACATGGGAAGTTAAGTCTTATGAGTGAAGAGTTGGGTCACATGGGAAGGTGAGTCACATGGGAAGTTAAGTAACATGAGTGAAGAGTTGGGTCACATGGGAAGTTAAGTCATGTGAGTGAAGAGTTGGGTCACATGGGAAGTTGAGTGACGAGTGAAGAGTTGGGTCACATTGGAAGTTAAGTCATATGAGTGAAGAGTTGGGTCACATGGGAAGTTAAGTAATGAGTGAAGAGTTGGGTCACATGGGAAGTTAAGTCACATGAGTGAAGAGTTGGGTCACATGGGAAGTTAAGTCATGTGAGTGAAGAGTTGTGTCACATGGGAAGTTAAGTCACATGAATGAAGAGTTGGGTCACATGGGAAGTTAAGTCACGTGAGTGAAGAGTTGGGTCACATGGGAAGTTAAGTCACATGAGTGAAGAGTTGGGTCACATGGGAAGTTAAGTCTTATGAGTGAAGAGTTGGCTCACATGGGAAGTTAAGTAATGAGTGAAGAGTTGGGTCACATGGGAAGTTCAGTAATGAGTGAAGAGTTGGGTCACATGGGAAGTTAAGTCATATGAGTGAAGAGTTGGGTCACATGGGAAGTTAAGTCACATGAGTGAAGAGTTGGGTCACGTGGGAAGTTAAGTCATATGAGTGAAGTGTTGTGTCACATGAGGAGTTACATTCTATGACTCAAGAGTTACGTCACATGGTACATGTATAATTTCATTATTTAGCGTATGCCGTTGGTCTAGTCATGACGTTTGCCGCGCTGTTTTTTATGGAAAAAGGTCAACCGGCTTTGGTGTATCTCGTGCCGTGTACCTTGCTCACGGTCATCGTCATCAGTCTCATTCGAGAAGAATTTTGTGATCTTTGGCATGGGACTTACGTAAGCAATAACTTTTTTAAAACATAGAAAAAATACACGACTAACGTTCACAAACTTTTAAGTCCTGTACTGCAATAATTGAAAATTTCCGGAATTTCAGAATTAGTTTTTGATAATTAATTGTACAACATTATTGAAATTAGTTCTTAGAAATATAGACAATCTTATTTTGTATAACGGACTAAAACTACTCCAACTAGTTAAAGCTTCTAAAAAATACCCCCTCAAAAACATTATATTTCCACAAACCTTTAAGTATCTTTTCCCATTTAGGATTTGAACAACCCAAGCGTTGAACCGCTGATACAAAGCGACGATGAAGAAGACTGTATTTTTGACAGGACAGCGGGCGCAGAAGGCCGGAACCTCGGCAACAATAAGCACGTTAAGGAGGAAGATGAATTGATCAATTAATGGGAACTGTGCAATCGATTTAAATATAAAGCTGTGGGTCTATGTCCATAGAAAGTCACTTCAAAGGACGTTCTTCCAAATTACATAGTACCGCGCAGTGTATAGACACTTTATAGATAATAGCAACTATATTTCTATACAGCTGAGTGAAGAAATCAAACTCCAGCAACTATAATGGCATTTGTATACTTACATAAATTATATTTGTAATTGTGTATGTTAAGAGGTTATTTGCACAAAAATATCGGTGGAAGTTTTAAACCATCGCATTTTACTTTAAAAGTTTTAGTAAGTCAAAGTCACATCGTAAGAGTATTCGTGTAGTTTATAGATATTCTTTTCAATTTATTTTTGATAAATCATGATGAATCACCAGTACAAAAACCGACACTAAAGTAGACAGAAAAAAGGAGGAATTGCTTTTGGTTTGTAGTAACTCGTTGGTAGCTCGTTCATTCGTCGAGTATTCGTCAACGAGTACAAAACCGACACTAAAGTAGACAGAAAAAGGAGGAAATGCTTTTGGTGTGTAGTAACTCGTTGGTAGCTCGTTCATTCGTCGAGTATTCGTCAACGAGTACAAAAACAGACACTAAAGTAGACAGAAAAGGAGGAAATGCTTTTGGTGTGTAGTAACTCGTTGGTAGCTCGTTCATTCGTCGAGTATTCGTCAACGAGTACAAAACAGACACTAAAGTAGACAGAAAAGGAGGAAATGCTTTTGGTGTGTAGTAACTCGTTGGTAGCTCGTTCATTCGTCGAGTATTCGTCAACGAGTACAAAAACCGACACTAAAGTAGACAGAAAAGGAGGAAATGCTTTTGGTTTGTAGTAACTCGTTGGTAGCTCGTTCATTCGTCGAGTATTCGTCAACGAGTACAAAAACCGACACTAAAGTAGACAGAAAAAGGAGGAAATGCTTTTGGTGTGTAGTAACTCGTTGGTAGCTCGTTCATTCGTCGAGTATTCGTCAACGAGTACAAAAACCGACACTAAAGTAGACAGAAAAGGAGGAAATGCTTTTGGTGTGTAGTAACTCGTTGGTAGCTCGTTCATTCGTCGAGTATTCGTCAACGAGTACAAAAACCGACACTAAAGTAGACAGAAAAAGGAGGAAATGCTTTTGGTTTGTAGTAACTCGTTGGTAGCTCGTTCATTCGTCGAGTATTCGTCAACGAGTACAAAAACCGACACTAAAGTAGACAGAAAAAGGAGGAAATGCTTTTGGTGTGTAGTAACTCGTTGGTAGCTCGTTCATTCGTCAAGTATTCGTCAACGAGGACAAAAACAGACACTAAAGTAGACAGAAAAAAGGAGGAAATGCTTTTGGTGTGTAGTAACTCGTTGGTAGCTCGTTCATTCGTCGAGTATTCGTCAACGAGTACAAAAACCGACACTAAAGTAGACAGAAAAAGGAGGAAATGCTTTTGGTGTGTAGTAACTCGTTGGTAGCTCGTTCATTCGTCGAGTATTCGTCAACGAAGACAAAAACCGACACTAAAGTAGACAGAAAAAAGGAGGAATTGCTTTTGGTTTGTAGTAACTCGTTGGTAGCTCGTTCATTCGTCGAGTATTCGTCAAAATGCATTAGATAAAAGAAGAGATCCTATACTAACAAAATGTTGACACAAAGAGAACATAAATGAAGAAGTAAAGGACACAAATATTTGTAGGCTGACATAACCGGTTGGTAACTCGTTTGTACTACTGATAAAACAGAAAATTTTTCACTTTCATGACGCAAAGACGAAGAAGAAATGAAAATGAAAGCGAAATAAACCAAAACAAAACAACGAGCAAAAAGAAATTCAAAAACAGAAACAAACCTACGAAACATGAATTGGTGAGTGAAGGTAAATCGTCGATAGCTCTTCCGGAAATTCGCCAGTAAGGACATAGAGGAAAAACTAAAAAAGAATTAAAAGTAAACATAAATTAGACAAAAAAAAACCCAAAAAATACATAAAAAGTACAGAAAAAAATGATCGATAAAAAATACATAAATTTTGTGCTAAAGCGTTGCAAGCCCCCAGGACGTCGGTATTAGTCATTGAACTAAAATACATGGAACGCTACCTGTAATAGAAAATCCTAATAATTTTTAAAGCCAAATCTTACACCTAGACACGCGTGTGTAGTTCAATCAATTTTCACTCCGCGAGAGAATATCGAAACACTACACACGCGTGTCCGGGTGTAAGATTTGGATCCAATTACTTGCTTCAGGTAGCGTTCCATGTATTTTAATTTAATGGTATTTATCCAAACTAAAGATTACATACAATAAGAAATGCCTTGCTAACACGATGTTGAAACAAATAAAAAACAAATGAAAAATCGAAAGAAGAATTATTCACATAAATAAATACAAAAGAAGATACGAACTGAGTAAAGAGAAAAACATAGAGATAATATTTATAGTTTGTGGTAACTCGTTGGTAATTCCTCAAAACGGTGGAAACAGAAAGTGCTCGTACATCATATACTAAAATGGTACATTTATAATATGTAAATAGAAACGCACACTTGATCATTTTAACTACCTGTCTGATGTGTCTTGTGTAAAGACTAAACGTTACAAATAATAATAAATAATTTCTTTAAAAATGGCTTTATTTCGAATTTTATGTTGGGCAATTGTTTTTTTTAGCTCGAATCCGTTTCCCGCCTGGCAAATCTCTCGCCATTATTCTAAATTAAACAAATATAAAACAAAAGTAGAAGTGATGTAGACATCAATAAGACACAAAAGCAGATACACAAGTACAAAGAAAAGTGCGAGCAAAAACGTATATTCATGACAAGTTCTTTTGAAAGCCTTTGTTGTAAAGAATTATAACGTGAATGTATGAATATCAGATCACCACCCCACCCCTAATTATCAATATTCCTACACCAACGATAACTACATCAAAAAGTAACTACAAAAGCAGATGATGAGACCAACCCCACCCCACCCCCATGATTAACAATATTCCTATACGCCAATGATAAACTACACCCAAAAGTAACTACAAAAGCAGATGAGGAGACCACCCCACCACCCCCACCCCATGATTATCAATATTCCTATACGCCAATGATAAACTACATCAAAAAGTAACTACAAAAGCAGATGAGGAGACCCCCACCCCCATGATTATCAATATTCCTATAGGCCAATGATAAACTACACCCAAAAGTAACTACAAAAGCAGATGAGGAGACCCCCACCCCCATGATTATCAATATTCCTATAGGCCAATGATAAACTACACCCAAAAGTAACAACAAAAGCAGATGAGGAGACAACCCCACCCCACCCCCATGATTAACAATATTCCTATACGCCAATGAAAAACTACACCCAAAAGTAACTATACAAAAGCAGATGCAAACGTTCACACAAATGTTGGTAGGTTGTGGTAACTCGTTGTCAACTTGACCATAAATCGTCGATGTACTACTATTAATAAAATACTAGACCCTTTAAAAATACGGTGTAGACAAAAAAAAGACATAAAACACAAAGCAGAAGTAGATAATTATTTACACCCGAAAGTAGACAAAAGCAAACAAAAAACGAGGGAAAACGTTTACTGTTTAAGGTAACTCGTTGGGTACTTTTCTGTAATTGGTCAAATTCTTAGATAAAACAAAAGAACCTGTTCTAATGCGATTCAAAACAAATAACAAACAAAAAAAGAAGCAATAGATAAGATTAAGTGGACACAAACGTGAATAAAAAAGCAGATAAAATAGTAGACAAAATAATAAGTAAAAATCTTTGTAGTTTATGGTAAGCGGTTGGTAACTCGTCGATTATTCTTTAAAACATGAGATACAACAGGTGATTGTATACAATACATGATGTTGACATAAAGGAAGAAACAAAAAAGGTCAATTGCACTAGCGGACAACAACAGTGGACTGATAAGTTGCCACGAATATTTGTAGATATTGGAAACCCGTTGGGTAACTCGTCAATATAATTTATCGATATTATTGATACAACAGTAAGCCCATATATTCAACATTTACTGAGACGGAGGGAAATAATGTATTTTGTGGACACGAGTCCACACAATGACATAACAGTTACGTACAGCTGAAGTTCAAATTAAAAAAAGTCCATAGGTCACTTTGTCAAGTGGTAGTGTGCACGTGAATCTGTTATTCGATGCTCCATAACGTCATTGTCAACCCCTGTCACGTACAAAACAGTTGTATTTTGTAAACGTAAACGCGATTTATTTTCGACCAACATAAGACAAAACGCACTTCGACTGCTGTAATGTAATGTTTATTATTGGAATGCAGATGATAACGAGCGACGAAGAGCTCGGTTGTTATAGAAGAAACGCTACAATTCAAATTTTCGCTTCATAATCGCATGTTCAGTTTTGTCATTTGCTTTGGTCAACACATAATGCAGTTTGTTTACGGAGGGAAGAAGAAAAATATTCCGTGGCCGCACCCCCCTGTTTTGACGACATGTCATAAAGAATAATCACAATACGTCAATGCTAATTTTCATCACTTTTTTTATGCAGTAAACAAGATTATGCATTAACCAAGGTTAATATCGTGGGAACGGCGCATGCAGACTGGAAACGAGTATCGCATATCGCATGACATATTCACAGACATAGCATTAGGTCATCATTATCGACACGTTGCGGTGAAGTAAAGAACAAATTTTGCTTTTTCATTTTTCTTTTCTACAGAACCTGATTCGGTGTGATAAGGTGTGGACAGGGTGGTCAGGCTCTCAATGATTGGGATCACTTAAGAACCTAAACTCCATGTTGGTCAAATACAAGCTGGCCGCAACCCTCCGTCTGCACCTCACCTTCCACACACGTAAGTACATTTAGTGAAAACCGATATTAAATGAAAATAGCAACTTTTCCAAAAGTCAATGTTGACAATCTCCGCTATTCGTATTTACCTAACAACACGAACACCGAAGCAGAAAGAACGTTGACTTTTTCATTGCTCTATCAATTTATTGGGTGAAATTCAGCCTCTTGCATATAGAGAATGGCATCGCAGTTTTCTGCCTTACCCTCCCCCCCACACATCTAATTCCTGGGTTGCAAGCTACGTCATTGTCGCCATGTTGGATGATTTTAACAAAGGATTTTCCCGTTGAGTCACTTGAATTTTTCAGGTTCATGAGACAATTGCTTAAATTGTCCAACAAAGTCCGAAGATCATATCTACATTTAATTTCAAACACCGCACTGCTTAAAACATTCTTTCAAAGGATTTTCCTTATGTACAATGCAAATTTCATCCAACATGGCGAGCATTCCATTATTCTCTTACTCTCAGGGGGATGGTTGCAACCCACCAATATGAACGAACGGGTTTCCAAATTGAGTGAATCCGACAAAAGTGATGAAAACAAACTATTCGCTCTTTAGTTTTAACAAATTCATAGTGTTTTGTAGCTCATTGCACTTCGAACGAATCCAAAACCCTGATCATGTAGGTAGACACCACCGACCCTTTTTCCCATTACTGTTTACATTCTAACCTTCGCAGTCAAAAATTCGGGAATATCGCGTTTGCGCAGATGGTCAACATGACGTCACGACAGGTGTAATATAAACGGAAGTAAACAAAGCCACAAGACAAATTCATTGAAACGAGGCGTTTTTCAAGACAGGACCGATGTAAACATCGCTTCAACCTGTTATGGCTTTCGAAGGCGATGAAAGGCCTAGTTTATTCACGAGGATTTTGATATGGATGCATTTTCGTGAGGCGAGAACGGCACAGGTAATAAACTTAACATGGTCTATTGCGCGCTTTTTTGTCTCTCGTTCATTATGGAAGGGAGAAATGAAAGATTGCAATGTCCGGTGCTAATTGCTACATCACTTTTTACCGCTTATTTGTGAAGTCATTATATTATTTTTCAACGAACGTTTGTACGTGTCATTTGCCATGAATATATGTGGTGTCGGTTTCGTTCGCCCGTGTTTGCAGCTGAAAATAATTTATCGCATACTTTAAACGATAATTAATTCAAATTATTTGTCGTTTTAATCGCATCGTATGTCTTCAATTTGGGCTTCACATGCCTAAACGCATTCCCACGAGACGCAATTGCGTTAGCTGCTTATTAACGACCTACAAAGTCGTCATGATGTTTTAATTATCTAAGCTTAAAACAATATTCAAAAGGACTTGATGGGAAAATGCGTGTCATTGAACAAATGCACACTAAACTATTATCATTTTGTGAATGTGATGTCGTGACACATTTGCTGGTTTAAAAAATACTTTTTTTATTATTGATAACTGTCGAAATCATATGAGTCATCATGTCAATCGTCTGGGTTCAAAATTGTCTACAAACGTGGTAATTTTAGACATGGAAATAGTTAAATGATTTCACAGTGTATAATAGCCATGAAAATTCCTCATAATGAAGTTGGCTGCAAATGCCAACACTTAACCCATGGGCCTGAGCTCAAATCAACACCAGCACCTCAATTCTGAATGCCGGTTATAATTAACAAAATTGGCGAAGGCCATTAAAGTGTTTGAAAAGGTTCTCGTGGCAAAAATACATTAGCTGATAAAACCTGTGAAAAAGTTCCTGCACTTTTCTAATAAGGTTATGTTCATTGATTTTACCATGCATGTGTTAAAAGCAACATTAACTGTCAAGGCAACTTTGATTCATTCGATATGCAATCATCTTTTGCTACTCATGTAAAATTTTCACGAAAATGGACTTATTTGATTTTTCCTGACAAAGCAAGTTGTATACTGAAAATTTCCATAAAGAAAATGACTAATTGATTGAAAAAGGAGAATAATCAGTGAATTACCAGAAAAATAACTAATTAATGAAAAATGATTACCATTATGCAAGCTTCATGCCAAAATGGTGGCCACCAGCAACTGTTGAAGCACATCATGTAACGACCAGCAAACTAAAAGCCAAAGATGAGACTTTTCTTCTATAGTTGAATTTTAATGGGATGGACATCAAAAATTTTTGAAATTTTACTGAAATCTAAGTTTGAAAAGATAACAAAAATCGACAATAGGCAATAAGCAACTTTTTGTGTTTCCTAAATATATTACTTATATATGAAAATCTGGTTCTTTATGTGTTTGCTATTTTCCATGACTTTCTTTCACTGTATTGGGTTAGTGACACTGTCAAGGAAGAAATTTCTTTGCTTTCAAGCCATTTATCTTAAAATGTTGGTCAACAGCAGAGAGACTTACCAAATAATTTTGTACGAAACGAAAAATCAACAATCTTCCATGTTTCTTGCATCTCCTGGAATCCATTCGACAAAATTATCCCGGAGAAGCGTGTTCGCCGTCAAATATATCTACAATCGCACATTTCATATTTGGCACCACTCCTCTCATTCTCGCCATACTTTGCATAGTAGATTGAGCGTTGATGCTAGTCATACTCGGTCTGGTAAAATCTTCGGACAAAATCTTGCGAGATTATGTCATCTTAAGGCGACGATTTTCGTCTTACTCGATCGGACATAAACTTCAGCGTTTTACGTTAAAATTTGGCATGGTTATGAGTCCGAGTTGGCTGTGCTTTTGCTGTATAACAGAGCAGCCTCCACCGGTGGGAAATGGCTACCTTGTGTTTTTAAAAGATTAAACATTTTAAGTAGACTTATTATATGATCGTCTTGTTCTCTAGCGACGGCCCAGAATCGACAGAAGTATGATTGGAGAACCTATGAACTTTCAGGTACGTCTTCACTTTCTACCAACAAATGAAGTCGTTTGAGCTTATAAAGACTACTTTATCTCGACGAACATCGACTACAGGTATTTATACACCGTCAATGCATAAAGACATCGCTTTTTTTTATAGCATACAGGCCACATCGGGTCGGGAGAAGTACAAATATCAGGAATATCTGTAGATGTGAGTGCCTTTTGAAAGCGTTTAGTACTGTTTCGTTATTACCACTAATGCTTCTTGTCATTTATAGATTTTATAGTCGTTTATTACAATTCAAATGCTTTCATTATCTCTTGTTTGTTTTCAGCCACCAAATATGAATCTTTCGTTGTCCTTTTGTTTATATCTTAATGAATAATCGAATCAACCTTAATTTTATTAATTCGTAAACATTTTCGTGTCTGGTCTTGTGTGCTGGTCTATCTTTATAATTACCAAGAAAATTTCGCTTCAAACTCGACATTCAAAGAACCTAGCTGAATTGACTTATCGCGGGGCGTGAAATACGAGGCCAATATCTATTGTAGAACTAATTCGGTCTAAATCATGTAGAAAATTGTGAAATAGTAATGAAATCCCTGAAATTTTACCATATTGAATGCTGGGATAGCTTTAAGAATTCTTGTAAATATGCCATTTGTGCTTTTCCTAGCTAAACGACATGTCGTACAGAATGAAAAGCAAGGGAGGTTATCAGGACAACGGTGTCGACAGTAGATTAACGCCTAACGGCGACGATATTGGAAATGGCATGAAAACGGCACAAGAATAACTATTTGATGTATGTTCGTAAAATATTGCTTCTTGCGTTACTACGATGCATTAAATTGCATATAAATATTTAGGCCGCCATCCTATGTAAACAGAGTTATATTTTTTGTTCGATGATATTCATTTTCCTATTTTCTCCCTAGATTTTCTAAAGATTTTCTATGTAAATATACCAGCAAAGAACTATTTGTGAATATTTAGTTGTTAGTCGTACATGAAAGCAACCTATACTAAGTTTGTTCATTATATCTCAAGACCATGGTTACCTCTAAAACAAGAGTTCAGCTGACGACGAAACTTTGGATGAGTAATTACCGAAACCTGTTTACTCAAGTACTCTTGAAATAAGATAGATCATGTACTTCTTGTATATAAACAACGCCAGTTGGGATGAGCTAAATTATTCATTAATCAATAACAAACCAAAAATTGCATCTGGTCTAAGTGTGAAATGTGAAATCGACAGAACAATATATTTTGTATAAAGTGTAATTGCAACGTGTTTTTGGTCTGAGTCAATTTGCATACTCCAATGTAGGGTATATCAGTTGAAATTGAAACATTTCGGTTGATTTCCTTCCTCCATCTATCCAAAACTTTGTAACTCGGGCCCAAAAAATTTATTGAAAAAGGGGGCAACAAAGCTTCTTGCTTTCTCGAAATTGCATAACTTGTACTTCAAGTTTTTTTGTGGGCTATCTTTGAGAGCTTGACGTCACATGCATGCAGAACGTTTCTGACATACTTTGTCGCGTTGAAAACCACGTTAGGTAAAAACTTACCACCATGAAAGATAAATCATACATCTGATGTTACTCTCGTTGAGAGCACGTAGTTTATACGAGCTTTGGTGCAGAAAATTAAGTCGATCAAAAACAGTTTGTTTTTACCATACTATATTGATGACAATTGAAAACCTAAATATAATTTATTTACAAAAGCTATTTACAAGCAGATCACTCAAAGACAGGTGCAAGTTTACATGAATGGTGGTGCCTCTCGGGTATGAAATAAAGAGCATGCGTCACCTAGCCGACTATATGACAAGGATGAGCGAAACTTGGTCATACTAAAGTGGGATCACATCGAAAAAGTCGCGTGGTCTTTGTTGAAGAAAGTTAAAAAGCAGCTGGAAAAAAGCACGCTTTTTATGCAAATTAGATATGACAAATTTGTAGACATGGTCTCGAACGTTAGTAGTTTGATGGTTTAAATATTGACGTAAATCGTGCAATTGGATATGTTTTGTATTCAACACAGCATGAGTTTCGTCCATCCCATCATAGACATTGAAATATTCAAGTGCTAACCGGAAAATCAACAGTTTCGACGTGACAATCAGGTGGACATCAGTGTCTGCGCATGTGACACGCAACATGCATTCCTCAAGCCCGACAACCGTATCAACTCCGATTGCGAGAAAATTTTGACTAACTGCACAGCACACCTGTGGCCTTATGTTCATAACACCCATATAGAAACACGTGTGAAAAACAACATAGTTATACTGCTCAGAGAAAAAGTAAAGAACTCCCCTAGCACAAGCATGCAGGTTAATTCCTAATCGTAGTTTCAAGTGAGGCATTGTATATCACGGGACGTAATCCCTTACTGAGCCATGAAAAGAGCACTTAGTGCAGAATGAAAATATGAAGCCAAATTTCTCAAATTATCACCAATAGACACATTTTAGTGAACAATTTTCTTATCCTTAAGGACGAATTCTTCCCTTCCGTTTTCCTTGAAGAAACAGACTGCAATTTGGATAATAATTCCGCGTTTTAATGATGAAATCGATCCCTAATCCAATCTCTAACCAATAAGTTGGCCATAGCCTAATACTATAAGATTAAGGGTACGGATTAGGAATCGATTTCGCATACTTGTAGAAGATGGATCATCATCGCAATTTGTCATCATCTTAGCGACAAAAGAGAAATTTAGCAAACCCAACGTACAATCTAAAATGTCTTAAAAATGGAGCAATGTTTTGCAAATGGTCAGGACGCCTTAAAAGAAACGCCATGTTTGGTAAATTCCTCTAAAGTCAAAGATGCAGTCTCCAATCCTTATCCGTAAATTTTGTCGAGAAATAGCGAAAGGTGCACACAGTCCGGCTAGCTTCTTTGTTCAGACGGGTTACGTAAGTGTTTCTACAGGGGGTATGGTGTTCAATAATGATATCAAAATACTTGCACCTCATGTCGTCGATTTCCTTATACCAACCCAAAATTGTACTCAATCATACTAAATAGTAAATACATTGGTGAATGCAGAATTAACAATATTCTACACGACATAAACGAGCTTCATACGTTTTTCTCGCTACAACTACGTAGAACTAAATGCCTGCCTGTTGAAACACAATGGAGCACGACAGAATCTGGAATCCGAAGAATGACAAACTTTTATGAAATACACGTGACGAAGGTTATAAACATACAGTCGGGTTCATACCGGGGTAAAGACAGTCAAAGTCAAACTTCGTATATTGTAGACCCGACAACCGCACTTGGTATGAACATTTACTAGACCAATATCCAAAGCTTGTTTTTGTTGTGGTTGCATCGATGAACTATATATAGCTGGAAGGCTACCTGCTGCCATTATTAGAGCCCAGCAATTTAACTAGTTCCAATCCTTCCAAGCACGGTCCAAGAAAGCTCATGATGACAGTAATGCTAAAACACGGAAATTTACCCACGGACAGGCGCGCATGTACGGAGGTAAAATTTGGCTTCGTGCAATTTCAGCTATGTTTACGTGCGGGTAGCAATCCAGTTACATATTCAGTTCAACGGGCGAGATCAAAAATGGAGGTTAGGTCAACATTCGATATCTGTCATGGTATAACCAACAACAGACAGGCATTTAGCGGCATTTAACGGTAAAACTTCACAAAAACACTATCTAACTTCTAAAAGACCAATATATCAACAAAACAATGAAATCAATTCATCTCCTCACGTTATTTACGTGTACCTAACCCAACCCTTACCCAACTAATAGAATACATGGATTTCTGAGTAATTCTTGCAAATGTGGACATTATTTATCATGGTCGTGCTTATCAAGTTCACTTGATGTAATTTCAATCAAATCAATACGAGCGTCATCGTTGGATCCTGGAGGATCAAAAAAATACATAAATTTTCTACAAACCAAGAATAATGCCACAGATTGCCATCTTCATCAATTGACTATTTTCATTGTTCTGAGTTTTCATTCGTTGCCTGGCCCATTTTTAAAGCTTTTGAACTTTGTCTCGGATGATAACTGGATTGTTTTTTCTTATTTCAGCTTGTCCCTCAGCCTTGTAGTCAAAAGAGCAGTTATGCTTATCGGAGTAGCGATGTAAGCTGCAAAACAATCCCCCGCAGCGACATTGAAAACCTGCAAAAATATAACCACATAGTATTCATTTAATAATTGTCACACTTTCTTCGTTTCTTTGCTAAATCAAAGTTGAACAATACATCACTGGGTTTGAATTTGCAAATTTAAAACTAACAAGGCAAGCTTCATGAAGTAGTGTTACCATGGATGGATTTTCATATTTTCTACAAAAGTGGTGTTTTTCAAAATTTATTTTTTTGGGGGGTGGGTGAGCTGGTAATGAATAGACGTGAGACAATGTAAGGGTATAGAATTTGGGGGTGGTCTGGTTGTGCAGCCATCAACAGTTGTGTACAAATTTGAAATTTTGACCTGAAAAACTCATTTCAATTGTACTACTGGTTTGTTTTGCTAAAAATTGAAGGGGGAGGGGGATGGTAAAAATGTTTCCCAGAGGGGTGAACAATTTATTCAGGGGAGTAAAATGGGATGTTTGGGGTCGGTACCCCCCTGCACCACCCAGTAAATCCATCCATGAGTGTTACAAATGTCTATAAGCATATCTTGTCATTTATTTTTTTACAAAGTGTTATTGGCAGTTTTAGAACCTTAAAGAATGTGTCTCAAGGTAAGGCTTTACACTCTTTGATGTTTTTAAATGGAAAATTTTGCATTAACAGTCTACCCAAGTTGTATATAATGTTTTCTCTGCATTTATGTAGTTTTTTGCACCACACTGTAGCCAGTGTTTTGATGTGTTTTTTTTTACCAGAGCTGGAGACGAAACCCATGGAATTTGAATGTACTTAATACTTAACTTCCACAAAGAAATTATAGTTTTCCTTGAACTAAAACCCAAAGTTTTAAGATCAAACTTTCACTTTTGCTTTGATATTGCTCATAATAAACTAAACTCCATATTTGAGGTTGCTGCTTTCAAAGTTACTACTAAGACAAGCATTTACGAACCTGTGAGGCCAACTTTCTTGCGGCATGTTGTACATCGATTTTTTCTTTTAGTTTTTGATGGCGTGTCTTGGTTGTCATTATCTTGTTCGTCTTTAACTTGAGCAGCAGCTGCTGAACCAGAAACGGTTGATTCACTCGTAGTGCCAATTTCATTTAAGGCAACAGGTTGCTCTCTCTCCACAATAGAGGTTGTAAGTGCTATAGACTCGGCTGGGACAGAGGTGCTTGGCTCATCAGAGCTTGTTGATCCTTCAGAAAATAGTTTAGATAAACTTTAATATTGGAGCAAAAAATCTGCTGATTTTTTTTATGATGCAAATAGTATTACAAATTCAACTTTGATTTATTGACACATGTATGCATGAAAAAGACAAGTGTCGATAATTAAGTTACTAACATAAAAAGCAATATCATGGGCTCACTCTACACATTCAAGTGTTGCATAGAGTTTGCAGCATAAACTCATTAACTATACACTTTGCATTCAAATTTAGTTTCTACCTAGTTTCAACTGGTTTTATTGGGTGTTTTCACTACAACTTGGCTTTAACCACAATCACCTTTAGGAGAGTGGTTTTTCAGAAAAAGTTTGAAAGTTGAATACTTGTAGTTGTATCACAAGTATAACAAGTTAAAATTTCTAAACAAAATTTGACGATTCTAATTTACATTGATAAATTTTGTGTCATAGTGTAAAACTAATCCTGGATTAAGTCAATTCACCTTTGAACAACTACCCCCCCCCCTTAAAAAACTCAGTCCATTCATTTTAGTTTAACTCACCAGTAACAGGGGGAGTCAAGCAACCAGAAGGTGAAGTAGATTGGGTTCTTCTGAGGGCATCCTTGAAACATTTTGAGCACATACCATCGAAAGATGAGTTTCCATAGAAACCACAGCCAGCACGACAAAGAGAAGGTTGTTGGGTATTCTGATTTTCCATCCTAAGAAATTACAAATAGGCATTGGTGAGTGTGTCGAAAGCACCACCATGGGTATTTTTGATTTTACAGTTTTAGAAAAGGCATTTTGCTTTCATTTGAAAACTTCCATTCTCGGTTGGAATTGTTAAAAAATCAATACTTGTTGAAACAGATATAAGTTCTTTCATCAGGAACATTTCTCATTGTGTGTAATGCTATCGATTCAAAAACAAAATGTCTAGAGACAACAAGTTTTGCAATAACACTTGGAAACAATTATACCATCCATCACAATTGTTGTTATATGATAAGGGCATCAATACATGGAAAAAAGCGGCCTTCATTTTGACTTACATTCTAGTACTATCCCTTTAGACAATATCTAATACAATGCTTTATCTTATTGTGATAATTTCTATCCTTAAATATGATCAATATGGTTGAAAATTGGGCCCATAGTTGAGCCCAAATACGAGTCTGTTCAAGCCAAATATTTTTGGCACAATGGATACAATATCATATCTTTATTTTTCATTAATTCGCCAGGGTCGTCTTTTTATCAAACGTCGCAAGAAGCGACTATACAGGTTGCGTTCAACCACGAAATTATCGAACAGAGCTTACATGATAGTAATAAACCGAAACAGGAAAGCCAGCACAGTCAGCACATATCGTGATTCGTGCTGACTAATAAAATATTAATATTGCTGTTTATTGTCGTGCATATGAAGATTTAGATAAGAGAAATTGCTCATTCTCATTTCGTCTATTTCTAAATACAACTGGAAACATACTTTAGAATGAAAAAACATAATTGAGAACATACATCGTTCAATAACACAAGACATACACAACACAAGAAATATATATATCACTATACTGAAGTAATTTTAGGCCCACGAAAACATGACAAAAAGTTTAATCTTTTTCGACCGTAGTATTTCAAATTTCCCATCATAAATGCCAAGAATAAGAATACGACATGTTATCGAGAGGTAGATTAACGTGAACTTCAAGACATTGACTGTGGTTTCGTGATCGAGATAAAACAAAGAACAAAAGACCGACGCTGAAAATTTCTTATTTGCCAAAGCATTTTGTTGGCAAATCTATGTGTAAGCGCTATGGCGCATACGATATCCGTTTATATTACTTAGGCATTAGATAGACGACCAAAAATTTAACAAGACTACCTTAGTTGAATGCTATCGGTAAATAAACAACACGTATATGACGCCCTTTTAGGTATTCGGTACCTATGTTTGGCTTCCTCAATGGTATTTTGAGAAGCAAGTAAAAATCACGGAATGAAAGCGCTCTTATGTCGCCCGAAAAGCTTTTCGTGTGCGGTTTTAATAAAACATAGTTCATCCGTCGGCCCACAACATATATAATAGAGTTCAAAAACGTAAAGGATAGAAAAAAGGTTAAAAATTTCTTCGTAGGCAACGAAGAGCGAAGTATCACTTGAAGCGAAGATGAGACAAATCATCAATAACTTTAACTCAATCATAATTCGTTTGATATCGAAGCATTCAATGGTTCCATAATCTAAAGATGACACCAAATCGTTCAAGTATACTTACAGAAATGTACTTCTAGGTAAAATGGACAAAAAGGCTTCTTCCAGTAGAAATAAACAGCCTGTGTCTCGTAGCTTCTCTTCGTTTACGAATTCGAGGTCTTTGTGTTCAACTCGATCTTTACTGGCACTAGTGACGTCATCAAATTCGTTTCGTCATTGGTTCACAGAGTTCAACTGGGATATATCGATGTCATTTCGTCCGGTCTCATGACAACACCCACTTTCCAATTTAAAAATCTAAAAATCAGTCAACAAAAAATGGAAATTCGCGGCTTGATGCGACAAAGGAACTTCTTTAAAATCAAGACAACTTTCATCAACAAAAATTCTTTTTGTCGCGCATTACTTAACTTCGTGTCAATGACGTGCTCACATGACTGTCATTTACGAGATCGGCTTACTTCGTTAATGAAAGCGCTTTTTCATGTTAATCAATCAAGTTAAGTCGTAATGTTTCCTGAATGAAGTAACAACATGTGACCTCGGCGTGGGCTATTTAGAGAAAGGGAAGTTCTTTATTCAAAGCTTTGTGGCCGAGTCTTCTATGCAGTATGCCTTTCATTCAAATAAGCTAGACTTTGTCCTGTAGGATGTATTAGCATATTCAAAAATATGCTTGACTTTCTCAAAATATACTTCACTTTCTCTTTGGGCAAAATTCTTTGTTTTGCATAAAAATCAAAGTATTACAGAAAGTAAAAAGTCGTCAAAGTTTTAAGAATTTTCTCAATTGAAACATAAAGCATTTCATCGCACATGTATTTTAATATAAAAGCAACATTTTTCTTATAAATGCTGTCGTGGAATTATTCGAAGAAATATTAACATATTAGAAGGGGAAATAAGGTGAATTTTCTTGTAAATGTAGTCGGAAAATTGTTCGAAGAATTTTTTATAATCTTAGAATGGGAATTACTTTGAAATAAAACACACACAAGTTACATTAAGCTATGATAAATAAGAAAAAAATTTCTGATATAAATTTTAACAAAATATAAACGATTAAAATTATAAAACTACACAAAATATAACATTATAGGATAAGCTATACAATTTTTGTTTTTACATTTCTTGCGACTTTAAAACATAAATTCGTCACGGCTAATTAGATAGCATGAATGTCATTATTTGTGTCAATCAAAGAAGAACGTCGAATAGTCCAAGTTTATGCCAACTAAAGTTGAAATTTCATGCACATTTACCTGGTAGCAGGCAAAATATACAATGCTGTTTCTCTAAATGAGTACAGCCCAAAAAGGACACCACTTAAGATAAAGTGATATTCAACGTGAGAATCAAATCGTTGCTTTCTAAGTGGATACTGAAGAATGCGAGACGAAAATAAAGTGGTCGCAAGCCTCTAAATAAATCACAATTCCTTGACTGACAATGATGACATAAACCTAGACATCTTGCAGAAATCATTCAATCTGGTTGATCGAAACGGGATTCCACCGAACGCACAATGAAAATCGAGAAAGGGAAAAGAATAGTTGAAAATTTGTTCATATGTGTGAGAATGACGACTATCGAGCACGTCGCCCGTTTTGTCGGCCGTGCGGGTTATTTCGGTCGCCCATCTCGATGTCGTACGGTGGGGGAGGCTCGTTGTTAACGAAACCTGGGTTACTGCGGGGATTACGACGTAAGGACATTGTCCTCGCCTTGGGTTTGTTTGGATTACTGCTCGGTGTGGCGACACTACAAACTTTGATGAAACCTACAAGAATAACAGAAATATTGGTCAGAGTAAATCTTTCGAATCGAACTTGCAAATCTGCAAGTTGCTGTGGTAGTTGAAAACGTGTATCGCATCCTATAAGATGCCGAATGCATCACTACTTTCCTTCCTTCCAGGATATTTGTTGCGTTTTTCCGCAAGCAGCCGGGAAAAAATTACAATAACACCTGTGTAGTCTAGGGTCGTAGTGCTAACTATAGCTGCGTTATTTTCTTCGAACTTTTTCGCTCAAACTGAAATTGCTCAAACATTCTGGTCTGTAAATATTGCAAAATGTCATAGGAGAAGTTGAATTTTATACTTTTAAGCGTACATAAGATTTTTGGACCAGGGTTTGCAGTTAGCTTCAGACGCTAACAGGTGGCGCGGGTGCCTAGGATCCAAACATCTCACAATCGAGTACATTCCTTCATTTCTTTATGATAAAAAAAGAAGTTTAAAAAACACTCTAAAAGAGAGTTCGAATAGATGAGCCTCGCTCCTTTGCAATGAAACTTACCAGCCATCAATATAATTAGACCTAAACCAATCAGGATGGTAGCCCACCAGTAATCTTTGACCCAGTCCACGAGATTCCCAATAGCGTCTCCTCCGAAAATGAGATTCTTGATGCGTTCAAGTGGACCCTCGGAGTCGACAGCTCGACATTTGCGAAGAATGTCACAATATCCTAGGAAGTTGTTGCACGGTGCACCAGGTAATAGATGCATTTTTTCTTTACCAGTTTCTTCAAGAGGTGAACAGACGCCATTACTCATGCAGCAAAGCATGCATTGATTTTCCTTTTCAGTGCACTGGCATTCGCTCATGTTGAATTTCAAACAACGCGAGCCCGTGCATTCCTGCGGAGGCAAAAAAAAAAACATTTAAAGATACGCATATCAATAATATCCCGTTCTTATGAAGGAGTAAAGTTATCCAGAAAAGAATCCATTTCAAAACACTCCTCCGTTTGATTTTAAATTTGTGCTATAACACGCTTTGGAAAAGAATACTTCACAGACATCTAAGTAAAGATCGATGGCGGATTTGGGGTAGATCAAAATACATTATAAAAGCTCCTTTTGAATTCCAAATATTTGGTAAAAATTTTCAAAAGAATTTTTAGAGCTAAAATACTGTCAATAGGATTTGCTCTAAAGTATATTAAAACTCAAGTTAAGTTAATATTTTCAGTTAATGAGTTAATATAGTACAGGAAATTAAAATAGCCGTTTTCTAGGTGCTCACTCACCCCTTTGAGGCAAACACCCCTATCGCCATTACAGTCGGTGACATTGTCCATTTTGGTCACAGGTTGAGGACAGGTAGCATTCATGGAACTTTAAATTTAAGGAATGAAACAGAGTATATGGTATCGCAAGGACTGCAATTGTAAATTAGTAATTGTTTTTGTACAAAAAATTGCAAGAACATTTTTACAAGATGAAGATCGATGATACAGTTTATTCGGCATAATGCATTTCATCTTTCCATAAAGAAAAACATGTTTACTGTTGTTTATAAGAATAGTCAATAGCTGTGTTTACATTTGCCTGTGCAAACCGGTCTGAGCTCAACCAATTAAATCAATCAATGGATCAATCAATCAAAGAGAATTTACAAATCAATCATGAATGCATTTTAGAGGAAAAATTTAAACGTTTGTTTTAACTTTGTCTGTTTCGCATTATTCTTATTTCATAAAGAAATAAAAGATGCTTTTCGTTTTTGCACTCGCTTATGCAAACCTCGGAGACGTTTGTGAGAGCTCTCGAGCATGTGCAACCCTCGACCTTCGGTGTTGGGCTTGCACTGATCTGCTCTCGAGTTCTCCCAAAGATCACCTCGGTTTGCAAAAGCCTGTGCAAACACAGTAAACATTTTATGTTTCTTAAATGAAGCGTATCACTAGATGAAAATGGAAAGATCCATTCTTCATTAGAGATTTCATTTTTCAGCGAAAGAAAACATGCTTTTACAAGTTACATAAAGATGAGGCTATCTATTCATCAACGAATAACACTGATTCCCTCACGCTAATTTTCTACAATACAAGGACAATATTGGGCGAACTATTATCTGACAAAGTCTGCACTTGACTTTGTTTGTTTGCAAAAATAATCAACGACCTTATTGTTGGGTTTCTCTATAAACAGAAGCGCGATAAAAGGATACTTGCAACGCGTGTCCTCTATGCAATCTCCCGTTTCGCATACGGTATCATTATTTTTGAATTGGCATGAATCATTGCAACAGAGGCCTTGACTTGGACTAAAAGAAAAATACGATACAATGACTAATTAGAGAAAAAATAGATATTTGATGTATAAGAGTTGGTTAATATAAATAGTAACGTGTATGAATGTAGAGACAGATTATTTTGATGTATGATAAGTGTTGGATATGATAAATAGTAAGGTATATGAAGATACTTATGGATAATTTTGATGTATGATAAGTGTTGGATATGATAAATAGTAAGGTATATGAAGATACTTATGGATAATTTTGATGTATGATAAGTGTTGGATATGATAAATAGTAAGGCATATGAAGGTACTTAAGGATAATTTTAATGTATAAGTGTTGGATATGATAAATAGTAAGGCATATGAAGGTACTTATGGATAATTTTAATGTATAAGTGTTGGATATGATAAATAGTAAGGTATATGAAGGTACTTATGGATAATTTTAATGTATGATAAGTGTTGGATATGATAAATAGTAAGGCATATGAAGGTACTTATGGATAATTTTAATGCATGATAAGTGTTGGATATGATAAATAGTAAGGCATATGAAGGTACTTATGGATAATTTTAATGTATAAGTGTTGGATATGATAAATAGTAAGGTGTATGAAGGTACTTATGGATAATTTTAATGTATGATAAGGGTTGTTATGATAAATAGTACGGTATGTGAAGGTACTAAAGAATTAAAACAGAGCTAGAATTCAGTTAGATTTATGTAAGAGATAAAAACAGAAATGTGACCAGGTCGCCAGAGTTACAACAAAAAACTGTAGTGCTAAATCAGAGTTACAAATAAAATGCTAACTTTGTCATATACGCTTTAAGTAGGTCGTGTAGCAGAGCCTAGGACGATGTGAGTAGCGTAAAAACATTTGGTTTGAGGAGCTGAAGGTTAGCTTGAAATACTGAAGCATTTGTGTAAGTAATGAACAAAAAAATTAAAACTCATTCCTAACATCAATGCTACTTTATGTTAACTTTTGTTTCATGGAATTAAAATCAGTGAATGTAGAAATTCTTCAGTAACAATTATACATGTGTTTATCACATTAAATTTAGTACTTCAATCCTACCTGCATTTGGCGTCTCCCTTTAGTTTACAGCTGTGTACTGTACCATTCGCGTGATTACAACAATTGTCATTGCAGTCATCGAAAAAACCACAGTCACATTCTTCGCCATCTTCCACCAAATTGTTGCCACATATGGCTTCACCGGTTTCTGACAAAAAAGATTGTTTACATGAAGTAGCGACCTACGTACATCCATCACAATACACACAAGACGCATATACGCGTTAAGAGCAAGTGGGATGAAATTAATGCCGAGTGGTAAAATCACAAATTTAACGTACGTTTGAAACAATCAGCTTTGGCGGCCAGGACAGGTGAAATGTAATCGATGCTGCACTTCGAGAATTTTCTGTTGTTAGGGTCAGTTCCTGACGTCGCCTTGGGAAACATGATGTAATTGCCACCAACCTGAGAACTGCATTCGGACGAGTCGTGCTGGTAAATATAATGGTTAAAAGTGAGTATGGAGTGAGGACTGCATTTGGACAAGTCGTGCTGGTAAATATAATGGTTGAAAGTGAGTATGGAGTGAGGACTGCATTCGGACGAGTCGTGCTGGTAAATATAATGGTTGAAAGTGAGTATGGAGTGAGAACTGCATTTGGACGAGTCGTGCTGGTAAAAATAATGGTTGAAAGTGAGTATGGAGTGAGGACTGCATTCGGACAAGTCGTGCTGGTAAATATAATGGTTAAAAGTGAGTATGGAGTGAGGACTGCATTTGGACGAGTCGTGCTGGTAAAAATAATGGTTAAAAGTGAGTATGGAGTGAGGACTGCATTCGGACGAGTCGTGCTGGTAAATATAATGGTTGAAAGTGAGTATGGAGTGAGGACTGCATTTGGACGAGTCGTGCTGGTAAAAATAATGGTTGAAAGTGAGTATGGAGTGAGGACTGCATTTGGACAAGTCGTGCTGGTAATAATAATGGTTGAAAGTGAGTATGGAGTGAGGACTGCATTCGGACGAGTCGTGCTGGTAAATATAATGGTTAAAAGTCAGTATGGAGTGAGGACTGCATTTGGACAAGTCGTGCTGGTAAAAATAATGGTTGAAAGTGAGTATGGAGAAGCATGAATACTAAGGTCTAACAGCGAGTTTCTCTAAATACAATTGGAGTTGTGCAGATTAAATACAAAAGTTTAACAATTGGAATAGTGGAGATTACGCATTTTTTCATATGCATTTCTCAAGAACTTAGCAAGTGCAAGTCGCCTGAAGTCGTTCTTAATAACTTAACGAATGCCTTTCCTCTAATGAATTTCCCTACGCCATAGCAAATATCTTTCTTCTTAAATTGTTCCTATCAGTTCAACAAATACCATTTTCGTAATGTCTTTCGTAATAACTTAGTAAATGTCTTTCCTCTAATGTCGTTCCTATCAGTTCAACAAATACCATTCTCCTAATGTCTTTCGTAATAACTTAGTAAATGTCTTTCCTCTAATGTCGTTCCTACCAGCTCAAAAAATACCCTTCTCCTAATGTCTTTCCAAATAACTTCAAGAATGCCTTCAATCTAACATTGCTACACATAGTTTGACGCTTATCTTTCTACGAATACTATTCCCAGTAGCTTTGCCCACCTTAACTCATACAAATAACAATAAAATCAGGAGGGGAGGGTAAAAATTTAAAAACAACTGCGGAGCTGTTCAATAGGAATTCCTTACTAAACCATTTAGTGGATGAGCGCATCGAAGTTATAACAGTGAAACGATATAAATGCACTGAATGTACACCGATGTACACATGCACTGAATGTACACCGATGTACACATGCACTGAATGTACACCGATGTACACAGAAATCCCATGAAAATCACGGCCACAAAATAATTAACGCACAAACCTGAGCACCGAAATTGTGTCCGAGTTCATGAGCAAAAGTTATTTCTGAAACCCTAGAGGGAACTTGTTTGTTATAGTTGATGAAAGTCACCAATCCTGTGTTCAAAGTCTTTTTTCGTCCATCTTGGAAGAGTTTGGACGTTTCACAAATACCGCCAGCAACTCCTTCTGTAAAAAAAAACGCACAAAAAGTCAAAAAGGAAATTCTTGGAAAACATCTCAATAATTAGTTGATAGTTCTTTCGGGAAAATGAAATATGGTATGCTCGAGCATACAGAAATCACTACTATAACCTCGTCCCATGCAAGTGACGTTGACCAGTATCTCATTGTGATTGGTCAATTAGTGTTCGAGTGTAAAGACGTTTCACTACGTGTTTGTAGATGTAGATCGTCCAATTTCGTAGAGTCTTTAGAAGGATTGCTGGTGTTGATGTTGACTGACGTTTTGACATCGTTAGCGGCATTCATCTTCAGAGGGAAGCGTCAATCACAGTCACGTGCCACATTCATTTACTAGAAACTGAAGATAACTACCGCTAAAGCAGTCGAAGCATTAGTCAACCCTAGCACCACATCCTTCCCAGCACTTTACTTACCTGGACGATCAACGTAGCGATATTCCGGCTTCAAAATTATTCGCATTATCCCACGTTTTACTCTCAAATAAATATAAATCAGCTAAACACACGAAAAAGCACACGTGAAAGTCACGTGACTAGTAAAACAAGATCAATGCTAAAGGAAGAACTTTCTATCTACAGTAGTTACGTACTTGGCTCTGCTACCCAAGCCAAACCAAGAACGCCATCTTCGAAATCTCGATACGTGAAGACATGTGAGAGACAAAATCTGTTCCCATCTTTCGAACTGGTCGGCTCCAGCGATATGATATCCAAAAACTTCTCAACGCCAATGAATTCCTGAGCATAAGGATTACCCGGTTTTGTTTCATCCTCCGTGTTATTTGCTCGCATTTTCTTAATAGCGAAACCATATCCTGGTGAAAAATTCAAATGAGAGCGAGGTTTACAAGTGCAAAAGGATGGCGATAACTAACAAACTATTACATGTTTGTGGATGTAGATCCATGTATATTGTCGCATTTGACTCTGAAGATGACTCCTGCTAAGGTTGTCGAAACGTCGGTCAACAACAACAAAAACAGTCCTTCTCAGGACTCTACGAGCCTGGACAATCTACATTTACAAACATGCAACGATACTCCCGGGTTCAAACCATTTAGTTTATTACCAATCTTTTGCCGGTAATAAAAATGACAGAAGAAAACTGACAAAGATTGAGCAAACTATCAAAAAACCTTCAAAGACAATCACTATTACAAATTACGCATGTTGATCTTGTTTTTTATGGTCCTAATAATCCACTTTTAATCCTTCTAGTATAATAAAAAACATGTACTCCAAAAAGCATCAACTTGTAAGATTCGTGTTGTATTAACCAGAGATACGATTGATAAGGCAAAGAGATGAGATTAATATAACTCGAATGTTGATTTTGCAAGATGCGGCTTTTTGAAGTATGTTTTTTAAATTGTCGGCTGGAAAAGATTATTGGACAAATTCTTATAACACAAATCCTTATAATCCATCCTACAACAGCATCAAATAGTTCTTGCTAATGTAATTAATATTATGTTAATGTAATTAAAATTATGTTAATGTATAGGAACGATATTAATGTAATAAGAATCATGTTTGGAATCATTTTAATGTAATTAGAATCATGTTTGGAATCATTTTAATGTAATAAGAATCATCTATGTATGTATTACCAGCTGTCGATTTTCCATTCACGACAAACTCCGTCTCCTTGTAAATTTTGTGAGCTGCCTGTACGTGTTTTGCCATCAATAAAAGAGCTCGTTCTTTTTCTCCACGCGCTCTGTTCTTCGTGAACAAATGATCAGCCTAAATGTGGCAGAATATACGTGTATACATTGAAAATGGACATAGAACGTTGAAAATGTCTGTAGGCCATTTATGTCCACACTATTTACGATAAGCTCACTATGACATTGTATGTTACTTGAAGATTGTCTACTCACCCGTAAATGAAGTTGGCAAATAAGCTGATTATTGGTTGTTGCTATGTTACTTGAAGATTATTGTCTACTCACCCGTAAATGAACTTGGCAAATAAGTTGATTATTGGTTGTTGCTATGTTACTTGAAGATTATTGTCTGCTCACCCGTAAATGAAGTTGGCAAATAAGCTGATTATTGGTTGTTGCTATGTTACTTGAAGATTATTGTCTACTCACCCGTAAATGAAGTTGGCAAATAAGCTGATTATTGGTTGTTGCTATGTTACTTGAAGATTAATGTCTACTCACCCGTAAATGAAGTTGGCAAATAAGCTGATTATTAGTTGTTGCTATGTTACTTGAAGATTATTGTCTGCTCACCCATAAATGAAGTTGGCAAATAAGTTGATTATTGGTTGTTGCTATGTTACTTGAAGATTATTGTCTGCTCACCCGTAAATGAAGTTGGCAAATAAGTTGATTATTGGTTGTTGCTATGTTACTTGAAGATTATTGCCTGCTCACCCATAAATGAAGTTGGCAAATAAGTTGATTATTGGTTGTTGCTATGTTACTTGAAGATTATTGTCTGCTCACCCATAAATGAACTTGGCAAATAAGCTGATTATTGGTTGTTGCTATGTTACTTGAAGATTATTGTCTACTCACCCGTAAATGAAGTTGGCAAATAAGCTGATTATTGGTTGTTGCTATGTTACTTGAAGATTATTGTCTGCTCACCGTAAATGAAGTTGGCAAATAAGCTGATTATTGGTTGTTGCTATGTTACTTGAAGATTATTGTCTGCTCACCCATAAATGAAGTTGGCAAATAAGTTGATTATTGGTTGTTGCTATGTTACTTGAAGATTATTGTCTGCTCACCCGTAAATGAAGTTGGCAAATAAGCTGATTATTGGTTGTTGCTATGTTACTTGAAGATTATTGTCTGCTCACCCGTAAATGAAGTTGGCAAATAAGCTGATTATTGGTTGTTGCTATGTTACTTGAAGATTATTGTCTGCTCACCCGTAAATGAAGTTGGCAAATAAGCTGATTATTGGTTGTTGCTATGTTACTTGAAGATTAATGTCTACTCACCCGTAAATGAAGTTGGCAAATAAGCTGATTATTAGTTGTTGCTATGTTACTTGAAGATTATTGTCTGCTCACCCATAAATGAAGTTGGCAAATAAGTTGATTATTGGTTGTTGCTATGTTACTTGAAGATTATTGTCTGCTCACCCGTAAATGAAGTTTGCAAATAAGTTGATTATTGGTTGTTGCTATGTTACTTGAAGATTATTGCCTGCTCACCCATAAATGAAGTTGGCAAATAAGTTGATTATTGGTTGTTGCTATGTTACTTGAAGATTATTGTCTGCTCACCCATAAATGAAGTTGGCAAATAAGCTGATTATTGGTTGTTGCTATGTTACTTAAAGATTATTGTCTACTCACCCGTAAATGAAGTTGGCAAATAAGCTGATTATTGGTTGTTGCTATGTTACTTGAAGATTATTGTCTGCTCACCCGTAAATGAAGTTGGCAAATAAGCTGATTATTGGTTGTTGCTATGTTACTTGAAGATTATTGTCTGCTCACCCATAAATGAAGTTGGCAAATAAGTTGATTATTGGTTGTTGCTATGTTACTTGAAGATTATTGTCTGCTCACCCGTAAATGAAGTTGGCAAATAAGCTGATTATTGGTTGTTGCTATGTTACTTGAAGATTATTGTCTGCTCACCCGTAAATGAAGTTGGCAAATAAGCTGATTATTGGTTGTTGCTATGTTACTTGAAGATTATTGTCTGCTCACCCGTAAATGAAGTTGGCAAATAAGCTGATTATTGGTTGTTGCTATGTTACTTGAAGATTATTGTCTGCTCACCCGTAAATGAAGTTGGCAAATAAGCTGATTATTGGTTGTTGCTATGTTACTTGAAGATTAATGTCTACTCACCGTAAATGAAGTTGGCAAATAAGCTGATTATTAGTTGTTGCTATGTTACTTGAAGATTATTGTCTGCTCACCCATAAATGAAGTTGGCAAATAAGTTGATTATTGGTTGTTGCTATGTTACTTGAAGATTATTGTCTGCTCACCCGTAAATGAAGTTTGCAAATAAGTTGATTATTGGTTGTTGCTATGTTACTTGAAGATTATTGCCTGCTCACCCATAAATGAAGTTGGCAAATAAGTTGATTATTGGTTGTTGCTATGTTACTTGAAGATTATTGTCTGCTCACCCATAAATGAAGTTGGCAAATAAGCTGATTATTGTTGCTATGTTACTTAAAGATTATTGTCTACTAAATGAAGTTGGCAAATAAGCTGATTATTGGTTGTTGCTATGTTACTTGAAGATTATTGTCTGCTCACCCGTAAATGAAGTTGGCAAATAAGCTGATTATTGGTTGTTGCTATGTTACTTGAAGATTATTGTCTGCTCACCCATAAATGAAGTTGGCAAATAAGTTGATTATTGGTTGTTGCTATGTTACTTGAAGATTATTGTCTGCTCACCCGTAAATGAAGTTGGCAAATAAGCTGATTATTGGTTGTTGCTATGTTACTTGAAGATTATTGTCTGCTCACCCGTAAATGAAGTTGGCAAATAAGCTGATTATTGGTTGTTGCTATGTTACTTGAAGATTATTGTCTGCTCACCCGTAAATGAAGTTGGCAAATAAGCTGATTATTGGTTGTTGCTATGTTACTTGAAGATTAATGTCTACTCACCCGTAAATGAAGTTGGCAAATAAGCTGATTATTGGTTGTTGCTATGTTACTTGAAGATTATTGTCTGCTCACCCGTAAATGAAGTTGGCAAATAAGCTGATTATTGGTTGTTGCTATGTTACTTGAAGATTATTGTCTACTCACCCGTAAATGAAGTTGGCAAATAAGTTTATTATTGGTTGTTGTTTTGTAGCGATGATGGACTTTCTCCACATCTTCTTGGTAAACACCTTGAGGCACTTCTCTGGCTTTCTCCATCCAGTTTCTTGTTTTGTCGCTGAGATCAACATTGCTGCCATATGCATACGGGTAGTTAAGGTCAGAGGCCTTGTAGATTACAGAATGAAAATTCTTCTTGTCTTGAAAGTGGTCTAAACTGGGCTCAATGTGATATTCGTCTTCAAGTTTATCTGAAAATCTCACTTTGCCTTCAAACAAACCATTGTGAATAAACCCATGAACGAACGAGCTGGGGTGGCCTACAAAGAATGTTTTATTTTGCATAATATTCAAAATATTCATGAGAGTTGGTCAGATAGTTCAAACATCCATAACAAGCAAGTTTTTGTGAACCATTCAAAAGTTTGCAAAATGCCATGGTTCTTCTAGTTTTCTATAAAATCATTTATCACCCCTCATATAAGAGCTAAAAACAATTCAGGAAGGGAACTTTAACAGGAAACCTAGTGCATGTAGCGCTCATCAAAATGTTATCAATTTTTGGACTAAATTACTTTCTCCCCAACTTACCTTCAGCATGGCCCTTGTAAACCTTACTCGGATCAAATTCCGGGTCCACATCCAAATCTGGAGCAAATATTGTTGTGTCTCGTTTCAATCGTAAATTGAACTTCCTATGAACAATACATGCATAAGATTTGATGCGGTAAACTTTGGAGGAAGGGCACAAAAAACGATGAAGTGTTTTACAAAGACTACAGTAATGAATGGAGAGCTATGTATATTTGAAAAGTCCACAAAATTAATCTCATCGAATTAAATAGTCTTTTATAAATCTCTTTAAAAGTTTAGAAATAAGAGTAATTCTTAAAAGGAGAATGACATGACCATATGAGATTCATTCTCTTGTATTCATTTGGACATTGGCAATATAAAAACAAAAAGACAATAACCGAATTACAACTTTGTAATAGTAAATAGTTTATTTTTCCCACCAAAAGCTTTTATAGATAATAGCAATCATGAATAATTGGGGTAAAATAGCAGCAGCCGTTTGAATATATACTTTAACAATTTCATAAGCATACATAAGGTCAGATGCTGGAACTGGTTTTCACTTGCATATAACAGTCATTGGCAAAGGCAAGATTATTACAATGCAAATTATTTGCCAAAATTATTATTCATTTATTTGGAAAATTAATTCCATTCATTGTTTTTCCCTTGATTGAACACAAAAATATTTGCATTGTGGGAGTATAACGAACTGGCTTGCGATAATTAATTTGATGTGCCATTGTACCTTTGAGGAAAACGTAATATTTCAAAATAAAATTACAATATTGACAACAAAACAAAAAAAACAATACTTGTGATACCTGGGCAACTCGCTCCTTCATGAGGAAGCAACCCAGATAGTTGACAACTTTCTCACGTTTGAATAATTTGGTTGACCCGGCAACATAAGTTTGAAAACTATTATTTCACTTTGTTTTATTTGTAAACCAGAATCCAATAAAACATCCACCGCTTGTTTTTTTTTATTTGCATAAAAATGAACCTTCACCGATTCTCTTTCGTTGCGTCGTAAAGAAAACACGATAAGTCGAGAACCACAATGTTTACATATGCACATAGCTTAACAGAGACTGTGGGAGAGTCGGTTTTGAATTTATATATTACCATTTGTATGAATAGATTCTGACAGCCTGAGTAATTTTTGAAACAGAGCGAATAAAAAGATATGAAAACGCACCTTCCGTGAGCCTTGAAGTTGAAATGAAGGATACTTTCATCGCTCAACGAACGACGAACTCTATGATGTTGACTGTCGAGTAGATGTCTATTATAGTTTAGCGGTTCGTAATGTGAAACAAATTCGTTCAAGCGCTCACCTAGAAGTAGAAATAAAATAAGAATTTACAAAAACAAAATATACAGTACCACAATACCATATACCCACCGCAAACGCAGTTCACAACGGACAAAACAAGACTCGCGAGCAGCATCAAGTCCGACATATTAGACCCAATTTAATATGCCCAAGTATACGAATGTTGGCAAACAGGAACTGTTCGGCCAATATATAAGTAGTCAAAAGCAAATTTATCCTTTAGTACATATGAAAGCTTTTCATGGGATAGTCAAACTTGTTGGATAGTAATGACACTTTAATACTTGAATTTTTCTTTGTTTACTTCTTGTTGGAAACCATTCCCAAAGTCAAAGTTATTATAAATGGCAAAAAAAGCTTAGTCATTGGCTATGACTGATGACTAAAGCCCACACGAGTATGTAATTACGTCACTTAAACACAAGTTACAGCACTTGAGGCTAAATATTGGCTGTTTCGTCGGGAATGTATTATAAAATTTACTCGTTTCAGAGGCTTTCTAGTGACCAATTTTAACTGCTCGTCAAAATCCAAGGATTAATTGTAAAATTGAATGAGAAATTTACAGAATCACGAAAATCTTGCTCATCGACAGGGCAGTCACAGAAACCTCGAAATTTCTGGCATTGTGGGAGGCAACACAACATAATGGGCAATACTAACTTAGGGGGTGTTTACATGAATCCGGAATGACTTTCAATCCCGATCGAAACGTGATGTCAATCCGTGTTTACATGAAACTAATTGTTGTTTTTCTTCGCACTCATTTTAACCCATTTAGCCTCTTTATTTACTTACGAGCTTCAATTTGCCAGAAGACAATACCCATGCCACATGCGTGCTTCGTCATTAATCACAATATCATTCAAGAATGAAACTCAATTCGCGTTTACATGAGATAACAAGTAAATTTCGATCCGGAATGAAATTTCGATCCGGAATGAAACTAGGAATGAACTCGATCCGGATCGAGTTGTGACTCATTCCGGATTCATGTAAACATGCAATAGGATTTCTTTTAAAGTGGAATGAGTTCATTCCGCATCGAAACTCATTCCGGATTCATGTAAACACCCCCTTAATACAGAGTAATTTCAACATAGGCGATGTAAGTATCAAATTAAAGCATTTCCACAGAATTACACTTACATAGTACAATTGACTGTCACACCTAACAATTTAAATATTTCCCAATTTAAAAATTCCCTCTCTACCTACGTGACAAGAATGACGATATTCACAAAATTTGTTTTTGCAAAATTAAAAAACTCAAAATTTAAACCTCGTTAAAATACAGACACCCTTCAAGTTTTCGCTAACCAGACGTGAATATGTCTGAGGATCGACAATTTTGCGAAATCATTGTGGTTTCAATAGTTCCATTCACATCCCAGTTTCCAAAGTCAAATGATTCAACCCACACGATTTCCTTGGGATGCGTCCAGATATATTAGCCAACATCCCGATTGCCCGACTTATATTTAAGCATCGCAAATCGTAGCAAGGGAAAAGTAAAAAAGTAGTAATAAAAAAAAAAGCGACTAGTTAAAGTCCTTTTAAGTAGACGTTGAAGTGGAATAAAACACATTCCCAAAAACAAAGACATCTTCCAAACTAAGATACGAGTAATGGGGAAAAAAAGCAAGACAAAATTACTCAATTAGCGACGTTTTGATTCTATTTCGGAATGATTGCGTCATGTTTTCATTATTCATATAACTTTGTATCTTGAGGTTTCAAGATGTCAAGTTTGTTTGTCTGGGTGTGTTTCATCCTATGTAAAGTTACGAAATTTTCCACTGGGAAACATTCAAGTAGAAGTTAAACATAACTACAAATCTAAAAAAAAACAATTGGAAACAAACACGATAACGAACTCTATCACGCGTGACATTGAAAAGGTAACAATGTTTGCGCATGCGTAACAATGATTAGAAATGTAACGGTGACGTCATACACACAATTTCAAATTACGATTTATTTTACCGAAGACTATAATTTTTCTTTATTATTATATAACTAAGTAAACGTTTTTTTAATCCTTTTAGCCCATGATGTGATGGTATTTCTATTTCGTGCAGGTTAAAAATTAACTACGATCTAACACGTTAAATACACTCTCACGTGACCATTGCGATCAGAGAAAAACAAGCTCCATTACTAACAGAGTTTTCTTCCTTTTTCAGGGGGAGAGGGTGGGTTGTGTTGCCTTAACTACCAACGGCAGTGAATTCATGTTTAGGCAAAATAAATGACAGGTGGCTTGCAGCCAATCCGCAATGAGCCCAAAGACAAGGAGATTATCGATTATCGTCATGTTTTTTGTAAACGAGATAAATTATTTGAAAACTTCAATCAACATGGTGACCGTTGAAATTCAAAATGCATTGGCTATGAATTTCGAAAGAAAAAAATCTGCCCAGTCTATAGGTGGATTGCAACCATTCCCCTAGAAGTCAAAGGACAAATTTGCAATGTTGGTGGAAATTTTCTTTCTCATCAAGAAAATCTTTTGTTAAATTCAAGCAACATGGCGCCCATGACGTAACATGCAAACCTGCATTTGCCTGTGGTAATTTATCTACCCCGATTCTTAATCCGCAACTGACTACCAACGTGAACTCTATTTTGTTTACATCCCAATAGCCTTAAATATCTACTCCTTATCTGTTTATTCGTCGCATTGTAGACAAACACGTTGCAGAAGCTGTTGGCATAACCAAGGACAAGCGATCCAAAATCTGCCCAGCGGGGAGCACGCACGTCAAAGAACACTTGAAGTAACATTATGCAGGCGAACGGTGACCAACACAGAACGAACACCACAACAAGGGTGAATATAGTACAAGAGAGCTTACGATCGCTCCGTACAGCGGATTGCCTAACCACTTTCCCTTTCCGGTGAACGTCATGAGGTGCGATTTTGGTGGTCGGGTGCTGAGTCGACGATTGAACATTAGAACTGGAAGCCTTCTTGAATTTGTATATTCTTACATAACAAAAGGTCATGACAGTAACGGGTCCAAATAAGCATGACATGATCATAAAAATTGTGTAAGATTTGCTTGAACTCCATTCAACGAAGCAATAGCTTTGCCCCTTGTCGTATGCGAATTTAGCCCAACCAAAGAGCGGCGGCACTGATAGACCAATAATAATCGCCCACATGCCGGCAACGTATACGACACACGCGCCACGCGTGTATTTCTTCTCGTATTTTATCCAATGACAGATGGCGTGATAGCGATTCACGCTTATCATCGTCAATGCCACACACGAAGCGACAAACGTGAGGAGAGTAAAAAATCCGGATGCTGTGCACACCTTTTCGCCTAGTACCCAGTCTTCAGATATTATCGTCACTATAGTGATGGGTATGCTGATCACGGCAATGAGTAAGTCCGCTACAGCTAGATTAAGGATGAAAAGATTTCCTTTCGTACGGAGAAGCGGAGTCTTTGCAATGATTACAAAGAGCGTGACGTTTCCAGTCAAGGCACCAAAACATATGATTACGAGAAGCGCTGTCTCAGCTGCGGCTATCATCAACGTCATTTTAAGGAATTTAAACAAGGCAAATGTTACTTTGCGGTTCTCTTTGGACTCCGGAGGACGCAATAAGATCAAGCGGTTTTAAGTGGTACTTTTCGAGATAAAATCAAAGAGGAACTAAGATTGGACGCAAAATAATAACAATTACTGATCAATAGGAAGTTTAGAACATTCAAAACATTTCGTCCAAGGCATATCTTGATAAATTGGAAATTAAGTTTTTCTAATTATTAATTATTCTTCGACGAGCGGCACATCGTGAAAGATAATGGTTTTTTTAATTGTTATTTTAATTTGACGGTAAAATTAAGGATGGCAAATTAAAATCCAATAATATTACAAAGGAATAAATGACAGATCTAGTTCATAGCTACTTCATAACGTTTGGATATTAAAGTTTGGATATTAAAGTGTGAATATTAAAGTTTTTTACACGGTCATTACATTTTTTTTGTACAAACGAATTTTCGATAATCATTCACACGCATGAATGGTGTTTGATAAAACATAAAATGTTTAAGACGAAAGCTTTTGGAACTAACAATTTAGTTTCATTTTTTAGAATTTTTATTCCGTTTTCCTATGGAAAAAAAAATTTTTCTGAGCGTTTTTTTTTATCATTTACAATGAGTTTTCTCGAAGTTCTTGTATATTCCTCATTCAAACAAAGCAAGAACACCGACGGTGAAAACTGGCACTTTAAACAGAGCTTAAATATACTTGCAAATTGATGAAAAGTACTGCGATTTTTCATACATTGAAAAATGTGAAATTGCATGCAGTAGACATGATGAAGTAGTATAGATCTCATTATATGAACATGAAACGCTTATACACCTATGCACAAAGGCATATTGAACAGAAAATTGGTGAAGTTTGTGAATAAAGAGTAATATGAGACACACAGTGGGTGAGTAGAAGAAAAATTAATAAACGAGCTTTTACGACGAGGGCAACTGAGGATTGAAAAAAGTTTTGCCGCTCAGAAAGTGGCGCGCCGTTTCTTTAATAATATATATATGTCCCATATTACCACAGATAATCATGTAGGAGAGCGTATGGAATACTATTCGCATTTCTGACATTGAGACTTTCATATCTAAATTGAATAAGTTTCCAGCTACACACCTTCTAATCGTTAGAGATCACTGATAAACATCTTCAATGTCATTCAATACCAAAAAAGTGTTAAAATGTTTAATCCTTTTTCACTAGTGCTGATACAACAATTTTCACCTTTGATGGGGATTTCGACGATAATATATTCTTACTGGTATGATTTATGTACTGTTTGGTACAAAATATTCCTTCTTGCATCAGTCACAGCTCCGCGAAATATATGTTGCTTGTAATCTCACGCCCAAATAAATGCACATGAGACGCGACAACTCTTGCAATTACATGAGGACGAATATTTCTAATTGAAGCAGGTGAAACGGACCTGCAAATATCTGTGTTTATGTATTGGCCGTTTTTACATTCTGGACATTCAATTATTTAAATGGACGCATAACACGTCCGAAGGAAAAACCGTTTTTATAATACAATACAAATATGATATACAATAAGTAGGCTTTGTGACTAACTATACTGCTGGTTTATTCAGCACAAACATGACAGAAGAGCAACTGTTAATTATATATAAACTATTTATATTATAGTTCGGGATTTATCGAGCAGGTCTTTGAAGACGCAACAAACGATATAAGTTATCTACTGAAGTGTAGGAAACATGATGCATAGCACGACAAAACAAGAAACTTTAAATGTTTGCCAGGCAGTACAAAAAATGGCCATTGGCGTAAGGGAGCTTCTATTTCTGTGGGGAGGCGAGCAGTAGCTTACTTTCTCAATTTTCAACGCATTCAAGAGCCATTCGATGAATTGTAGCGATTTATAATCACATGCAGGTCTTGTGCTTTAAATCATTGCTCGAGTATATTGGCAGCTTTTGTACGAAGTGTGAATCAATCATCCTCGCGCCTTTAAAAATCGCTGTCATTTCATTGTTTCCAAAAAACGGCTTTTTCCAAACTTGGGAGAGCCCAGTCCCTCCACCCCCCCAATTTAATATTGCATTATCATTATAGTCTTCATTTCGGAGACAGTAAGTTACATAACATATATTATATAACCACATTTGGACAACTTTTAAGCATGCATGTAAATTGTAATTTATAACGTTAGCACGTCTAAAAGAGGTACTAAATAATTTAAAATGATATTTTTCAAAGTTGTTCACACTTATTCAGATAATCCTTTGAAGCAATGAAACTAAACGTCTTGACGCATTGCGTGTTTGCAGTAAATATAAAAATAGACATTTTTGTGTTTTTCAAAGGAAATCAAACACAGTACACCTGTGCCGTACATAGTCCTGTTCTCTGTTTTTCGTCTACCAGTTTCCATCATAAAAACAGATTCGTCATCAACCTAGCTAATGTCAGCAACAACTTTCGATCATTTCTGAAAAACACTCTACGGTCTGAAGGATGATCTTTCTAGCAGTTTGCATAATACAAGAGATTGTGAAATGGTGAAGTTAGCTTTTTTAGAGGAAAAAAGGCTTTGTTAATGAAAAGTTACACACAATTCATGATTTACATACAAGCCTTTATAACGCAAGTGAAACTTCTGGCTTTTGCTCGCTAACAATGAATCCGAAATTTGTAAGTTGTTGCTTTTGATGAGAATCGGAAAGTGGAAAAAATATGAGGATAAACTCCTTAATTTCACCCAGAAAATTTAAAGCAGATTTGTAAAAAATGAGCGCGTGTCCTGATTTAGCATTCAGTGTTTTCGTTAGCTTTCTATCGCCCACATCGCTATCAAAAACAGTCAGAACGGACGATTTGCATTAAAATTGAATTCATATCTATCGCAATTTTTCGGCAATTATTCCTAAGGTAATTTTTCAATATCTATGTTGAGATAAAACAAATTGTCTATGATATATTACGATGTTGTAATTAGATATAAACTCACGGGTTTCCAAGCAATGAGTATATACATGGGGGCTACTTTGAATTCAATATCTTGGGACATCTTCCAATGGTGACACGTAAAAGCTTCTCCTTTTTCGTCGAGCTTAAAAAAGATAAAAAATTAAGTCGACAGATCAAAAGATTATTATAAGGGAAATTTGTAGTATGCTTTGTAATTATGATTGAAATAAATACAACTGAATGTTCGCTCGTCAAACTTTTTTTTCCAATCTTTTACCTCGGCCTCGGTCGTCAGAAAAGAGGGGTGGGTGGGTTGTCGAGCCAAAGCATCATTACCATTACTCCCCCCTCCCCTTCCTCGAAAAATTGTTTTTGACAAAGACAGGTATAGTAGAGCAAAATTATGGAGGAGAAACTGATAAAGCTAAAACCCTTTCACAAAAACAAACATTCTATTAAAAATGGCGCTGATAGTATTTCAGAAATATTTATTAGGAACCATTTCGATTACACGCATACGAACTTGATAATTTTCATAAACAAAGTATCTTTGCAGCAACTTCTGTAGGCTGTAGACTGCAGGCTCGTAGATGCCGGGCTCCATGCTGTTTAAGTACACTCAATGATCTCACCTTCGTCATTATTTCGAAGAAGGGACTTCGCAACAGACATCATGGGACCTCTCGTCGCAAAAAAATAACCAAACTTCTTCAGGCTGTGGTTTGCCTCAATTGACTTCGCAATGGCCTGTTCGGATTTGGAACCCCCAGTGCAGGCCTAAATGTTTTTACCAAAAAAACCCAGCAAAAATTAAACGAAATTTGGGAGGGTACTCTGCGAGCTTGGAATGGACTAACCTGATTGGCTAGTCGTAATTCTTTCAAAGACTTGTTCCCTTCTAAAACTGCCATTAACTTCTAAAATTTACAAAAGTAAATAAAATTTATCAAAGAAACACCAAAGGCTGGTAAAAGCATCACTCATAAATATAAAAAAACTATAGTCACCGAAATGATTTCACCAGTTAGGTAATTTGATTCCATATTAATACACTCCAAAGTTCTGTTGATTTTCATCGTTTCTATAAAATGCTGGAGAAGAACTATAAACATATACTTCAGCGCGGCTAATTCTGTCAGCAACAGCATGTATAAAATAATGCTTAACTAACACGTATAGACGACATTATTTATCTAATATATGAGTGATTTAACCCCTTTATACAGCAAATATTGAAATCACACTTCAAAAAATTATTTTTGCCCAAAATTTTATTAAAAATAGAGTGAATAACCCACTTTGGCAAAAAAATATATAAAAATACACCTGTTTTGCTTGATTTGCTATTAGTTGCCAAATGGCAACTATACAGTACAATTGGTTTGAAATCTCTATAGTTTAAAAATCACATTCTTTCAAAATGAACTACAAAAAACTCTCTGATTGTTGTATAACTAGTACAGTTTGTATTGTCACTTGTTTCTATTTGAATGAAAATCTGTAAAGCAGTTCTTGTTTGTTTGTTTATACAACCATGTATAAAATGTAAGCTCTTATAATTCTGTAAATGGTTTATCTCAAGTGGCAAGGCAATGATTGATCTGATTTTGCAATGAAGACATATTTCAATATACTGCACTTTAAATTAACAATGCGTACTCTTTACTCTTTTGAAACTAAATTCGGTAATTTAGCAACGTTTTACTCATAGATCAAGAGTGAAAATCAAAGGATCGGATTTAAGAATGATAAAATACATAGTTCTGCTATTGAAGAAATGAGAAAATTTCTTAAATGTGTTCTCTGATGACATCAACACACGGCAGATGTGCATGTTAAAGAATTCACCCGGGGAGTTGGTTGATATTTCAACCAAAACGGGAGAAAAATACCTCATGCAAGTTTGCCTGCTCAACAATTTTTAACAAGAAGCATTTTATAAAAAACCATGCACAGTATGAAAAACTTCCCAAAACAAGAAAGAAGTTTGCTCAAAAATAATTGTGACTTACAGCACAAACCGACGGCTTCATTTGAGTATTTGCAACGGCCAGTTTTTTTACGTATTTATTTTCTCGTAACATTTTAGCGACCTCAACGAGAACGTTATCGACATCCTTGTAGTTATTCATGGCTATTTCTGTTAATGTGGGATCATTACATTTCAGTTTTCTCAAGATGACTGTTATTTGGACGTGATCGGGCGTTTGCAACATATCCGGGATTGATTTGGGCTTTTTTCCTTGGATAATACCTGAGACAAAGGATTCAGTAAATCTACGCTACAATATAAATAGCCTATAGTGCATTAGTTAACGAAACTCAGAAAATCAAGCCTCTTTTCTTAGTCGGTAACACACATTACTCAAGGATGATAGTTTTGGTCAATATGGATATTTAATTATAATTGTTGTGTATTACTTATTACACGTTATTTAAGAAACTTTTGAATATTTTGAATCCATATGGAATAGACATACACATGAATAAAAAGAGTTTAAACACTGTTTTCCATCAATGTACGATTCAAAAAAGTGCAAACCTTCTCAACTGTCTCTTGTCCCATTACCCCTTAAACTGTCTTTTGACCTATTTCTCCACACATAACCCAACTCTACCATCTTGTCCCGTTTCACTACACATAACCCCCATCAACCGTTTATTGTCCCTATTGTCCCATTTCTCATCACCTAACATTCTTTGTTTATTAACACTTACCCGGTTTTCGCAGGCCAAATTTCATTATTGCGTGTCCCAATTTCTCGCTTTCAGCGGCGAAACTTTCCTCTTGTGTCACGAGACTGTGCAATCCAAGAACAGCTAAATTTAAAAGGTGTCATCGTTTTCAGTCGAAAAGCAGAAAATCCAGACACAAGTTTTTAACATCGAATTATCCACAATTATAGTGAATATGAAAGATTAACAGTGAAAATATACGTTGAAAAAGACAGAATTTTTCCAACAAGCGTTTCTCCACTGCTGTAATCCCAATGGTTTTTCTACACCCGCTAATAATATCCTCAAAATATCTCTTTACACAGTATCCTGAGACATTTTCTACACTCATCATCAACAAAGTTACTTTTTACCCAATATCCCATGAATCTCTCTAGTCTCTACGACTGTCATACTTACGCAGGGGTCACAAGCAACAGCTGTCATACACTCACTGCATGTTCAGTTAAAAAGAAAATTCCTAGCCGAGGAGACTTTTGGCAGTTGGGAGAACTCGAGAGCTCATCAGTACAAGCCCGAGACCGAAGGTTGCACCAGCTCAAGAGTTCTCGCAATCGTCTCCGTCCGAAGTTTGCATAAGCCAGTGCAAACACGAAAAACATCTTTTATTTCATTTTTAAAACAATAATAATGCAAAAACTTTAAAAATTTTAATTTTTCTTCTAAAATGTATTCATGTTTGATTTCAAAATTCTCATTAATTGATTGATTGATTTAATTGGCTGTGCTTAAATCTGTTTTGCACAGGCTGATGCAAACGCAGCTATAGACCAATCAGCGCACGCGTTTTATCGTGTTATTTTATAAACCTTACCAGCAATCTCCGCGATATCATCATTGGTAATATCTTCCATCATGGATTGCAGTTCATCGGAGAGCTCGACTTTTTCTTCACGATAGTGCTTCTTCCTGTCAGGTTTGCCTTCCTTCTTCCAATCGCGATATTTGAGAGGCAAGTAGTTGTCACCATCGATGGACTCACGGGACTTCTTCTCCATGATGCTAATCATTGATTTTATGTCGTATCGGCTCTTCGACCTTCTTGGCTGGTCAAAGTAGCGCGTCGTAGTGTTGCTGTCAAAAATGTCGTATCGGCTCTTCGACCTTCTTGGCTTGTCGAAGTAGCGCGTCGTAGTGTTGCAATCAAAAGCTGGAGTTTCCTGTAAAGAGACGAAACAGCAAGACGTCGATACATGTAGCATAATCTTTTTAATGCGGACAACGATTCGAGTTGTCAAAGTAACTGGTCACTTGGGGTTTATAATTACTAGGAGCGTTTATCTTGTTTTTGATTGGATCTGGGGGGTAAAATGGGATTAAACATTGTAGGGGAGTGGGGAGGAATCAATTCTCCCGAAAGAAGGGAGTGGTGTAATTTCGTGCTTCATTACCAGCAAAATTGCTTTTTTACATGAAACTTGGAGTTTCCTCCACACAGGATTGACGCTCCTAGATTAGAAAAGGTGATTTTATACAAATTGAAAATCTGTTGACCACCAACACAGTTAACAAATGGTATTTCTTTGCATTTTTTGTTCAGTGGTTTTGGAAAAATTTTGAGCCACTGGGTAAAATCCTTGTCTTGCTTGCGAGTGATCAGTCAGATGACTCAGTCACCCTCAGTTATATTTGATTATTGACCACTCATATTACAGTATGTTCACCAACCACGGACGGGTCTACATCTCCTGCTAATTCTTTTAAGTCTTCATCAGACAATCCTTTCAATAGATTTTCAATGGAGACGGATGCCATATATTGTCCCTAAAAATGGATAGAGTTGAACTGAATGTAGGCGAAAGGATCGAATCAAAATCAAAAAGACCTCGTTGGATAAAGTTGAACTGAATGTAGGTGAAAGGATCGAATCGAAATCAAAAAGACTTCGTTATCGCTATCAGATATTATATGAACTCCGTGTTGCTGCCTTTAAATGTCAACTATGATGCTTTTTGTAAAATTATTATGATTTGTCCACAGATGTTGTCCTCGAGTCTCAGTTGACTATACCGGAAAGATGTGACGTTGCCAATCGCTATACAACCAAGGGCGGCTGAACCTTGATAATTGAGGGGGCTATTATTGATAGTAATGAAGAATGCTTTAACAGTCTACATGTCTGACATTGCAAGTCAGCATAAAGATGATCTGCATGGATTTCGACAATGTTGTTTGTTCATCAAACCTGGACAACCATGTCTTGCTGCTTCTTTAGAAGGTATCTTGAAATGTATATTCTGTGAGCTAGTTAGAATTGAGAGAAAGTACCCAATTTTTTTAAGGAAAAAGGATGTTCATAAAAAGACAGTTGATGACAAATTAAAATTCCTGGAATACTACAATGGGCAGTAAGATTGAAATACGGTGGCCCACACCTTCAAACACACTAACAAATAACAGAGCATGCCCACAAATATGAATATATGAATATAGCCCCCCCCAATCATCAATGTTCCGACGCCCCTATATAAAAAGGTGCAGTTCTCATGAATCTAAAGAGCTGACGCTATAACACAGCGATGTAAAACATATTTCCATCCGACAGATACATGCCTGTAATGCGATGTATAAATTACTCTTTTCTAAATGTAATTATTATAGCCCCCCCCCATTCACACGATCCGATTGCTACGGTTCCGACTTTTGGTTGCTTCTTCAGACGGTCCAATCATTTTGTAACATTCATATCGCAGATATTTATAGTAGTGAGAGCAGCCATTTGTGTTATCCAGTATATTCATCGATATATTTTGCGAATCTTGTTCTTGTTTCGGAGTCTTTTTCAAATCTAATTTTTCCCACCGAAAGAAAGTTGGGAAGTATGGGCAGTGACCAGTCTGGGGCTAGTCGGCTTCTTCTGATCTTCTCGGACGAAAATAGAGCAAGCTCTATTTTCATCCGAAATATCCGATCGTGTCAATGGGAATTTAACTTTCAGACATTCATATCAACTTGCTTATTTAAATTCAACCTCTAGTTTTCAACGGTTGTTTCTGCAACAGCACAACGCTGACAGGTTTTGAAACTGACTTCTGTTTCTTGACGTGTAGAACAACCTAATTGTTATCGACAACTCCCAATGTAGGTCGGTTTAGGTGTGCTATTAGAGAGATTTAGCAACTTCTCCAGTCGGCGGGCCAGATTTAGGAAAATTAAGTTATTGGTGGGCCGGATTATTACATGAATAATATTCAATATTCAATGGTTGGATACAGTCGGCGGGCCAGTCAAAATCCCTTCAGGGGCCGGATCCCGGCCGCATGTTGCCCACCCCTGTCTTAGACAATACGTCGTGTTTGCTAAATTTCTCTAATTAATAAGCATTTTGTTCTCAAACATTTGAAATAACACGCAAGTATAGAGAATGTTATCTTTTAAGCGGCAACGGCTTTTTTTCATTTCTCTTGGATTATTCTTAGTGAGTGCTTTGTTCAAAGATATTGGATTCCTTTGATAAGCATTTAAATTTGAACACGTTAAACACTGCGCAGGGTAGTTGAATGACTTTTTATACAATACTAGAAAGGAAAGCAATTAACTTCGGGCATCGAGTTATAAGTTATAAATATCAATTACAACAGGTATGTGTATAGATGTGAATGCACAATAGGGTAGCAGTGAAGACTGAATAGAAAATTGTATAAATAGAAACGTCCATTCAAACATACAATATTTCCAGTATGAAAACAAAACGGATTGTAGACGCATGAAATATTGAATCGTCAAATGAGCGCTCGAATGAGTTGGGTATAGAAGCTTATAATTAACGCAAGATGCTTTACTAATTACGGAAGGACGTGCAAGAAAATAAAACTAGATCGCGTTCTTCGCCTTGCAATGGTAGTCTTGACATTTCAACACTTCAAATTTTTACCTTCGATTTTCACACGGGAGAAAAATTCCCATACAGCACATTGACAGTTCAACGTGGTTCAAAGGTGACAGTAGCACTATCGTAAGCGTCATAGATAAGCGTTGAACAATGAAAAATTCCACGCAAAAACACCCATTTTAGGTATATCAAAATTGAAAACGACGCTCGCGTGTACTCGTCATAACTTACAATCACAGGACTTACCTGGAATTTAACCGTCAAACATCCAGAGGCCTCTCAAACTATAAAGCATTAAGAGTATATGTGCCTGAATATACCGTTGTCGCTATTTATAAGCCTCACAGTATGTATTTTTTTAAATAACTATTCCCTGAGCTAACCGGCATGATTCAAGCTATTCACATGAATGTGAAAATCATTTTGTGGATAACGGGATCAGATTATGTCTAAACCTTTATAGATTTTTTGATCGGATTTAGCAACTCTCGGATGAATTTCTAAATCATATATCAAACGGAATAAACTATTTCTAACTCTCCATCATCTTCGTTAAATCTTACAAAAACTTGGAAAATGAAATTTTCTCACTGCAGGCGATCACAGGGATTGCTGACTGTGTCAATACTGCATCAAACAGTGGGATAAAATTGATAAATGGCAACCTTCCATGGGACTTCCTTTCATTTGCTTCTACTTAGATTACATGCAGCTTATTTAATTTGTGCTTGTGCTTGTTCAATTTTTTAAGCACAGCAGTATATAATGGGTCGTACACAATAAAGAAACGTTGACTTGTAAAGTGAAGCACTTTTGACCTGTTTACTTGAAGAGGTAAAAAAAATATGTGAAGATTCCTCATATTTGTTTAAGCAGTCGTTTTAATTTTTTTAACAGGAATGAAAAATAATCGAAAGCATGCTGTTCTCGTAGTCATCGTGTTTTCGTTATATTACGACGAAAAAAATTTTCGAAGAACGATGACTTTCCGTGTAATCGCCTCCATCATCAATTGCCTTTCATTTTCCTCCAAGGACTCAACCACGAAACTTTGAATTGTTATAAACATAGCATTTTACTGGATCTGTTGAGCCGTCTGTCGTTTGTGACAATATAATCGCATCAGGGCGATAATAAACTCACAATGCGATTCAGAACCGGTTTCCACTTATTTTAAACAGTAATAGGCCGTTGGCACGCACGCTCACGAAACTTAATTGAAAATATATAAACTGGTAATTAAAAGGTTAAACATCTTCAACCACATAATTGATTAAACATGCATTTTTCTATTTATGTACAGGCACACCTCTGTACGGTGTACACGTACAGCGCAGATCAGACTCCAACAAGGATTTTTCTCCTATCCTGTCCAAGGTTCTTTGATTTTTTCATGGCAAGTACGAAATCCTTCCTCCATGCTATTCAACAAGTTGATGTCTTCTTCATGCAATACTAAACCATAGGCAGTTAAATTCACTTCAATTCTGTCCTTGTTGCTGCTTTTTGCCACGCAAACATAGCCTTTTTCTAAGCACCATTGGATCAAGATGACGGCAGGACTGGAATTATACTTCTTAGCCAATTTTAACAGCCTCGGTTCGTTTAGTTTTCTACCACTAGCAAGAGGAGAGTATGCCTGGATGACAATACCATTGTCTTTACAGTATTTCACAAGACGTTTTTCTTGTAAAAATGGGTGTACTTCAATTTGATTAACTGCCGGTCGAACATTTGTATGCTTGTGTAGCTCAACCAAATGATGAATATCAAAATTTGACACCCCGATAGACCTAGATTTTGAGATCAAAAATATGAATATGCAAATGGAATGTCCAAATGAACAAAATGGAGTGTGGCTTTAAACACTAGAAGAAACTAGATTGTAATCTGACATAACTCAACTTTCAATATCACATCAATCCTGATGAAGACACTAGACTGGAGTACATAAGAGCTCAAGTTTCAATATCACATCAATCCTGATGAAGACACTAGACTGGAGTGTATAAGGAGTAAGAACTCAATTTCAACCTCACATCAGTCCAGGTGAAGACACTAGACTGGGGTAATAACATGTTTTTGCCTAAGAAATTTTTCAGCATTCAAAAAGTTTCCTATGCAGTTGATAAGTGCTATTCAGTTTTCATAGAACCAGCCCCAGTTGAAGAAACTGGGTATGAACATCAGATCACTCCTAATGAAGACACTAGACTGGAGTATATAAGGACTCAAGTTTTAACATCAGATCACTCCTGATGTAGGCATTAGATGGTAGTATATAAAAACTCAAGTTTCAACATCAGATCACTCCTGATGAAGACATTAGATTGTAGTATATAAGAACTTAAGTTTCAATATCAGATCACTCCTGATGAAGGCATTAGATTGTAGTATAAAAAAACTCAAGTTTCAACATCAGATCACTCCTGATGAAGAAAAAAGACTGGAGTATAAAAGAACTCAAGTTTCAACATCAGATCACTCCTGATGAAGAAAAAAGACTGGAGTATAAAAGAACTCAAGTTTCAACATCAGATCACTCCTGATGAAGACAAAAGATTGAAGTATATAAGGACTCATGTTTTAACATCAAATCACTCCTAATAAAGACAAAAAACTGGAGTATGTAGAAATTCAAGAATAAATATCTTAGACTGCAAAACACAAGACCTCGACTTTCCAGCATCAAAGCACATCTGATGAGAAAAGTGACTTAAAAAAAACACTGTATCACAAACACATCGGCAAATAAAAACATATTCAACACACCTAACAAGCTTCTTGTTTTGTAGTTCCACCATTGCTTCCCAAGTAGACAAAATCTTACCATTAACAGGTGAATGGATAAGATAAAGATCAATATATTTTAATCCTAGTCTGTTCAAGCTCTTGTGAAATGCTTCAATTGTTTCATTGTAACCATGGCTGTCGTCATAAAGCTTTGTGGTTACATAAATATCTTCTCGTGGTAAACCAGAATTCTTTAATGCCTCACCAACACTTTCTTCATTGCCATATCTGGCTGCGGTGTCTATTTGCTTGTAGCCAGCTTTCAATGCCCATGTAACAGCATTAAACGTTTCATGGCCTTTTGGAATTTTCCAAACTCCCAGTCCAAACGTTGGTATGTAATTTCCATCATTAAGTAAAATCCTTCTCTCATAATTTTGAAAAGTTGCCTGGGAGCTGCCACAGTTGATTTCGTTACTACATTGATCACTTGACGTGTAACAAAGACAGGTTGAATTGAATACGAGAAAATAGTAAAGCAGTCGTGAATTGCCGTGCATTTCTCATACAGTAGTTATCTTATGCCTTTAAATGATCAAAAAAATACTCACTGTACTTGTCTTGAACGACATAAACACATCAATTTGAACAGACTCACCCGAGATGTATTTGAACGTTTATAGATCAATTGAACAAATTTTAAATAGCATCCCAGAGACGGCTCCATGATCGAAGTAATGACTTGAACAATATGCTCAAATAATTTTAAAACAAAGCTTCTCACGCGCCACAGGAAGCAAGAAATATAAGTTATAATTAATATATTGAATATATTGAACGATGAGATTACCGAGTAACAAAGGTTAATTATTAGTGGTAACCTTTTCTACGTCACTAGTGTACGACTTTTCTACGTTACTAGACTCAGACTTTTAAGTCTCTCTTGACGGTTTGAGAGACGAAAAAGTTTGAGTTGGAGTGCGATCTGCATTTTATTTTTAAATGAACTCGGGGTTTGTTTTGATAAAGCAACTGATAGCATGCTTAAGTTCATGGAGCGATGACTGCCAACCAACACATTGGCACTTAGGGGAAATTTTCTCCATCAGTCAAAAAATCTGGAAGTGACACTTTCATCGGCACTGTATTAGCTTTCATCTTTTATTTCCACGCACAAGAGAGAAAATTGATCGCAAATGGTTCTGCCACACGAAAATAACTGGTCGAGTATACTGCTAATTGATCTCCATTAACTCCACTTCCCTGTTTCTCTTGAAGGATATAACAACTGCAAACATGCTGGTTGGACGATAAAATTTTAGTGGTGGTGATATGGGGGAGGGGGGCTTTATTTTTGGTTTGCCAGGGCTCAAACAACGGCTTGATTCGGTCCTTATTTCTTTCTCATGGGAGACATGGCTTTGTCATTCCATGAAACTGATAAGCGTTTCATCGAAAAACTGTTTGATTTATGCAGCAAACCCGCGCATGTGCAACCCTCAACCTTCAGTCCCGGGCTTGCACTGATCTGCTCTCGAGTTCTCCCAAAGGTCTCCTCGGTTTGCATAAGCCTGTGCAAACACAGTAAACATCTTTTATTTCTTAAATGAAATATATGATCAGTAATTTAACCGACCGACCAAGTGGACGTAGTTCAAGTTGCACACTGTAAAACTAAAGGATATTTTTGCAAATGAAGATAAAACTTGATACCACTATGATAGTATCTGTAATAGTGTGATCATCTAAAAACTATGGTACCTTAAAGGTGTCTGTATTAGTATGGTCATCTCAAAACAATGGTCGCCTTAATGGTATCTGTAATAGCATGCCCATCTCAAAACTACTGTCACCATAATAATATCTATAACAGCATGGTCATCTTAAATCGTTGGTCACCATAATGGTATCTGTAAATTTTACTAAATAATGGTATGGTCACCTGATTAAAAATGTGTAGTTAATAGCAACAGTTTCTTCGGGATAAATGCAAATAATAGTTTGGTCGTAATCAATGTCAAAATACTTGCATGTCAAAAATCCTACTTTTAACTAAACACTCTTGGAGACAATCACACATTCCTAGCTAATACGTTTGACTTTTGAATGTTTATTCATGGTAAAACATACAACATTATCGTCAATTGTTTAGTTGTCCATACATGTCCATGAAATGAATACATGCGAAACATCGAGAATATCCGATAAAGAAGTTTCTAATGAAGCTAAAAATTTCATCAGATTTAACATGTTAAAAATTTGACACTTCAACATGTTAAAGAAAAGTAGAAAATAGTGTCAAGTCGGGTTTTATAAATTTAGAGGAACTTTAAAAATAGCTCAGTCTCGTTTTGCCAAATGTTTCAAAAACATGTTAAGAGATTTTGTAAAATTTTTCTAATTTTCCTTTGAATTCGTACTTGCACGAGTTTTGTAAATCCTAGTTTGCACTTGCAAATAATTTAGTTCATCACAGCAGCTATAATTTTGAATTATTAGACCGACGTTAAACTAAAAAGCCAAAGTTCGACTCATACCTTTCAAAAAGGTTTACTTTCCGCATTAAAATGATCTTTTTTAATAAGAAGCACGTACAGACACAAGGATTAAGGCCTTGGGAGACTTAACCCTTCAAGTCCCAAGTTTATTTTAGAGAAAAAATGAAATAGCGAACAATAAGAAAATAAAGTTATGATAAAAGCCTACATTTACTAAACTACGTACAAATCATATATCAATTTAAAGCTAATATAATGAAGAATTTAATTGTAGTGTTCAAAATAGGATAAAATTCGTTTCCATGACGACACAAGGTGTAAATTACCGAAGTGATAATATTTTCAAACTAAAACATTCAATGTAAAGATAAAGTTCTCGAATATTCTTTAGATGTAATTGCTTACTACTGCTCACAAAAAGCCTGTATTATAAGCTTTCAGATGATGTATAACTTTTCTCATTTAGGCACTAGAAAGCTCAAATAATTGGAAAATTGCAATTGTACCGCCAGCAAATATAGCAATAAAATAAGATATAATCTCAAAACTATCTATGAGCTTGAACAAACTTATAAGTTGCACTAACTTAGGGTTTTATTGCATAAAATGTGTAATTTTTAATACCATGCTTATATTTACCAACAATTCTGTCGGAAAAACTACTGTCTGGTGTGGAAAATTTTAAAGCAAGGTGCTACACATAGTCCCACGTCACAGTCTTTACAGAAATAGGAAGTCCTTTTTGGTTTTTCTTTTGTGGAACATACTTTGCATCTTCTTTCCTTAGTCTTTCCTTTGCTGTTGGATGGAATTATGCTTGGAAAATGTCTATCCCGTAATCTAGCAGGCGATTCAATAGCTGGTCAAACAACTTGTCTCCGAGAAGAAAACTCCCCAATAAGAAGTTTGGAGACTTCTAGGTGAAAATTCTTTGAACTCCTCGTGTTATGGTTTAATGACAGCCTTTCCAGGATGTGACTGTTTACAATGCATCTGTGCAGTAGTTCAAAAAATATTCTCAGCCACCATTTCTTCCACCTACAGTTGATACCATAATATGATTTCATCTGGTCATTCCCGCCAACTCCACCCATTGTATGATACAATGATATTTGGGCTTTGAACATCATCTGTATTGCCATCCTTCTTTCATCGCTTTACTGGAATTGTAGCAGTATCAGATGGTATTGCTTGAGATGAAACCATATTCACAACACGGTTGTCCATCCATGTTACCGCAGTAATGGGTCCTTTGAATCGAAAGACAGATTGCCCTTCCGAAGATATCCTTCTGGAAGAATAGTAGCAGGACTAACATCTTGTGTAAAAGCACCAAGTCGTATTTCTCCCTCGTATTCATCGTTCGACCATTTAGTGTTCGAAAAGTTGTATGCCAGTATTTTGCCAGACTGAGCGACCGTTCCCTCTTCCTCATTAGTTTCAATTAGGTCGAAATCATGTAAGTTGCAGAGGATTTCTACTTGTTCATCTTGAACAGAAGACAGACCTTCAACATCAGGTTTCGAAAAGGCAGAAAGCTCGCAATATATATCCGTGCACACTCCATCATAAGAAATACCATAATCTTGCTCTAGGACGTCTACAACTTCGTTCAATGTCATGCTGTTAGGTTTATCCGCCATTGTTTATGTCTTGCCAAAACAAAATTTAAAGGGCAAGATTAAAAACTTCACAAAAAATCGCTCAAAACTACGGTGGCCCATAAGGGACACGACCAGTATCTCCGTAGAAATCGACCTTCTCCGTAGAAATCAAGCTTCTCCGTAGAAATCGAGCTTCTCCGTAGAAATCGACCTTCTCCGTAGAAATCGACCTTCTCCGTAGAAATCGACCTTCTCCGTAGAAATCGACCTTCTCCGTAGAAATCGACCTTCTCCCTAGAAATCGAACTTCTCCGTAGAAATCGTGCTTCTCCGTAGAAATCGAGCTTCTCCGTAGAAATCGAGCCTGTAGAAATCGTGGCCCATAAGGACACGACCAGTTTCTCCGTAGAAATGGACCTTCTCCGTAGAAATAGACCTTCTCCGTAGAAATGGACCTTCTCCGTAGAAATGGCAAATACCGGCTCTAGATGTCAAATATATCAAATTCTAACAATTCAAAATGGCGGCGGAAACCACAAAGTGAAACTTGTATAGCAAAAGTGAGGCCTTTAAATGGCGCGTTTTTGTAGCGAATGTGGCACGGAATTTGCTAATGAGGCAGCAAAATACTGTCATAACTGCGGAAAGGAATTTTCAGGTAAATTTAATCATAGTATCATAACAGTGATCACTGATCGGTGGTCTGTGAAGGATTTGATCATAAATTATTTCAGTATGTGTATGATTCATCCCCTGTGTGAGCTGTTATATACTTTTGTGATATCGGGGACGTATACCAAACATTTAGAAAAATATTTCAATTAATACATTTCTCGCTTTCAATTTGTAGAATTTCCACAAAATGCCTGTCACCATGAACAAGATTGTATTGAATACTATTTTCATCTGGGATACAAGTATCATGACATCACCAATTTATTAAAAACATATCATGGTATTACGATGTGTGTCCGCACATTAAAAAGAAAACTACAAAAATATAACTTGAAGAAAAGAAATGTCAATTTTGATGAGCAATATCTCAGGGATATTATAAAAACAGAAATGGAAGGAGCTGGACAACTTTCTGGTTACCGTAAAATTTGGCATCTACTTCGAATAAATCATCATTTACATGCCCCACGGAGTGTTGTGGCTAGAGTTGTCCATGAACTAAATCCCCAGGCCAGTAATGAAAGAAAGGGAAATAAACTTAAACGGCGAAAGTACTTATCTTATGGCCCTAATCACTGTTGGCATATTGATGGTAAATTTCAGTTTACTTGAATATGTTAAATTTTTTTGTCTATTTCATGGTGCATACCAGTGGTAGTAGCCAAGGGTAAAACACCTCCAAATGTCATTAACATATTTTATGTACTGTTTGATAATACCAACATTTTCAAGGTTCATATATGAAGCTTTAGTGTAGGAAATATAGAGGGGAGAGTTTACTCATGTCCTCACCAGCACAACTGATGCATAGATTTTTGTAAATAAATATGAATTCCATACAGGATATGATAAGCTCAAACCCTTTGGCTTCCCTATACATGCAGCAATTGATGGCTTTAGTAGGAAGGTTTTGTGGTTGGAGATATGCAAGTCAAACAACTCTCCAAAAGAGCCAACAATATTGTATTTGGATTGTGTGATCGAACATGGTGGATGCCCCTTGTTAACTCGTTCAGATTATGGAACAGAAAATGGTGATATTGCAGCCATTCAATGTTATTTTCATGATGATGAGAATGCTCATAAATATGGAACATCCACTAGAAACCAAAGGATTGAAAACTGGTGGTCACATTTTCGTAAGTCTTGTACCGGTAAGTAGGATCTATAACAACAATATCAGAAATATGTAAGACACAGTAACTTTATAAATTAAAAAAGCTGGCGTGAAAAGTTAGTGATAGTAGTTGTAGGTTAATTGTGATCACATATTTTAACTTTTGCAGATTGGTGGATTAACTTTTTCAAAGATTTACGGGATAGCGGATCAGTGAACTTTGAAAGCACATTACACAGACAGTGCTTATGGTTCTGTTTCCAAGATGTAATTCAAGCATCATTAAACAAAATGAAAGCGTACTGGAATACGCATTATATTAGGTCATCTCGCCATGAAACCACTCCAGGAGTTCCTGATTTATTATTTTATTTGCCAAAAGATTCTGGGGGCGTTAACTGTCTTGTTAGGGTCAGTCAGGATAAAATTGATGAAATGAAATTGCGTCACTTCGAAGACACCAATGACGAAAGTTCATATCAGGAATACTTTCAGTATGTTATGGATCACGAAGGTGTCAGATATCCAGACAGTCCTAAGGAGGCCTTAGATTTGTTTTGCTATTTAACGGAAAAGCTGGAACTGAAGATTCCTTTTGTGATGAAATTTAATGTTCATTACATATGCCAAAATGCATTGCTCTTTCGTAACAAGAGCTTTAGATTACTAAGATGAAAGATTGATAACATGCTTCAAATTGGATTCATTGTTACCTAACGTTTTTTTAACAAAACAATTAAATATGAACTTAACTAATAACTAATAATGCAGTTGTTACCATTAAAAATTATGAATTTTTTTACGGTTAACACTCCCGTTGATTGCTATTCCCCTGTAAATGATAAAATACAATTATCATTAATAAATGAAACCAAATCCCTTTCCTTCGATAAGTGCAGAGTCAATTGCCTCTTTTAGTTGGTTGTAACTATCTCTATAATGAACAGGCAATGTAATGCTTAGATCACAAGTTGAAGCAGTTGGCCGACACTTGCACCCTTCTGTACATCCATGCTTGAATTTAACCGTTATGGGTTTTGGTAATCCTAATGGTGGAAGTTGCTCGCATCCAGTTATGAATTTGTGCAACATGCACAAGGTGTTAGTGGCATGCGTCCCTAGAAAAACCTTAATCGATTCAAATTTCAAATCTCATTTTGAACTTATAAAAATCGTCAGGCAGTGGTATTAAATGCAATCGGGCAAGTATGTCACTCAAGTTATCAATTATAAAACTGATCAATTCATGGAAGTCTAATATTGAGTTAAGAGTTTGAATGAAATGGCAATTTTTTCAAGTTGTGAACAGGAGTAGAATATTACATTACATCAAGTATGCTGTATTTGCAACACAGCAGATATACCTTGGAAAGCATTGGAATCCTGCAAGAAATCGAGAAAGAATTTATAAACATCAACTTCTGCCATTTTGCAATTGCTTCCTTCTTCACTAAATTCAGCTGTCATCCCATCTAACAGCTGATTGGCAGAAGGCAAAAAGAACAGTCCGCAACAAATAGTGCCTTCATTGCTGCCTTTTCTTCTTTCATTGCTTTCATCACATTGAACAAACCTAATCCAATCATAAGCTGGTCCAGCATAGGCAGGAAACGTGAAAAATCATACATTACAATTGCTCTAAAAAATGGCAACAGTGCATTAGAAACTTCACTAATTAATGCTTATTCACAAACACAGAAAATGGCAAGAATTCGTGAGTGTGTCGGGGACCACGTATTATCTTAACTTAAAAGTCAAACATCAAATACAATTTATTAACAGTGTCTGGGATGGTTTAATATGTACTTTATTAAAAATATGAAATTGAAAATTACTTTCGTTTAGTTAAAATTCTTAATAAAGATTGTCGTGCTCAAAGGGTAGTAAAAATCATATAAGAGTAAAACTCTTTGAGATCGTATTTGTCACAATCACTAAGCCATGTTAAAGTCAAACAAAAAGAAGTTGGCCTTTAAAGGGTTAATGACTTACACTAAGCAGAATTTGTAAATCATTTCGTTTTTAAAGATTTAAACATAGCGTACCTTAAGATGTTTTTAGCAGATTGCAATGATTCTCTTGATGGCACTTCCCTGTAGTGAATCTGTTGCAAAACATACAACATGGCGTCTTCTTGCAACACACTTTGTAAATGTTCTTCAATTGAACAATTTGTAATCTGTACGCCAATAAAAATTAATTTCATAAAACACTTAGAATTTATGACCATCATAAACATTGTGTTTTAACATGAAAGAATGCTTTTAAGTTTTACCTTCTCTATAGCTTCAACAAGCGTAATATCCTTTACTTCTGAAATCCATCCTTCAGTTGTTATACTTGAAATACCTTCAGTCATATACGCATAAACTTTGTCTGAAAAGAAACACGGTGCTGGTCCACCTTGCACAATTGAACTAGCCATCAGTTGTCCTGCTACTTTGAACTTGTCACCCCCAAGCGCTGCCATGTCAGGTTAAAGCATCCCATTATTAAACAGTTGTTGTTGGATAGTTTGAAGAACCTCTACAAATATAACACAAAAATTTTAGTGAGTAATATATTGACAGCAACGAATATGCAAATTGATTCATTTTATTTGCAGGTCTGGTAAGCAACTGAAACATGTATACCAGAAAAAAATTCACGACGAGGTCCGCCATCATCAATTGCAGGCTCTCCAACAAATGTTACTTTCAGCAACTGCTTGTTATTGAACCATTGTTTCTTTGAAATTTCCAAATAGTCTTTGAAAACTGATTTTCGCCTCACATTAATTCGGATTTTAATAGGGTTCACATGTTCAGCAAGCTCAGCTATCAAATCTTTCATCTTCTTTTCATTTCGACCGTATTCATATTACTATCATCACATGTTTCAGAAAAATCATCATTTTCGACAGATGTATCAAAAGGATCATCTTTATTGATCCAATTGTGTCTATCCACTTGTCAGCACAAATGTCTGCATGTGCCTCAATTTCATTAAAAGGAAACATGCAAAAACAAGTAGGACATGATGTTTCTGCAGATGACGGAGGAGATTTTTTGTCATCATCATCACTTATATCAATAAAGCTTTTTACTTTTGTTGCTTCCTTTTTCTCACTATCTTGAGTGACCACCATTTCATTGCAAGTATCAGAAATTTTAGTTAAACTTTCCAGTTGTATTATCTCTGTTTTTTCATTATTTTGAGCATCATAGTCATACTCATCAGAGTCTGAATCTGGAAAATCTTGGACTCTGTCCAAATCTATTGTAGCACACAGATAAAAATATATTTTTGAGTAGGGTTTTCCTAACTCCTGTTTGTACTCACTCAATACAAACTCTGCTGCACTGCCAGGTAACTTCTGTACAATAGAATGGTCTGGATAGAGAAGAGTGTAGGAAGTATACTTATTGAACTGTCTAAAATGCTTCGAATGTTTATTTATTGCAGCCTTCATTAAGTCAGCTGCATTACATTGAGATGAGACAATTAGGGGTAGTGTTCTTCCCTTCAGCCTTTTTAACCTTTTCCCTTCAGCTTCTACGACACCAACTTGAATTTTAACATCCTCGTGTTGTTTTGGTTTCTTACACAATAGAATTTTCTTAGCTCGACTCACTTGCTTTCTTTTCCGATATTCGTCGAATGTTAATGTTGACATCGGTCTAGTGGAGTCATTTGGCAACAGCAAACTTGAACTTGAACTGGATGTTAATGTTGGCTCATTAATGCTTGGTGTTGAAGGTAGATTTGCTGATTAGAAAAATTTGAAAAGGAAATATTGGTGCTATGTAATGTAAATGCATCAAAGAGAAATATGTGTATAAATGCATATTAAAATTAATAGCCTTTCGCAAAATTTGCCCTATGAACATGTAAAATGAAAATACATTATAAGTTTTTCAGAATCTTTTACATAACCACAATAATATTTACGCACAATTAATATCCACAATTCATAATTGATGATTCTATTGATTCATAATACAAAAAATTTAAGAAGAAACGTTTTATTACCTGCAGATGTTGGTTTCCCGCAGTTATGACAGTATTTTGCTGCCTCATTAGCAAATTCCGTGCCACATTCGCTACAAAAACGCGCCATTTAAAGGCCTCACTTTTGCTATACAAGTTTCACTTTATGGTTTCCGCCGCCATTTTGAATTGTTAGAATTTGATATATTTGACATCTAGAGCCGGTATTTGCCATTTCTACGGAGAAGGTCTATTTCTACGGAGAAGGTCCATTTCTACGGAGAAGGTCCATTTCTACGGAGAAACTGGTCGTGTCCCTTATGGGCCACGATTTCTACGGAGAAGCTCGATTTCTACGGAGAAGCTCGATTTCTACGGAGAAGCTCGATTTCTACGGAGAAGCACGATTTCTACGGAGAAGCTCGATTTCTACGGAGAAGCTTGATTTCTACGGAGAAGCACGATTTCTACGGAGAAGCTCGATTTCTACGGAGAAGGTCGATTTCTACGGAGAAGCTCGATTTCTACGGAGAAGGTCGATTTCTACGGAGAAGGTCGATTTCTACGGAGAAACTGGTCGTGTCCCTTATGGGCCACCGTACAAAACTAGTTTCGGTGACAAACTATACATCAAAATAATCGAATGGTGTACTATAAAGCGCATGTCCGGCTTTTGTTTATGAGTTAGCTGGGCAAAAGAAGTGCTGGCACGTGGTGTCCGATATATCGAACACTGCGGTGTTTGGAATTAAATGAAGATATGATCTTCGCACTTTTGCTGGAAATTTAAGCAATTGTCTCATGAACCTGAAAAATTCAGGTGACTCAACGGGATTCGAACCCATGACTCTCAGTCGCAGAGGTCATGGGTTGGAATCCCCGTTGAGTCATCTGAATTTTTCAGGTTCATGAGACAATTGCTTAAATTGTCCAGCAAAAGTGCGAAGATCATATCTTCATTTAATATCGGACACTGGGACTTAAAGGGTTAAAGAAAAGCTCTCGCTTCGTTTTCCCTTACGCATTTGTCTTTCTATGCTGAAGAAGAAAACACCCTTGCTCGTTAAAGCAATTGACGGTGTTGGCAGTATGTTTGGATGTTTTTGTTTCTTCCTAACTCTGGGTGCGTTTACTTTCCTGGAAAAAGGTACAAACTTGTATTTCTGCTCAATAATCGTTTCGGATGTAAATGTGATGTGTTTTAAATCATGACCCGCATTTTGCATGACGAAAGATGATATATTATTCTTCAAACTGAATTTCAAGCAAAATTTGTCATGTGAACAAACTGCGCTTTATGTAAATTTAAGCCTTTTGTTGTGATGATGCATTTAACGTAAAATTGCTCATCAGTAATTTTGTCATTTTTCAGATCTAATAAGCGAATCATTTCCCTTTATTCCTTCGATTCGATCTACAAAAATACCCTTGTGGTGTATGATGACAAAAACAAATTAACGACTTGCGTTCCCCTAGAGCCGTCGTTTCAAAACTAAAAATAGGAAAGAGTAAAGTTTCTGCTTTCCTTCCATGCCAGGTGTTCTTGGATTTTTCTTGAAAATGTTGAAACAGGAAAGTGTATTTATGATACAAAGATAGTACAGTCAAGATATCGACCACCAACTGGGGGAGAAAGAACACTTCACTTCTTGGAGCTTTCCGACAACTGTCTTCATCCAGCATCTCAGTTCAAATTTCTAGATAACAGCGCCATATTGAAGTTGAATGTACCAGGTTGTCTTCAGGGAGTTTATAAAGGGGGAACTGGTTATCAACTTGATATGTTGTATATCCACACTGATACACACAACATTTATCACCTTGCTTGTGTCAACAACAATGCTGTAACCCAAACCTCTTGGGGAGGTCTAGCAACGCGGTACCACCGCGTTAGATATCAATTTCGATGTTTACAACCTAACACATCCCACCGATTGAAAACTATCCAAGAATTGATCCCTATTTAAAATGGCAGATTGCAATGATACAACAAACAAGTGATTTCATTTTGGTAAGCTGAGTTTTTTTGTCTTATAGTTGAGCGCTGTAAAAGGCTTTAAGACCTGAAACAGATTTTTCTTATCAACAAACTAGTAATCTGTAATGAATCTATATAAAAAAAAACTATTCTTCGGTATTTTTTATAACATGTATGTTGGAATTCTTTCATTTCCCATTTTGAACTATTAAAATTAACCCTTAAAACTCTTGTCTATAATTATAGATTATTTAGTACATGGCGATAAATAACCAGGAGCACTCCCTCTATTATGGGACTCTATCATTCCCCAAAATGAGAGGCTCGTAGATATTTTCTGGACAAACTGTTTTATAAAGTGAATGGTTTGAACCCGGAAGTATCGTTACATTTTTGTAGATAAAGATCGTCCACCTTTGTGCGCTCCTGAGAAAAACTGCTGGTGTTGAAGTTTAGTCTGAAGATGACTACCTACTAAGATTGTCGAAACGCCAAAATCAACAGCCTTTCTCATAACTGCTTTAACTTGGACCATCTAAGCGTAAAAATAAGTTTTATATATATTTCACATTAGCTGGCGCTGCCCAACACCCAAACTTACGCTGGTATTCCATACACTCACTCACCTTCACCCTCCTGAATGCGACATATATTTGATTACCCAATCAATGATGAAGTCAAAGTCATTTCTCCATTAATGGCACGATTTTTAGCTAAAATATTTCAAATTAAGCAATTAGTGGAGTGAAAATTCCGTCTTACCACACTCAGTGAGTGGGAATTAGCTTTAGAATAGGGCGTCAATGTGCATATATAGGTATGTGTATAACATAAGTCAACGTGGTTTAACCGACCACTCATCGAAGAATTTATTCATTTACACATCCAGTTAAATTTGTATCATCGCCAACAGGTTCGGTGGCATGCAACGGACATAAGATACAGAACGCTGGCTGTCCTAGAAATCAATACATGACAGTTAAGACGGCATCGTATCGTGGACTGCGCGCGGGACAAACTTGCAGTTCAACTTATGGTTACAGTTGTAGCTTTGATGTAACATGTTCTCTGAAACGATACTGCAATGGTCGAAACAAGTGTGATGCAACTGTCAATGATAATCTCTTGCCTCCCAATATTTGTCCCGGTTTGAACAAGTATCTTTACTTTGAATATCAATGTGGCAACACACAGAAGTCTTTCAATGAGATTTGTTATCGTAAGTGTTTTAAATGAGAAAGTACATGCGTTATTTTAAGGCACCGAATGAAAATTTTCAGTAAGCATGCTAGCAGTGATGTTAAAAAAAAGTTGATGTGTACATATCGGAAATCTTTCAGTTGACAATGTACAGTTGTCACAGTCGATAATGCCAAACGAAGGAGTTGTGAACCTTATGACCAAGTACGATGGAAACTTTGCTGTATGTGAAGATAGTTCATTGAATCGATTCAAAGACGAAATTTGCAATCGATCTGGTTACCCAAACGCTGAATCTATCAAAAGTTGGACGCCCCGCGCATCTTTAGGCAATTTAGTATTCCAACCTGGACGGGTAACATGCAATGCCCAAGCGACACATTTACCTCAGTGCTCCATCACAAAAAGAGTCAGCTGTTCTCGATATTCATACTTGAAATGTAAGTCGGGGCACAGTCACAGAGCATGCTCAATGCTCCATCAAAAAAGGGATTGGTTGTTCTTCATAATTATACTTAAAATATAAGTAAAGGCATGATAACAAATAATGCTCAAAGTTCCATACGAATCAAGTCGGTTGCTCTCGATATTTATAATAAGAATGCAAGTCGAGGCACATTTCCAAAACATGCTCCAGAGCATGTTCCATCAAAAGGGTGTCGGATGTTCTTTTGGATGACAATTTAATTTGAGGCACAGTCAAAAATCATACCTAATTTTCCATTAAAAAGAGATCAATTACTCTCCATATTTACACTTAAAATGCAAGTCAAAGCACATTTACACAGCATACCTAATGTTCTTTCAAAAAGATGTCAGTTGCTCTCGATATTTACACTTAAAATGCATGTCGAAGCACATTTACACAGCATACCTAATGTTCCTTCAAAAAGATGTAGTTTGCTCTCCGTATTTACACTCAAGATGCAAGTCGAAGAATTGCAGAATAAACATGAATATATTACAGTTTTTGTCACATATTTCCTCCTTCTATGAATGACAAACTTACATTTTTAAAACAACTTCAAATTCAAATTCTTTCGAAGCATTTCACTGGAGCATTCCTCTTGCTACAAGTCCACAAACAAATGCGGGCTCAAATTCTTTCAAAGCATTTCACTGGAGCATTCCTCTTGCTACAAGTCCACAAACAAATGAGGGCTCAAATTCTTTCAAAGCATTTCACTGGAGCATTCCTCTTGCTACCAGTCCACAAACAAATGCGAGTCCAACGAAAGCAAAGAGCCGGAGTAAAGCAAGATTTCATACAAATCTCTACTTTCCACAATAAAACATCATTTTTGATGATTATTTTTTAACTATGAATATTTTTATGTAGGTCACATCTGTGGTAGACCACTCTTAGAAGACAAGCAACGGTTCCCAGATTCCTTGTTTACCTCTTTGGACGCAAGCACATGTAATAGTGCTTATTCTTCCAGAATATCCAGTGGTAGTTCATGGTGTGCTTCTGTTGCTGATGGTAACCATTACCTTCAGCTGAGATTTGGCAGACTTTACGTAATCAACACCATCGCGATTTTTGGAGACCAGAAACTCCGTAGTTGGACGACCGAATTTCACGTGAACACCACGCTCGATCATGTGAACTGGATATCAGTTTTGAATAAGAATTTGAGTAAGGTATGACAATAAGAAAAAATGGTTACAGGAAAAAGACAATCGCCATTAAACTCTATGCTCAAATATAAAAAATTAGGATAATTTTCTTGACAGCTATTTTGATCATCTTCATCGACACTTTTTAACTTTATATGTTATATAACAACAGGGACCAAGCAACATTGGAGGCTATATTGCCATTCACACCACCACCACCAACGAACACACACTTTTTTCCAGAATATGAATTTCTTAGATTTTTTGCACGTGGAAATGTCGAAGCGACCAATTCAATCTTTAACGATAGCGCTTGTGCATTTTGTTAGTGTGCAGGCATTGAAAATAACTTTCCCAATTTTAAAAGCGATGCGCTGTCCTATACAGTAGCGATCATATAGATTTCAATACAAAGAAATCTTTTTAAGCATGTAACAATTTTATGTCCACCATTCGTGTTTTTTAGAACATTCTGTTCATTCTTTTTCAAAATATTGCAAAATTTTTTCCATATTTTAGGTCTTTCAAGGGAATAAGAATTCTCACACTGCAGCCGTACACAATTTTACCACAGCAATCAAAACGAAAGGTTTACGAATCATACCGGTGAATTACGTACATCGACCGTGCATGCGCATTCAAATTTGCGGTGGAAGTAAGTATGAGGAAATCGTATAGTTTGTTTGAATGTGACGTCAAAGCGGCCATGCTCGAGGACTATATCAAAGTGCCGAGTCTAAGCAGAGCATGAAACTATTATGAATTCTTCTAACTGTATGGCATTTTCCCCCAACATGGCAAATACCCTACTGAATCAAAGGCGTGACCTGCCCGCAAGGTTTGGTCGTGGCTGCTAGATAAGAGTTCTTATCATTTTTTATTTCTGAAGAAATCTTTTGTTTCTTTCCTGTGAGTGAACACCAAAAAAATTGGCATGACAGAACCAGATTTGTGCGCTGGCTACTTCACAATAGAGACCTGGGGCCGGTTGCACGAAGCCTGGATAGCAAAAATTTTCAAACTTGTAAAAAGGTGTTTATATTTTTCTCACGACAAAAAAATTTGTAATCTTCGAAGCAATATTTTATTTTAGCGATTGCACAGTTCAAATCGTATATTTTTCTCTTATAAGATATTTTATGAACGTTCAGAAAAATTTGCTATCCAGTGGATAACGCTATCCAGGCTTCGTGCAACCTGCCCCTGCTTTGCTAGGATAGCCATGAATTTTAAACCGAACATGACCTTAACGTAGGCCTTTGCAACTTTCTCTAACATAGCTTTGCTTCCTGACGAACCGGCAAACCTTACAGTCACAAAAATTGCGTCAAGATACGTTGATATATACTGGATGGATCCAAAAAACACTCAAGTGATTCCTGGTACAGATCATGCCAATCCTTTGACGGAATTTCGCTTCGTCATTAGAAATAATTTGACCGTAACGTTAAACATAACTATTTTGGCAACCATGAGAAGGCCCTACAAGTTGGGAAATCTTCTTCCTAACACGAAGTATTCAGCATATGTAACCGCTGGAAACTCTATGGGTTTCGGAAGTGCAGCAACTATTTTATTCACAACAAGAGAAGAAGGTAGGATTTATCAGCAAAACGTATAAAAAATAACAAGATATGATTGTACTTCGTTTTTTCAAGAGAAAACATCGGCTCTGAATGTTACGGTCAACTTTCTCTTAGATAAAGTTCAAATGTCCAGTAAACCCCCTGCAGTGTCTTTGGATTTCATAGGAATCCGGAGTTAAACAATTAGAGAGAAAAGTACTCTCACATGCTTTCATACAAAACAAGGAAATTTAAACTCACGTTCATTCTATGCCAATTGCCTAAGAAAGGTGAACAAATGTACACACTATGCACGACATTTCTTTTAGCACCAAGTGGTCCGCCATTAAACATCAGATCAACATCTCGAAGTTCATCTTCTTTAACATTTGCTTGGCATCCACCTGAAAAGAACAAACAACATGGCGTCATTGTCAGCTACACATCTTGTCTCTCCAAGATTAAAAATGGCAGTTGTTTCAAAACATTCACAAGCACCAATCGAGAATGGTCAGTGATGAAACTGAACGCATCTACAAAATATTTTTTCAAGTTTTGCCAGTACTAAGGCAGGTCAAGGCGTCAGCAGTGAAAGTAAAGGATTTTATACAAATGGAGGTAAACATGCCACTTTGTGTTGTCCATATTCAGTTATAACACACCCAATTCTTCTAAAAAATTTTTAAAATCACACGACAAAAGACATTCTTGTTGTTTATCTACACGAACTACAACAAGTAAAGACAGGTTGCTGTTTTAATTATTAAAGTTAAAAATTTAAGCTCAGAATGAATTTTGGCTTTTTCATAACAATCAGCATCAATGTTCTGTTTATAAGCTCCGGTGAAGAAGTCTACAGCACCAACAGCAAGAACATTGACGTTTGATCTGGATATTCCAAATGAATTTTTGTAAGTTTTAAAAGCCTTCCTAATCAAAATAACCCATAACTCGCATGTCAAACGTAAACTGTACTACAGCACATAAAAAAGGTACGTTTATTTCATAGCATGGCACCTCGTCCCTATATTTCACGAAGCATTTCAAAAAAGAAAAACGGGTTTGAATTTTCTTTCTAAGATATTTCTACATCGTGGCTTTAAAAGCAGAGAACGGTGAAGATCCACGGACGCCTGACAAATACAAAGAAAGCGAACTTGTGACGTATGAAGAGGCAATAAATTCCACCGAATCTAAACCGTATATTGCTGCAGTTGTTCGTAAGTACAGCGGTTTGGATGAAATGCAGTTCATACTTGGTGATGGTCGAAATACAAATAAACCAACAACAAGGAAACGTAGATCAACTACAAGCAGTTTTTATAACGGACCTTTGGAGCCTGGCACGAATTATAGAATTTTTCAGAGAGTTGTTCTTAGCAATGTTAGTATTATTCATCAATATGGTCTGTCATACACTTGCCCTGATTTTTATATTAGTAAAATGATTAAAAATCATCTGCGATAAAAAAATTACTAGCATCTAGCTGTTCAAAATTTTCACGTAAAAATCATCAAGTTGTTTGACTGCAAAGACCACCAATCTACAAACCACACAAACTCAAGTATACTAAATATCAGCTAGTACTGATAATTGATATTGAAGCCTAGTAGCTGAGCAGCAGAGTGCTTTTAAGAAAGCCATCCAATACAAAGTTATGATAAAATGTTATTTACTAAATAATGTATAATGTTTCGTCTCAACAATTAAGAAATTATCAGAGTTCAAAAAATAGCCTTTTATAATAAATTTGTGTTTGATGGTTCTTTTAAAAGCATTTTTCTGGGTTCCTATGTTTATCGTCAGAATTTTTTTTTGAGGTCATTTCCCTGATCAGGAGATTTTACAAACCAATAAATACAATGTTAGAAGCGCAACTTAGGCTTGTTCACTATTCAGGCTATTATTTGTCATTTAAAACAGGGAGACCGTTACTCAAGTGAATGGAGCGATGTCTCGACAACAAGTCGATATGAAGGTAAGTGAGTATTCCACGTATAACATTGCAGTGTTTCATGGCAGCAGGTTTTCAAATGTCTCGAAAAATTTAAAAAGATAACTAGATCGGCATTTTCTCCGTGTTTTAAGATCGTGGCTTTGAAAGTAATGAGAGCTCTTAAGATCTGCAATCGCCAGATCATTTGAGAGTATTTCAAAAGTACAACTTAAAGAACCTATGAAAACAGAGAGGGTGGTTAACATTTGCAATTGTCAGATCACATGAAAGCACCACCATTCAATTAAGATATATGCAATTTCAAAGGTACGACTTAAAGAACCAATGAAAACAGAGAGGGCGGTTAACATTTGAAACTGTCAGATCACATGACAACACCGCAACTCTATTAAATGTATGCAGCATTTAAGATACATCTTGAAAACCAACTTCACTTTACATGGTATTTTGACTTTCAGTCAAAGGTGTGCAGTTGTTACGGTCAATATTACCCAACGAAGGTGTTGTAAACATCATCACCAAATATGATGGTAACTACACAGTGTATGAAGATGGTTCTTTAGATAAAGTAAAGAATGATGTTTGCCTACAGCTTGGCTATCCTGCAGCTGAATCCATCAAAAGCTGGATGCCCACATCAATTTCGAGTTATATAATATCTACATTTGGAAAGTTATCTTGTGATTCGAGAGCAAAAAATCTTTCTCGATGTAACATTACAGTGAAAAGTAGTTGTTCCCATTATTCATATTTGAAATGTAAGTTTATCCGCAACATGTGTAAGATCCTTGCTAATGTTCAAAGAAAGATTTGTTCAGTTTTATGAAAATGATTCTAACAATCTCGTCAACTTGTCAAGCTTTATTCATAGATCTTTGCTGTTGCACTAACGCCTTGTATGATCAATGAGACCACACTTACTAAATTTCCATTTTTCCAGGTCAAATTTGTAGCAAACCGTTGCTACAAGATGAAAAGAGCTTTCCAAATTCATCTTTCACAGCTTCGGCGTGGACCGTAGGTCATAGTGCTGACGATGCAAGAATTACCAGTCGTAGTTCATGGTGCGCTCCAACTGCTAACGGCAATCATTTTCTTCAACTGAGCTTCGTGAGACTTTTTGCAATAAACAAAATTGCGATATTTGGAGACGGCTTGAGGTCAAATTGGGTGACAGAATATTATTTAAACACGACCACTGATCTCGTGAACTGGAAACCAGTTTATGGCGAGAATTTACAAAAGGTTAGTACCAAAAATTATACCAAATTCAATTGCCAAAGTACTCTTTCATATTCAATTTTATAAGTTTGTCAATGAAATTTTCAATAATGACTGATGGAAGAAAAAACTCCCAAAGTCCCAAGTGATATCATCCATCATAATTATAATAATCCTTATAATAATTGCCAACTAAAAATAAAGATTTATGTACACGATAAACCTTATATCAAGTTTATCAAGCATGTACCATCTCTATCCACATGTGTACAAGGAAGATCATATTGAAAGGTACTGAACCTCATACATCCTTAAGGTTTTTCAAGGAGAAAAAATGTCTCACAATGACGTCACCATCCAGAGTTTCACTAAAGGCATCAAAACGAGAGCTTTACGACTTATTCCGGCGAACTACGTCGGTCAACCGTGTTTACGCGTAGAGATGTGCGGTAGAAGTAAGTACTATTTTTAAGTTTGAACCTCATTTTCCCACGTAACAATGTGGCTGAGTTAATTGAGAATAAAATAAATGATTTTGCAAAGAGGAAGCGAGCGTAAAACTCAAGATCTTCGAGAGATTGAAGTTGGTATTGCTTCTAAAACACTGCAATCGACTGAATTTCGCATATGCTCAAATAGTGATGTTGAAAACTAGTTAGAGATCTTTAAAATAGGATTTGATAAAATGTCTACCATAGTATAACAAAGTAGGATAAAATATATTCTGACACTTCTTCAAAGAAATGCAGAAATACCAGTTGAACATATTTTATTGCAGATATACTCCCAGACATGCCGTCCAATCTTAAAGCCACAACCGTCGAATCTAGATATGCTAAAATATCATGGTCATGGTCTAATCCTAACAACACTGGAGTTATCTCTGGTACAGATGAGTCAAATCCTCTGACAGAGTTTCGGATCATTGTCAGAAAGGAATCGATTGTTGTTTTCAACATGACTTTGCCGGCAACTGAAAAAAGGCCCTACAAGCTGGAAAATCTTCTTCCGTACAGGAAATATGTGGTGGATGTAGCCGCTGGAAACTCCATGGGGTTTGGAAGCGCAATTAACACGTCATTTACGACTGCTGAGGATGGTAAGATTAGAAAGGACAGACTTAAATTTAATTTTTTTTTATTCTCTTTTTATAAAATATCAATACAAATAATGCAAATAAACAACTAGGACGTTTTGGTGCATATTTTGGTAACCGAACTTTAGACCGAGTTTAAAAATCGGTATGGTTTTCTTGTCATGTAAAGAGATTGAACAAATCCACTGTGATTGGCACGAAGTCTTTGAACGACTTAAAATCTTTCTTTAATTGTCTAACCCGCGAGTGCCACAAATGGCATGCAAAATAAAACATGATTGACATAATGTATTGCCACATGTCAGATAGCATTGCCTTGAATTTCTTTCTTCTATTTGGCAATTACGTTTTAAAAGACGAAAGTAACGAAAATATATTCAAACACTGTAACTCCTCATACGGATCTTATTCAAATTTTAAAACAAGATAATTCAAACCTTTTAGTGTGTTTCCTTTCAGTTCCAGATGGTCCGCCATTGAACGTTAGATCGATTTCTCGAAATTCCTCATCTTTAACTTTTACCTGGGATCCACCTGGCAAAGAAAAACAAAATGGCGTCATCGTCGGTTACACTGTTTGCCTCTCGAAGACGAAAAGTGGCACTTGTTTTCAAACATTCCTTAGCTACAGCAGAAAATGGACAGCGCACGCATTAAAACCCTCGAGTAAATACATTGTTCAAGTTGCCGCTGTGAACAAAGTCGGTCAGAGTGCTCGCAGTGAAAGTAAAGAATTCTTCACAAATGGAGGTAAATCTAATCAAAGTTTGACCTAAAAGAGAGTTTGATCTACACCGTACTATAAATATATAATTTCTATAAACACATCTTCTTTGTATGGATATACGTACACTAAAGCTGTATGGTATATGAATTTACACAAAAGTAAGAAATGTACATTGAATCACATACATAGAACCATTTCACATTATTCACATTATTCGTACATGTACCTAGTGGCGCGGCAAGCCAGATTTTTCACTCCTACAATGTAAATATTTCAGGAAAATTATTAATTTCTTTAAAAAACTAATTCCATTCACTGTTTTTCCAGTAATTGAACACAAAAATATGTTTATTGTAAAAGTAAAAAACGGTCTGGCTACACTACTGCGGATGTACCATAGGTTAAATGTTCGAGTAAAATTTCATCTTAAGTTTCAACATTTAGGTCTTTGTTTGGAGAGTTAGCATGATTCTTTTCTAACAAGGCTCCGTGTATCAAATATCGAGAAGTTTGGGATGTTGACTACTCTATAGGAAAATTTGATTTGAGAAAGCTGCAATTCATGCCTTTTTCAATTATATTTGACCCATTCAAAGTTATGGAACATCAAGTCAGTCTTTTTCTCTAGAACCATTGGAAAAGGCAATAATAGCAACGGCAAGCAGATTACGATTTCGACTACAAGTTCCAAAAGAACAATTTTGGTAAGATTTTCTAAATTATTTCTTACCCAGAAAGTTCACAGCAGTGCAACTGAGATTTTTTCATTTTAACTGAAACAGTTCTTTTGCCATTTTACCTAAAGGTTTTTCTATATCGTGGCTGTGAAAGTCAAAGGTGGTAAGGATCCATTATCGCCACAAGAATACAAAATGAGCAACTTCGTCACATACGCACAAATGAGAACATCCAACGAAATGAAACCATATATTGCAGCCGTGATGCTTGAGTGCAGCGGAATGGATGACAAAGAGTTTGTACTTGGTGATGGGAGAAATACAAGTGAGCCGAGAATGGGAAACAGCAGATCAACTTCCACCATTTTTTATAACGGACCGCTGGAACCTGGTGCGAGTTACCGAATTTTTCAGAAAGTCATTGTTGAAAATGTTAGTTTTTATGAATAATCTCTTTTATTCGCTTTCTTGTCATGTTAGAAGACAAATGTCTATAGTAATATCAGATAAAAACTGCAGACCGGAAGTTCAGTCAACGGTGATTGATCCCTAAACATAATATCTCATGACTTTCATACTAGGGAGACTACTACACGACCGAATGGAGCGAAGCATCGCAAACAAGTCAGTATGAAGGTAAAAGCGCTTTTCTATTTTTTCAATTTCAGAGCATATAAAACTTCATCATAGTAGAATTTACGTCTACTAAGTCTCAAACAAATGTCAATAAATGTTAGCCATGTTGATCAATTTGCTTTCCAGGAAAGCCAAGTATATTACGTAATATGACAAGCAGTAACGTCAAAGCAAAGCAAAATGATCTTGTAAAATTATCATGTTCTGCGAAAGGAGAACAACCACTTGTATTTACATGGACAAGAAATCATGAACCTTTGATAAGTTACGTCGACAACTATCAAAGTTATTCAACTTCATTTACTGTGATTGAAGTCAAAGACACGAAAGACTTTGGAGAATACATATGTCATATAAGTGACAGATTTGCAAACACAATAAGTCATTCAGCTTGGATAAATGAGAAAAATGAAATCAGCAGTGCAGGTAATTGAAATTCCTCACGAAATTCTTCAACGTCGTCAAAAGGTTTTTCATTTCTTCTTTGAATGAGAGCTTGACAGCTTGACCGTCAACAGTCTTTACTGCTGAGAAAAATGGTCAGTTCGATTATAGAGGTAGTAAAAGAGAGAGAAATGTTATAGGAGACGACTCTATTCTTAATGAAGAACTTTGACATGGAATATTTTTCTGGGGGGAGGGGGAGATTCAACGAACTGTCGACCATGTTAGATGCACAGCATAAGTCAAATAAACAACAGGTGTATTTTGGTGTATATATCAGAGTCGATTACTGACTGCAGTTAGCCACGTCAGTGTTCCTACGTATTTTTTATTTGTTGATGGTCCAGGTTAATGCAGTCTTGAGGACTGTTGGTAGTTACTGACGTGTTGACAATCTTAACTATAGTCATTGAGTATAGTATTCCTTAAAGTTCCGTAAAATGCAATTGATTGGCTGCTATTCTGGTAATCATATTCGCAATGAGGTATACGTAGCCCCCAAAAAATTAATGTAGTGTTCTTTTTGTGTTTTCCACATAGAAACAAACAAATAATTAAAAGAAATAGAAAATTCCTTTAGACTAAAGAAAGCAATGTAAATTCATCACAATAGTACTTTACACAAGAATGAAAAAAAACATAATACAGCCTTCTTTTGTTCAGATATACGAAAACCCAAAAGGCCAATCGAAAGGTTTTGATATGCTTCTACTTGGTGTAACCATAGCCTTAGGAGTTTGGTCTGTGATATCATTCGCGACAATTTGTTACCTTTTGCGTTGTTACAAAGTGAAACCGTCTCCAGAAAGTAAAACAAGAGATCAAAGTTACATTTACGGTGTTACTCATGGATATGAAGAAGAACGAGATGATGACAAAATGGCGCTCATGCCAACTGGAGAAAATGAAGGCAACGCTTCTAACACATTTGGTTCAATAAATGCAGTGATGATGAATACAGAGAGTGGTGTTTGATACATTGAAATTTTAATCTATTCATTGCTCGTGATTAACAAGTTAAAGCGATTAATTTTGAACATATGAACAAATGAAAAATTTTTAGTGGCTGTATTCATTGAAATATTTCTTCATGATACAAATTTTATTAACTAAGTCATGTTTCTTATTCAATTTTGGATCGATTTTTTCATAAAATTTTGGATCGATTTTTTCATAAAATTTTGGATCGATTTTTTCATAAAATTTTGGATCGATTTTTTCATAAAATTTTGGATAGATTTTTTTTTCTCAAATCTCCCAAAAATGACTTGAGGAAAAAGTTAGTAACGTGACGATTTGATGTTTCCACAAATATGTCTTCATACTTCAACCAATCTAAGCCAGTTTACATAAAATATGAAAATTAACTGAAAAAAATGCAATAAATTTATGAAAATATGCACACGGATCGGGCACTTTTTCATCATGATGAGTAATGATAATTGGCTGCGAAAAAACTGACCCCTCTAAAAGGTTTCAAAGCTCTCTTAACGAAACGCGCGGGTCTTAACCAAGAAATGTCGGACCGAGGTTCTTAAGGGAAAGTAAATGAACGCCTAAAATGCTTCTAATTTGTAGATTGTTACATTTAAGATATGAATTTGTTAACCTATCCAAATATACATGTTGCCAATGAGGTGCAAGGCGGGAAACGGATTCTCAATATAAATATTAGAGCCCAACAAATAATTTTAAACATAGTCATAAACAATTTGGTTTTATGAAATTTATTAAAACAGTGACGTTTCGTCTTTACTCAAGACATCTTCAGACTAATTAGGAAGTTAACAAGAATATAGATATATATAGAGCTATTTACATAGTTTGAGTATCAGTTTACTGTGAATGTGTAGGTGTGATGTGATGTATGTGTGATGTAAGTGTGATGTATTGTTAGGGTGAGGTGTTGAGACTAGAAAATCTTAAGAGGGATGGAGCTGCCTTGGGTGTTAAGTGAAGGTTTTACTTTGGAGATAAGGAGGCTTTCGTGGATCATGAGGTCGAATGTGTCGGAGCAGAATGAGATGATTTTAAAATCGTCTGGCGAAGCAGGGTGGTTGGAAGAGTTACTATGAGAAAGAATACTTGACATTAATGGGTTAGTATAGCGTTTTCCAGTCAAAGGAGAGATCCTAAAGTGTTCCGAGATTCTAGTGTGTAATTTGAAATTTTCAACCTCACGTTGTGGCGTGTGGTTTGACCCACATACGACGCAGAACAGCATCGACACGTGTATAAATAAACAACATCAGATCTCAGAGACTTGGGAATTTTGTCCTTATATTGAGAATCCGTTTCCCGCCTGGCACCTCATTGGCAACATGTTTATTTGGATAGGTTAAAAAATTCATATCTTAAATGTAACAATCTACAAATTAGAAGCATTTTAGGCGTTTAAAATTATTTGTTGGGCTCTAATACAAATATACATGTGTTGGATTTAAACTTTAAAGTACTTTATTGTTGTAATCATGCATATAGTTGTATACTTACCAAACGTCAACAATTCAAGAAACTACTCGTGTACAACTAGATATGTTGTTAACATGACACTCCGAAGATTGAAAAGCATTGCCAAATGTAAAATTCGCATTCAATGGAAATTGAATTATTTATAGTTATAAGGGAAACACAACTTTCCAATAGTCAGAAAGTGTAAGTTATACTTATGATATACCCAATGTACCCAGTATTTAAATTCTATAATTAGAGGCTGCAAGGTTTGGGGACCTTACCGTTGAAAATTCCGTACATCCACTTCAAGTTGTTGTACACACAGTGGGTTTAGGATCATAAGCTATGGATTTATTATGTAAGTAAAACTGCGGCTTCCACTTCTCCTTGCGCACGATAGGAAAGTTTTTTTAACTTAGCAATAATATGTTTTATATCCATTACATGAGTTGTATCCACGTTAATGCAAGTATGTGAATCTTGATATGGATGAGAAAATATGCAAACAAATAATTGTTACAAATTGTATGGCTAATTGTACCACCAAGTGTGCTATTCTTGAGGCGAATTTCTATCATTTTTATTGTAAATCAACCATAGCCTATATACATAAGATGCTCTGTTTGTTGTTCATTCTTCAGTGCATGATAATATGCAGCAAAGAGAACCAGCAGTCACAAAATCAGCAACAACATGATGCCACAATGCAAAATGTTCTCACTTTTCTGTTTCTATCAACTTCTATGTATTATCGTTCTAATGGAACAAGGTAATCATTGACTTTTGTTTACAAAATTTTCTGATTTGCTGATCAAAGCAAATTACCAATGCATGGCGTCATTTTCAATGCAAGTATCTTTTACTTAGCAATAATATGTTTTATATCCATTACATGAGTTGTATCCAAATAAATCTTGAATTAATGGTTGATATTTGTTATGACTGTACTACACTTAGAGCCAGGGTCTATAAGATACACGTTCTCTTTTGTCGATAGAAATACCTCATTAGCGTTGCGTAAAATCCTGATTCATATAGGCATTTGTGTGTTTGCTCTATGTATCCAAGTATAATATTAATATACATAAGTTATACACTAGTCACTATCGAAAACATAGTACATCAATAACCATTCAAAATTTACTTAGATACAACTCTTTTAATGGTAATGAAGCACTTAGTTGCTAGAGAAAAGCAAATTAATAATCGTGAGAAAGTTCAAGAATAAACCATATCTTATATTTTATGAACTGGGTTTTACAATTTCAATTGTAAATATCCAAAGCACCGGTGATATTTTTTAATGATGACAGCAGAGAACGTTGATTCATAGAGCACATTCAAGTGGGCATACATAGAAATAAAGAATTCCTGACAATTTAACATCAACTTCTTTCTAACTTTTCCATTCAAAAAAGTGTTTTTTATGCCCGCGACTTAAGCTCGCAACATTTTACCGCGACACGCGACGTTTTACCCGCGACAGTTAGATACACTCGACAGGAAATAATTTTCGTAGTTCGCTTTCGTCTTTTTTCCGTAAATACTCGATGAAAACTTTCCCGACTGAAAGTGTAAGTCTTTCCCTGTTCTTTTACGTCTTTACTCTCAATAAATAAAGCGAAAACTCTCCTGCAAATCTCGAGCAAGATTCTGCCATTATTGTCCTTTCTTTACAATTTTCACATGAACAATTAAGTCACGCACAAATAATTCTAAATATTTTGTAGGTTACGAAATTATTACTAGCAATATTTCCGTGTCTAAAACGCGCGTTTCTTTGCCTTTTACTACATGTTTATGGCGTGGTATTCGCACCTTATAAAGAAAATATATCAACGTTTAACAAGCCCATTAAACAAGATTCCTTCAATGATTGTGTAACACGTTTATTTTTTACTTTTACACTTTTCGGACATGATACAGTTTGACTTGTTTAAATTTGTATACAAATGATTGCTGAGACAGTAGTGAAGTTATGGACGGAGTTGACACCCAAAACGCGAGACGATGAAAATACCTTTGTAACGATGAGGGACGAATCTGACCTGCAAGACGCTATGCGCTGTTTGACAGCAGTACCGAATTCTGAAGAGATTTTTAGAATGTGTGCACGAATTCACGATGAGATAACACCATGTGGGAAGCAACGCAGAAGTTCATCAGTAATGTCAAAGGAAAAGATAGGAAAATCTTTATCTTTTCTTCTGCGTCCAATCTTTCTTCACTGTGGTTGAACTAGGTTGAACACACTTAAACAGAACAGGAGACTGCAGTGTATGTGCCTACAGGAACGAACTACGTGATTCAGTCGGCTCCGCAAAGAAAAGTTTTATCGTTTATCTTTGATTTCATGTTGCAAGACAGTGCGACACCAAACTTAAATGAACGACCTTCGCAATTAATTTTTATTATAGCTGCAATAACGAAAAAACTTCATGCAAATTTTATATGGATGGACATTGTTATGAAAGAAAATGTATATAAGTAAAAAATAAACGTGTTACGAAAACATGCAAAGATGTTGTTTCTTCAAGGAAAACTTATTTAATGGGCTAGTCAAACGTTAACATATTTTCTTAAAAAGGTGCAAATTCCACGCCTAAAACATGCAGTAAATGATAAGGAAACGCCACGTTTCAGACACGGAAACATCGTGAAAATTTCTCGCACTCAACGCTTGAACAGAAATGGTGGTATCTGCCAATCACAATTGCATCAAAATTGTATGATAATAACCTTCATTGTACACTTCGGCAATAGTTTCCGCAGACTGCCCAAAAAAACTTGTCGATATGTGGTAAAGTTGGCAAATCGTACAGCTAAGGGTTGTAGTGTTTATCACTTGAGCAATAAAAGATTGTATGCAATCATTTTTTGACAAGAATCATTCGTGTTAACAATATAAATACTGTCCTTGTAGTATTTTGTTACTTCCGTCATTTGCTCTCGTTTGCTTGAAAGATGTGAAAATGACAATCACTAGTGTACTGTCAATTAAAAGAAGTAAACGAGTACAATGCAATGGAGAAGCAAGTCTTTATGCAAGTACATTGTCGATATACTAACAACTCTATTTCAATGTCCTTACACCCTTTCTATGTTATAGTACTAAATGCCAATGAAAGTCACATTAAATAATACTTTTTTATAATGATTAACTCCAATGCAAAAAGAAATCTTCAATCGTCGTACTTTCGCACAAACGCTACTTAAACGCTTTGTACAATTTTTAAAGCATGTTTAAAGTGTTTGATATCATGCATTGTATGTCTTGAAGGCAAATGATAATAATATATTTACATAAATCACTCGATATTAATAGCTTTTCAACATCTTGTTGATGGACTTCTTTCCTTCTTCTTTTACCACAAAGTGTGTTATTCTTGAGGCGAATTTCTATCATTTTTATTGTAAATAAATCATAGCCTATATACATAAGATGCTCTGTTTGTTGTTCATTCTCCAGCAAAATTAGCAACAATATGATGCCACAATGCAAAATATTCTCACTTTTCTGTTTCTATCAACTTCTATGTATTGTCGTTCTAATGGAACAAGGTAATCATTGACTTTTGTTTACAAAATTTTCTGATTGGCTCATCAAACCAAGTTACCAATGCATAGTGTCATTTTTAATGCGAACAATCAAAAAGTATAAGGAAAAGCCGGAATTTGTGCTTTTTCCAACATTAATAGATTGTTATAAAATTTTACCCAAAGACTATTTTCTGCCGGCTGCCCTAAGTGCTTGTCTTTCTTAATGAATTCTTATAACGCAACGTATCATAATTCGGTCGTGAGAAATGCAAAGCCGTCAGCAGTCAATGAAGGAGTGTGACTGATGATTCTTATGGTTATTTATTACATCAATCCTAAAATTTATAAAGTATAGTAGTCGGGAACGCCGGAACGATTTTACAAGTGGGGCAGCCATAAGAAAGCAAAGACAAAAAATCAGAGAGTTCTAATTTATATATCTACAATACTACCTACACTCATGTCAACAGTCAGTCCTACATCCAGCTCTACAATCATTACTACACTCATGTCTACAGTCAGTCGTACTGTCGGCTCTACTGTCAGTCCTACCCCCAGCTCTACAGTCATTCCTGAAAACAGTAAGAGTTGATTTTTTTCTACTAGCGAAATACCATATAATCCTAATTACATTTTATATAATGGTTTATCTTCAAACTCATACATTTTTTATTATGTGAAAAAGACTTAAATCATGAATCGATATCCCATGCATTAATACCAAATGTCCTATCGCATTGTATATTCTATTGATTGTTTGAAAAGTGTTAACTTCATAATCTTCTCATACCTTAGGTACAAATGGTTTTTTCTTGAAACATCTTGATAGTGGAAAGTATTTATGTGATATCGATGACTCGGTATTTCTTTACCCCAATATTTATTATCTTGCATTTCGTAAGAATTGCGGTGGTTCGTCAGGTGACTTTAAATTTCTAACCAATGGCGCCATCCAAAGTCTCCATCGGTCAGGATGCCTTCGTGGAGATAGTAGATTCCTCATTTTTCATTTTCTATTCATCAACATTGATAAATCATCTACTTGTGTTGAGCAAAATAAAATAACCCAGACTTCTCATGGAGCTCTCTATTTGGTACAATGAGAAGATTCAATGTGTGGAATATGGAGGACTGATCACAAAATATCCTTATCTCGTTGATTGTAATCAAATGAATAATCAACGTTTTCATTTTGGTAAGTTCCTTATCTCTTGTTTATAATGAAAGTTTTATCATACAATAATGAAGTATGGAGATATGTTTGCAATGTACTTGCTGCATTGTAGTGATATTTTTGCATTTGTGAATAACCTTTGAAATTCTTCATACCGTTTTCGTCGTCGTAAGAATTTGAAAACTACAAACATACCGTTCAGGATAGCATAGGATGAAAGAATCGTTCACAGTTGTCCCATATGCACCTTGTATCAACACACAAGAAAACTAAGTTAAATTTAGTGATGAACAAAATGATATACTGACAAAAACAAAATATTGAACTTATTGTGAATGGACAAGTAGAATAAGAATTTTTCTCAGTAACACAATGGTGTCATCATTAACAGAGTGGCCCTTTTATTAGCGGCTTTTCTTTATGTATTATAGGTTCAGTGATAGGTTATGGAGAAAGTATAAGAAATGCGAACTGTGGTAAAGACCAATACATGAGAGTGAAGAATGCATCATACCGATTAAGCAAGAATAAAATTGTTTTGTCGATGCAACCTGTCATCTGAAAAGACTTTGTGATGGTGAAAAAATGTGACAAAGACTGTCCATGATAATTTATTCCCTCCTTACTTTATGTTTTGATTCTAATGATAATAAAGAACTTTATTTTGAATATGAATGTCACGGCACAAAAAAAACATTTAATGGAAATTGTAAGTATTCACCATCTAATGTTATGTCTTGAAGAGTTATCGCTTAATGCAATAGTTTTTCGTTTCCATACTTTCATCAATTTTGTCGTTTCCATACTTTCATCAAAAGTGCGATTGTGATTTTTTCACACAAAGAACAAATCAACGACTTGAAAACCAGGTTTTCTTTTCTTTTCTTGTTCAAATACGTCAACTGCTTAGACTAAATCTTCTTAATGTCTTCATTCGCCCATTCAGGTATAAATTCAGGTAAAAGTATTCAAATAATTTTGCTGTTCATTTGTAATTTAACCACAAGAAATTTCTGTGACGTCAATTCCGTGCGTATGTCCTCTTATAGATCATGGCTCTTGAGCAATAAACTTGCTCAAATTCTTATGGTTTTTATTTATAAATTTATAGCGAAATTTTGAAAATGTTAATTTAATTGCTTTTAAATCTAATTTTACAGGCGATTTAAAACCTAGCTCTACAATACTACCTACACTTATGTCAACAGTCAGTCCTCTACCCAGCTGGGCAGACAGCCCTCCACCCAGCTCTACAATCATTCCTACATTCATGTCTACAGTCAGTCCTACAATCCAATCTACAGTCATTCCTACATCTAGGATAACAGACAGCCCTCCACCCAGCTCTACAATCATTACACTCATGTCTACAGTCAGTCCTACCCTCGGCTCTACTGTCGATGCTACACCTAGCTCTAAAGTCAGTCCTGAAAACAGTAAGAATTGATTCATTTTCTACTAGTGAAATACCATACAATCCTAATTAGATTTTATATCATGGTTTATATTTAACCTTATAAATTTTTTATTATGTGAAAAAGACTTAAATCATGAATCGATATCCCATGCATTAATACCAAATGTCTTATCGCATTGTATATTCCATAGATTGTATGGAAGTTGTTCACTTTGAAATATTCTCTTTCCTCAGGTACCAATGGCTTCTTCTTGAAAGATCTTCGTACCAAAAAGTATTTGTGTGCTAATAATAATTATCATCTGACATTTCATGATAAATGCAGTGGTACGTCAGGTGACTTTAGATTTCTGCCCAATGGCGCCATTGAAAGTCTCCATCGGACAGGATGCCTTCGAGGATATTCAGATTGGCCATCTCATTTGCTATTCATCAACATTGATAAATCCTCTGCTTGTGTTGAGCAAAATAAAATAACCCAGACTTCTCACGGAGCTCTCTCTATTTGGTATAATCAAAAGATTCAATGTGTGCGACTTGGGGGACTGATCACAAAATATCCTTATCTCGTTGATTGTAATCAAATGAATGATCAACGTTTTCATTTTGGTAAGTTAATTATTTCTTGTTTATGAAGAAAGATTTATCATACAAATATTAAGTTTGGAGATATGTTTGTAGTCTACTTGCTACGTTGAAGCGACATTTATACATTAGTAAATAACCCTTGAAAATTTTCGTACCGAGTTCGTCGAAAAAAAATTAAAATTAAAAATATACCCCTTGGGATAACTTAGGATTAATGTGATTAATGTGGTCAGAGTTGAGACATATGTACTTGCACCAAACACAAAATAAACCAATTTAAATTTGGTGAAGAGAAAAAGATATATTGATAACAAAGATTATATTTAACTTATTGTGAATGGATAAATAGAATAAGAATTTTTCTTAGTTGCACATTGATGTAATCACTAACGGAGTGATGCTTTTAGTTCAAGCGTTTTCCTTCCTTGTTGTTTTTGTAGGCTCAGTGATCACTTTTGGAGAAAGTTTAAGAAACGCCAACTGTGGTAAAGACCAATACATGACAGTAAAGACTGCATCGTACAGAGTTAGAGGGAATACTAAATGTTTTGCCAATGTAACCTGTCATGTAAAAAGACATTGTGATGGTCAAAACAAATGTGACATAACCGTCGATGATAATTTGTTTTCTTCCCTTGCTCAATATTTTGATTCTAATGATAACAAAGAACTTTACTTTGAATATGTATGTATGGACATAAAAAAAACATTCAATGGAAATTGTAAGTATTCACCAGTGATATTTCTTTATCATGGAATACAAAACGCAAGGTTAAAGATGAAATTACATTTTAGCCAAGTGAAGGTTCTTTGAGGATGACTACTTCTAAGGTTATAGAAACGTCAGTCAACATAACATCAATTTTCCTTCTCAGCTTAAGAAAATGCGAGGCGATAAGAGTCAAACCAGTTTTGGCGAATGTTTAAAATTACCACACCAGCATAAACTTTTGTTGACGTTATTAAAACTAAATGCGATTTCAAGCGTACCTTTGAAAAAGTTTTAATTCGGTCAAATCGTTCCATACTTATGGCGGTTTAAAGTGGCAAAAAGCCTTTTTGAACGGATCTTGTCCGTCGTCAGAAAAGTCTGTATCAACTTATTTTTGTGACTTGATTTAAGGGACTCGTTAATACAAAATATATATGCCACCAACTGCATGACTTCAGAATGTGGCGTCCCAGACTTTATCCCACGACGGAAAAGATCCGTTGAAAGCCAATTTAAATGACAGTTACAAGAATACATTTTCGCCACAGTGAAAAATACTATTATTAATATGTAAGAAATTTCCCTTAGTTTTATTAACACTAACGACAATTTTTGCTGCTTGTAAAAAATATCGAAAAGATGGTGCCAACAATTGAAACATTTTAAAATATTAAATACACAGACCGAAATTGATCAGTGGTTTTGTGAAATTATGTATATCAAAATTTTGAAATTGCTAATTTAATTGGTCACAATCCTAATTCTACAGGCAAGTCAACGACCAGCTCTACAGACAGTTCTACGCGCAGCTCTAAAAATGATACTCCACCTGGCTCGACAAGTGTTACCTTAATTGTCGTAACTATATCATCTGGTGTTTGCGTTGTGGTATTTTTGGTGATCTTTTACTTTCTGTGTTATCGTAAGAAAACAAGCCCGATAAAAAAGAGCCCTGGAGACAAAAGAGGTAAAGCAACAACCCATACGTACGACAACCCATACATTTTTGACGAACAGTATGAGATGCTCATAGAAAAGCTTGGGAAAGAGACAAGTTCTGAGAAAGATGGAGTCAATAATCACATATACGTTGATATTGATGATATCAAGAACGAGTATGAATATGTGAAGGCTACAACACCACAGTAAAACCACACAGTAGCTACTCATTGAACTAAACATATGACTAGAAATATATTTTACCATTTCAGTTATATATTTACTTCAGGCCTAATGCAATTTTCTATAAAAAGAATTGACAATTGATCTGTAGCAACAATGCGCGAGTTCTTTTTGAATTTTAACAACAGCAAAAATGATGTTTTACAGCTGTCATTGTGTAACCAGTTTGAATGTATAATTTTTATAACAATTCCAGTTAGGTAAAAACATTTGCATTATTAATTTTTCGTTATCATATGATTAACAAGTCAATCTAGAAATAATCAAAAGTTACAACAATTTCAATTTTATTTACCTTATTGTTACTATTATACATATATGCAACTTTATCACCAATTGTAATCTACATTTATCAAGTTACCCTTGCTTTTGGGTTAACCACTTCATACCAAAATTAAAAGAAATATTTACAAATGGCTTACACTGATATTAGAGACAATCAGTATTAATAGCTTGAGCATTAAGCCAGACGAAGAGAATATTTAAACTTGTTTTATTTATTGAGCATGCGCTGGAATTGCAGTGTAGGTATAAAATGGGTAGAGAATTTTTAGATAGAAGACGCTGGCAAAGCATGCATATAATCTAAGCTCACACAAACAGGGGCTTAGGACTGTTGACAGGCCAAGTTGGCACGGCCACAGAGGTCATGCACCCAAACAAATAAGTTCAAAATCGCATTACCATGGGTTTAAGATTTGATAAGAGTTTTCGAAGACTATCCAAAAATTGTCTATACATGGTAAAATTGGCAAGTCTTACAGCTAAGGGTCAAATTTATTTCTTAAGCAATGAAAGACTAAATTATGCAAGAATTTTTTAACAAGAAACATGATTATTTACAATATAAATAATGTAATGGAAGTAGATTCTTCTTTTATTTGTTTGGTTGAAAGGGACGAAAAGGCAATAACTTGTATCGTCGATTTCAATGATATTGGCAGCTTTTTAGTAACTTTACGTGACCCTTTCTAAGTTATAGTATTAAATGCTAACTAAATTCACATGAAAGAGCACTTTCTTAATTTTTAAATCCAACGCCTCCGCATAAAAAACTTTTTAATTATCGAACTTTCCCTCACACCACTTCAATTGCTTTGTACAATTTTCTATACAGTTGCATGTTTCAAGTTTTTGATATATTGCCATGATTATCATAAAGACAAATGATAACAAAATGCAACATATTTATAGCAATCACTTGCTATTAATTGCTTTTCAACATCCTGTTTTTCAACTTACTTCCTTTGTCTTATTTGTTCAAGAAAATCAACCAATATGATTGATTGTGAAGTATTTGTTTTACATCGTTTCATTGTTTTCATATAACAAGGCACACCTCTTGTATCCTTTGCAACGCTTTCTTCATCAATACCTTTTTATATGAATACGGAAATGTTAGAATAAATGCAAGTATGTGAAACCAGGTAGATGAGAAAATATGTGCTATTTTTGAGGCGGAAATTTCGGTCATTCTTGTTGTAAATCAACCCTAGCCTACACATAAGATGCTCTCGTTTCTTTGTTCTTCATTAGATCATCTTATCCAGCATAAAAAACCAGCAGTAGCTGAAACAGCAGCCGTATTACACCACAATGCAAAATCTTCTCGACTTTCTGTTTCTATCAAACTTTATGTATTATCGTTCTAATGGGGCAAAGTATTTATTGATTTTTGTATACCAAACTTTTTTATTTGCTGATCAAATCAAGTTACCAACGAATGGCGTCATTTTTGATGCCAGCAATGCAAATGCTACAATGCAAAATGTTCTCACTTTTCTGTTTCTATCAACTTTTATGTATGATCGTTCTAATGGGGCAAAGTATCATTGATTTTTGATCACCAAACTTTTCTGATTTGCAGATCAAATCAAGTTACCAATACATGGCGTCATTTATAATGCCAGTAATCAAAGCGGCATGTAGATGAAGAAGTGCTGAATTTTGGGCCTTTTCCAACATTCATAGATTTCTTTCAACTTTTGCCACGCAATTGTTTTGCACCAACTTCTCTAAATTCATGTATTTCCAAATAAATTAATGGCTACTACGCAACGAATTATCAATCCATCGTGAGAATGCAAAGTCGTCATCATTCAATGCAGGATTACGATTATATACTTAGTTCTTGACTTGCATTTACTGAATTGTACAACATAGCAGTACATAAATTTGGTTCTTAGAACAAAATCTCAAAGACTTAAACTCTCTCGACACTAAAAAACAGCACTCAAGAATATTTAAGAAAAATAATTGGTGTAATAGCTCAATTGAGATGAAAAAATATATTCAGCTCATCATGCTTAACAACGGTCCAGTCACTGAGACATGGAATACGAGTAAAATCAATGGATGAAAATTCATTGTTCACAAGCCGTGATTATAGTAATTTATTGCGTGGGAACTTTGATATTCCCTGCCACTGAATATAACACATTAGGTTAGAGATTAGCCATGATATAAAATGTAATCAGGTATACATGACGTTTTTCTAAAAGTAAAAGAATCTATTTTTAGCCTTAGTCTTATACACAAAGTTTTGATTCTATTGATAACAAAGAGCTTTATTTTGAATATGAATGTAAAGACTTGAAAAGAACGTTTGATGGAGATTGTGGTACGTATTTACCATCTAATCTTATATGAATAATACTGCATGCTATATATACAATTATTGCTCGTTTTCATAAATCTCGTAACTTCTAAAGATTACAGATATCCATGCAACTTTTCTTTTTGTTTTAAGCTCTAACTCATTCATAAAACACACATAAAATGCCACAGGTTCTCAAAGTAGACAAGTCATCCACATGTCCTTTAAGTAGACAAGTCCTCCAAAAGTCCTCGTTATTTTAATGAATTGTGGGGTAGACTAGCATGTTCTAAAGGTACTAATCTAAGGTAAGCCATATAAAAGCGGTTCTGGTAAAATAGCAGAATTACATGAAGTGAACATTTAGTGCTGCATAATGAAATACGTGGAAAATGTCGGCTGTTGACAGAAATTAAATCTTAAGTTTTGTAAAATAATATATATGATTAGTGTATAATGCAAACTTAATGATGTTTACTTAATCCATTCATTTGCATCTAGCTCTACAAAGACCTACTCCCAGTTCTACACTTCTAAAAATGGCTCGCTCAGTATGATATCAGTTTTGCATTGTGATATTTTTGAGGATCTACTATTTTCTTTGCTGTCGTAACAAAACAATCACAAGGAGAAAAAATCCCGAGGACGAAAGAAGTCAACAAATACCCGATACGTACGATAGCCCACTAAATGTTGACGAGCAGTATTAGATACCCATAGAAAAGTTCGGGAAAGAGACAAGTTCTGGGAAGTTCTGGAGGCAATGATCACATATACCATGACAGTGATGATATCAAGAACAAGTATAGATATGTGAAGACTACCATGTTACAGTAAATCCATACAATAGCTACTCATTGACACATCTGACAGCATAACTTCACCGAAGCATGTTAAGGCGTTTATTGCACTACAGCAATAGATATGATAAAGACATTTGCTTGAATTTCTTTCAAGTGTACTTGTTTTGTTCTTTGTGCAGAGACATTGTGTTCACTTTGCCTCTAGAACGACTGGCGATGCTTCGTGAAAGTCTTCAAAAAACTTTCTTCTGTAATTACGCGAGAAACCATTCCATTTCTTGCTATTAATTATGAACTTTAAGACATTTTGCAAAATGCCGCCTCTACCTCGCTTCGCAACTGCTGCTAAAAACATTCACCATCTATTTGTGGAAATCTTTTTACTTACAATTGCACCGCTATGTTTTTTTTTGAATTGAAGAGAAATTT